TAATTATGTGTGCAAGAATGTTAATTATGACTGCCCTTTGTTCAGCTTAGGGAACACCTTAGTAGCCAACCCATAGGTATGTAAGTGTGTTTGTGCATACTCCTTCCGGCAAGGGTAGCTGTCGTGTGGAGCTAACATATAGTCCATCCTTATCTTCAATATGGATGTGAGTGGGTTTCGTAGATGCGAAATTGCTTTGCAACCAGAGTTGAGCTGCAGACGTTGAAACAACTAAGAATTAAGGGCAATTGTGATAGCGTCTTTAGGAAACAACCCAATCGGTTCAAAAATCATCCAACCCAACCCAACCGCTCTTGGCGAAAGACGATGAATCTGTGTGACGCGCGAACTTTGAGAGGTGCAGGGCCCATGCCAACCTGAACTATCCGCGATTCCGATGTTGTACCATTCCTTAGGGCTAACATATGAAACGCGCCTTACCATTTGTGAATTTCGAGCTTCGTCCTTGCCAACGTTGGTGAGAGCCAACACCCTCGGGATTGTGCTTGATGTGCCTAACTCGTGCATTTCCTGCGCCAGGACTCTCAAACGGATTTCTCATCGCCATGGAGCCTAGGCGATATTGCGTCCAGCCTCCAATACCTAGTCTCAGAGTTTCATTTCCTAGTTTTTGCAAGAACCTCACGATTGTGTTTCGGATTCGCGGGGTGAAACCTGTGCCACGATGCTCCCTGGAATCTATCGCTCGGCGAATGGGTTACTTGAGCCATTCGAATCCGTGACTTGCCATCGAATCCTCAAGGCTGCTGCTAATGGCGAACAAACCATGGCTTTCGGTCACTCTACGATTGTTTTGAGGACCATGGAGGAGGTGACGCAAGGCGGTCAACGATGGCGCATTCACATGGTTCCGCATTTTGCCCTTAGTAACGTGAAACATCTCGCTACTCCTGTTGGAGTTACTGTAAGCATCGTCACAAGAAGTTTTCATCAACCTGAAAGACTTGACTTACTGTCGTAGTGAGTAATGTGAGCAGATGTGGACGAAGATCCTTATGGAGGTTCTTTCAGAGGCTTACATCAGAGCCGCTATCAAAGAGAAGACTGGACGTAGTTATCGCCTTGGGTCCATTGAGCCAAGGCATAGCTTCACCAAGGATACTACCCTTATCGACCAGTTCGCCAACACACTCGCGTCCCTCCCTCTACGTGATGCGAGGCACATCCTCAGTAAGTACCAGGCCAAAAATCTTTATCGGCTTGCTGTTTGGTGAGGAGGGGACAAGCTGACAGTGTCTCAGTGGACCTTGTGTTACCCGCTTTCATTACCTTATTGTTTACATATTTCAAACATGGATGGGATGGGTGTGATTGTTAAATTATATATGTTAGTATATAATTGTAGGCTTGGTACTCGTTACTGAATATTATTGTAGAGGGTACAACACCCCTCCTTGTATCCCTCTCTCTTCTTTTCTAGTTCTCTTTTCTCTCCTCAACTTTCCTAGCCTGAAACCTCTCGCCATTTCCATGGCTCCTCCTAGCTCCTAGCTAAACCTCATGCCAATTCATGGCTTCCTAGCTAAGCTAGTCTTGTGACAGTGATCACGTGCTGTCATGAAAGATCTTTCGGAAGTTTTCTCCAGGTACAATTGGAAAGGCAGAGCTCGTCTTCCATGGTACTCCATCGGAGAACATCGCACCCATTATGATAACTGGCATGAACGCCAAGTGCCGCCGGAGTGCACCTCTTGGGGATTGGTTTGCCAAATCTTTGGCCATGCCCTTGCAGAAGGCAACACGTTTTTATGGAACGTCCACTGTCCTCGTTTTCCTAGTTCTTGTGACCAACGATGCATTAGTGCATCGTCACCACACAGATTATATTATCATCAATAGCTCCAAATATCAACTGCCACTTGCTATAATCTAGATTTGCAGGTAGACAGGGAATGTGGATAAGGGGCATATGATGAGCACCTGAATGCCTATCTGATCCAATAAACCCTGGCTTAAAGCATGCATGATATCTTCCCTGCTTATGTTGCGGCTGCGCGATTTTTTCCCATGGATGCTGCTTGTAGGAGAATACCTAGAAGTACTTGTGTCCTACTGTCCTGCTGTCACACTCTCAAAATGACCTAGTTCATTCAACGTGACGCTGTTGCCTTCGTGAGTACAATGCGCTCATATTTGATGATCGCACTCCTGTTTGTGCGGTTGACGTGAATGCAAACAAATGTCGTCGACTTGGGTTGCTTGATAGTCGACGAAGGCGGCCAGTAGCATCGCTTCCTGGTGCTGGTCGACTTAGGTTATTACCCTGGTCAGTGGCCGACAAGTCGACCAAGCAGTCCGTAACAAACTGCGGCTGAGAGGTTGGAACTTTGAAGCTAGCATGTATGAATGCTTCACGGGACTTCAGAAACTGCCGTTTCTATGGTGTTTAGCAGCCTAGTATTCTGGCAAGCCGTTTCAGAGAATTTACATCTGCTCCATAACATGGCACTTCCTCATTGCGGGGAAGAGAAGTGAGGCCACTTTGACACCGCACTGTGACATAGAACCTGGGAATTCCGAGTCAGGACATCGGAAGATGACACAAAAACCCGCCGTAGGTCTCAAATCACTACAGTGCCGCCTACCGTTGGGGAAAGCAACAACCTCGACAGTGCTTGGGAAATCCCTTTCTCGAGCTGGAAAATGACACCATGAAGTTTCCGAGGCTGGAATCACTTTCTCATGAGACCGTTAGTCCCTTCCGAGGTTGGCATTCGTACTGGCTAGGTACTCCATGACGTTTCAAGACAACGACGAGTCGTCCTAATGGTTGTCGCAACCCGAAAGCGCTCAGCTGGATGTCCTCCATTATTTTCTCTCCGCTCCTCGTTCTTGAGCATAGTTTCGAATAGAAAGGGAAAAAATGCCCACAATGCTTCCTGGACTATACCGCTCAGTGAATGGCGTGTTTGAGCCGTTTGATTCCGTTAGTTGCTACCGGATCCTCAGAGCAGCGGCTAACGACGAACAGACAGTGGCCCTTAGCCGTTCCAAGGTCTTTCTGAGAATTATGGAGGAGGAGATGCCAGGCGACCGCAGAGTGAACATTCTAATCATTCCGCAGTTTTCCTTGGATCATGTGATGCATCTCGCCTCTCCCGCAGGAGTCATGGTAAGCATTATTTTCTCTCTGCAATTCCCATCCTCACCAGAATTTTACATTCTTCTGCAGTTCATGATGTGTGCAGATATGGAAGAAAGTCTTGACAGAGACCATCTCAGAGGCTTACATTAAAGCAGCAACCAAGGGCATGATTGGGCCTGATGTTTACCTTGAATCCGCAAAGCTAAGGCATTCTTTCACCAAGGATACCTCTCTTGTCGACCAATTTGCAGAAACCCTTACAAGCCTACCACCTCCGTGATGCCTGGGACATCCTAGGTAAGATCAGCAGCATTTGACTACTTCTGTCGGTGAATTGATGCTAACCTATTTTGTGTGAATGTAACGGATGGGGTTACACATGTCCAGGAAAAGTCTTTCAGAAGTTTCTTCCAGGGACGGCTGGAAAGGCTGAGCTGCTCTTCCACGGGACGCCTTACAAGAACATCAAACAGATCATGACAACTGGCATGGACCCAAGCTGTCGCAAGAGCTTACCACTCGGAGATTGGTTCAGCAGATCCTTGGAGGGCCCTATGCGGAAGGCAGGATGTATCGACAGAACGCGCACCATCATCGTCTTCCTGATTCTGCTCACAGACGATGCAATAGTGGACGATAGGGAGGAGTACGTAGTCATCAATCACTCTGTACTAGGGTTGGGGGAGAACATGCTGTAGGAAGCATATTGAGCTACTAGTGGCAGTATTGCTCTTTCCTTGCTTGTGACCACGCCCCCAAATTGGTTTTGGGCTTGTCTGATTCATCAGACGTGCCTGCCATCTCTTGGTATGGCCTTCAGAGTCGCCCCCTAAAAAAAGTCTGAAAAATCAGAGTAACAATAATTTATTTGTCTGATTAATCAGAGTTACCATTGTTTTTAACTCTGATTTCAAAGTGAGTGTTTTGCACGTTACTTTTCCATTCCCTTCCCAACAGACTCCTTGCTTGAGGGGCTTTCTCTCGCGTGCGCTCCCTACCGTATCTGTGTCCTGGCGGCGGCGCGGAATTTCGCGGCGCCCTAGGCCCGGCCCCGCGCTGGTGCGGGTTTGGTTGATCAGCGAGGCTCATGGCAAGGCTGTGCTGTACTGTACAGCGTTGTTGCCAGGCCTGACAGAAGATTTTTTTACTTTGATAATCTCCCAGACAGACTGACATATGATTTTTAAAAATTTAGAGGAGTCTTTCACGGGTTTCTATCCCCCCCCCTCCCCGTTCCGTGTCTAGTAATTTCGCGTGCCTGAGGTACGGCGACGATATCGGTTGGTGGAGATACGGGACGGGATCGTGGTGAATTGCGAATGGGGGACGAAATCGAGGGATGGGGGCGGAAAAGAATTGGGGGGCGGGCAAATCAAAATTGCAGGGGAGGTAAGGAAATCGGGGCCATCCAGGTGGCTATTTCGTGAAGGGCCAATGGGCGGCCTCGCACACACAGCCCGCTGCAGTGGCAAGCACACCTCTGCAAATTTTTCCAAGGGCCAATCGGCCCCTCACACCGCACACATCACAAACTGGGAGGTGATTTTGGTGAAGGACCAATCAGCTCCCTCACACAGCCCCAAGTACACATTGGCCTTCGATTTTGGTGAAGGGCCAGTCAACTCCCTCACACAGCCCCCAATACGCATTGGCCGTTGATTTGGGTGAAGGGCCAATAACTGCCCTCACAAAGCCCCCAACAAGCATCTCGCCCTGATTTTGGCTAAGGGCCAATCAGCGCCCCCCCACAGGTAAATCACGCTCCCCCCCCTAAACCTGGCATTACACAAATCAGAGTCGACCCCCCATACAGAGTTGAGGCATCAGAGTACACTAGTAAAAAAAGTCTGAAAAATCAGCGTAGGTACATAAAACTTCTCTGAAAAATCAGAGTAAGGTACAAAAAAAAGTCTTCCCAATCAGAGTACACCCCCCAAAAAACTCTGAAAAAAGTCTGCATCAGAGTAAAAAGTCTGCAATTTGGGGGCCTGCTTGTGACCTGCCTGGTCACTACTGCTTTGGAAGATGCTCGTTGGAAGGCTACAATTTGCACAAGTAGAGCTAATTTGAAATTACCTTCGCAGGCAACCGACATTGAAAAACACAAGTTGGTAACTATCAGCTGACACATTCGTGGGGAGAAGATTCCATGTGACAATTTCAGAACTAGTGCGCTTGCATCCAAATCTCTGCCGCCCCACTGCTGCCGTCCGTGTCCCTCCCTCTTCTCCAGCTGCTCCTGCTCCAGAAAGCAATCGTTGAAGCAAGCCACGCCAGCATCTAATACAGCACATTCTTGGGGAGATTCCAGTTGACATTGTTCCTGACCTGATGCCCATGCTAGTGCACATCTGCTCAGCCCTCTGCAGAGCCGTCCCACTGCTACTGTGCCCCCCCCCTTCAGCTGCCTCTGCTGATCTGCTGTGAAAAGCAACTGTTGACACGAGACCAGCCAGCATCTAATACGGCACATTCTTGGGGAGGTTCCAGTTGACATTGTTGCTGATGCCCACACTAGTGCGCAGGCGCTCGAATTTCTGCCGCCCAACAGATGTCGCATCCCTCTGCTTCAACTGCTGCTGCTGCTCTGCAGTCCGCCAGCCCAGCTGCCGTGTGGCCAGACCCATGGCTCGGTACCTGCCGGGAAAAAAAGGTGGGACGAAAAATACAAAGAACACAGGGGAGAGGGCATGAGAAAATCCTTATCTGCTTCTGCTGCTCTGCAGTCCGCCAGCCTAGCTGCCGTGTGGCCAGACCCATGGCTCGGTACCTGCCGGGAGAGAGAAATTTCAGCCAAGGAAGAACGAAGAGTGTGAGATGATGACGGGGATAGGGGAGGGCGGCAGGCATGAGGAGTCATTGTTGTTTGTTTTCCACAAATCATTGCAGCTCGTACAAATTATCAAGGTACTCACTTGGCGAGCACAGAAGCCACAAGTCGTGTGTTGCTGTCGCCAGTCGGTTTCGGTCGCTGGCGGTAATATCTCGCGAGATCCCGCGAGCCAATCACACGCTTCGTGCCACATGCACCCTTATCCGCACCCCTGCCCCCCTTTCCTGCTGCGGCATTGAATATGATCAGCTCCATGCCCCCGCTGGTCAAGGCCACATGCGGACGAACGTCATCAGCCACAATCAGCTCACGGCTCGTGCCTTCCTCATAACTGGTAGAGAGCGAGGAAAGGAAGAAGGGATGGAGAGATAAGAGAGGAAACGGAAGGTAAAGAAACGATCAGCCGGGATCGGCTCACGGCTCGTGCACTCCTTGTAACTGGTGGAGGGCGTGGGAGGCAGGTAAGTATGGAGAGGAGGGGGAAATGGAAAATACGTGACAACTTTTGTATACACAAGCAGCCTTCAGGCTTCGTTTTTCTCTCATCAATCGCATTAGTGTTCAACCTTGTTTGAAATAACACCCTGTTATAACCCGCTTGCTCAGCTGCAGTTTTCCCATGTGTGACAGCATGGTGTGGCATTTCACCTCAGCCTGAGGAGGACCTACAATCACCTACCTCTCTGTGGAGGACTCATCGCCGAACAACATGCGATTGTAGGTGATTTTTTTGAAGTCTAAAACATCACCATGTCTGACAGCATTGCGTGTCATTTCAACCCAGCCTTACCCTACCTCCGCTTGGACTCATCACCGAACAACATGTGGTTGTTCCTATGCAACCCGAAGTTGTCTCAAACCCCCTCACGAAGCAATAAACGCTGTCATGCCAAGTGCTGAAATGTCCCCAAACCACAAAATCTTCGCCTCTATATGCTTCCTGACTGCCTCTACTGAGCTGAACTGCCAAACCCTAGACCCTGAACATGTGACATACCTCTTGCTGAAGTCGTAGAAATCTTCTAATTCCTCTTCAGCGATGCCGGACCCATCCCCATACCACAGCTTCCCATGGCTCTTCGCCTCCATATGCGCTCTAACCGCTTCCACTGAGCTGAACTGCCAACCCAAGCCCTCAACCTGAAACCCTCGACCCAAGCCATACCTCTTGCTGAAGTCGTAGAAGTCTTCTAATTCCTCCTCAGCGATGCCGGACCCATCCCCGTACCGCAGCTTGCCATGGCTCTTCGCCTCCATGTGCGCTCTAACCGCCTCCACCGAGCTGAACTGCCAAACCCAAACCCTCAACCTGAAACCCTCGACCCAAGCCATACCTCTTGCTGAAGTCGTAGAAGTCTTCTAATTCCTCCTCAGCGATGCCGGACCCATCCCCATACCGCAGCTTGCCATGGCTCTTCGCCTCCATATGCGCTCTAACCGCCTCCACCGAGCTGAACTGCTTGCTCCTGTCATCGCACCACAGGCACATGCGCCCCTGGGTGACTTTCGCCGCCAGATACTGTAGCATCCCTTGCAGGTCCGTGAGGAACTCCATATCGGGGATGAAGAACCCGTGGTGCTTGTGCATGTGCTCGACGCATTCGTCCAACCCCCCCTTGCTTTTCTTGTCGCAGAAAAAGCACTGAGACACGTCCCACTCCTCTCCTCCCCCTCCTCCTCTACCCTTCTCCCCCTCCTCCCCTTCCTTCCCTTCCTCCCCTTCTCCCTCCTTGCTTCCCTCTCCCTCCTCTTCTACCTCCTCCCCTCCCTCTGCCAGCAACGCCGCGGCCTCCTCCTCATCCACCTCCTCCCACTCCTCCTCCTCTTCCTCTTCCTCCTCCTCCCCTTCCTCCACCACCCCTTTCCCCTTATCCTTAACTCCCGCGTCTTTCCCCCTCACCGCCACAACCACTGGTTTCGCCTCAACCCTCCGAATCACCGGCCTAGACGGGTCCAAAACCCCTGAACCCTGAACCCCTGCCCCGATAATGCCTGCCCCAGTAGCACCAGCCCGTGCGGCTGCCACAGCGGTTGCAGCCTTGGACGCGTGTAGCCTGGATCGCAAATGACTCGCATGAGCTGATTCGCTATTGTACTTCTTACTGCAAACGACACACTCGTATATCAACCACCCTCCAGCAGCGACTGGCGCTCCGCCAGGCGGAACCCCCCCAAGCGCAATCCCCCCAGGCGCAACCCCATCCGCGCCCCCACTCAAGGGCCCCCCGGCTTCCGCTGCTGCAATGTCCCCTGACGCGGCTGCTGCGGCGGCGGCGGCGGCTGCTGTTGCCGCAGCGACGGCGCCCCGCTTTCCCCCAGCAACGGCGGCTGCGGCGGCTGCGACGGCCTCCTTGCGCTTCTCGAACCACTGCTCTGTCACCCCGGGGAGACCCGCTACCTGAAATTAAAACGGTGGGGGGATTTGGGGGAGGAAAATGAACGGGCAAAACGGCAACTCCTTGCGCTTCTCAAACCACTGCTCCGTCAGCCGGGGGAGACCCGCTGCCAGGAATTGTGGGGAGAGAGGTGGGGGGGAAAAGAGGAGAGATGACACCTGCTCTTCCTGCTTCTCAAACTACTGCTCTGTCTCCCCGGCGAGCATGCTACCTGAAAAAAGTACGTGAGGACGAAGGCAAAAATCACGCAACGTATAAAGCCGCTGAACCTTGAGCTTGCCGAACCACTGCTGCGTCACTCCGGGAGACACGCCACCTCGAATCCAACGAAAGAGTGAAGAATCGCCACCAATACGGGATGTACGGGAAATCGGTTCGTTACTAGACGGACTTTAAAGTGCCGCGTTCCGAGGTAGCACCGCACTTTACCCCAGAGGGCGTGCCGCAGGTTCGTTAAATGCCGTGAAACACCTTTCGCTTGAGGTTGTAGCGGTGCCAGTCGGAGCGATAGTGGGCGATACGGAATTGTAACACAATTTCGGCTGATGCTCGCAACGCACCTTTCGCTTGAGGTTGTAGTGGTGCCAGTTGGAGCGATACTGGGCGTTACGAATGTATAACACAGCCTTCGTTAAGGGTTGTAACTAACCTTTCGCTTCAGGTTGTAGCGGTGCCAGTCGGAGCGATAGTGGGCGTTTCGTGACGGCCCATCGTCGAACGATGCGTTACACGCGTTGCACTGCATCGCTCCCAAATTCCGCAACAGTTGCGATTGCTAGTAACGAGGATCGCTAACTTCCTGAGTGACTGAGAAACAGTTGCGGTTGCGTGACTGTACAGACGACTTAAGTCGCCAAATGATAGCTCTGAAGGATGAGGCGAATGGTACTTATTAATCTCAATAGTTGAGCTGTCTAACAAGGCTGAAGGCAGCACACAGAATTTACAGAAAGTTTGAAGACGGAAGGAATCTTAAGACCAGACACCGTACTGAATGATGGTCTGGGGCTGAGCTGGGCTACTGTTCTGATGGCCAACTAAAATTGTAGGACTGTCCGCGGAGCAAGAATACAGTGGCCGTGTAAACCTGCCAGAAGGCTCTGGAATGGGAGGGAGGTGCTAGCCAGGAAGGGCGGAAGGAAGTGTCAGCCAAGGTTTTGCAAAACCCCCTCGATTCGGTTGGCGGTGCCTTTACCCGCACGCCTCCAACGCCACTACAGTGAAACAACTGTGTTTTACACGCCAGCATAAAAACAGTTCCCATCTTATCCAACAATCAAATGACATTCAAGGTAAAACAAATAGCGATATAACAATCAAATTAATGCTTTTGAGTGTTTTAGAAGGATGCACTAGGATGGAGGCACTATTATTTCCACGCGTTCTGTTTAACAATTGCCTGGCTGCTCGTCACCACCAGCCGTCTTGCTACAGGCAGCCACAAGAATATTCATTTTGTCAATAGGTGGTGTAGCGCAGGAAAATAGATTTGGCACGCCATAACAGTGCCATCCCAGCCAGTTACCACTCTGCACCGAACTTCTCAATCCACCTTGGCAACCTCCCCTCCTGGCACTGTAGCAGCAGCGCTCTCAGCCATCTGCTCGTTCATGAACCTGGTGGAAGAAAAGAGGGAAGGGAGGAGGGATTTAGAGAGACAGAAGAAGACAGACGAATCTGTTAGCAGCCTAGCCCCTGGCACTGTAGCAGCAACACTCAAGGCCACCTGCTTGCTCATGAACCTGGGAAGGCACAGCAGGCAGGAAAGAAAACATTGAAGGGGAATTCCGAACACAAATGACGAATACGCTGCGACACGCCTGGCCACTAAGGTAGTGAACTAGCGACCAGTCTTTTCCCCTGGTATGTAAAACCACTGCTTTCTGCTCGCTCACGGGCTTGAAAAGAGGAGGACGCCAGGAAGTGGGGAGTTGAGGAAAGGGCAGTAAACCAGAGCCATAGAAGCCAGTAAAAAACCTGGAACTGTAGCAGCTCTTTCTGGGATGTGCTTGTTGAAATCTGGAAAGAGCAGGGAACGTAGAGCTTACTTGGCCAATTTATCCTTGGACGACTGAAGGATGTAGACTGCCAGAAACGTTGTGAGGATGAAGGCTACATGAGTAGCGAAGAGAATGCAGGAGAGAGAGAGAGAGACAGTGCGTGCGATGAGTTAACTGGCGAACAGAGACAGCAAGAAACGTCTTTAGAAGCAAAAACATGCCAGAACATTGTGCAGCCGAATGCTGCATGAGAGTACCAGGGGAGGGGAGGAGCACACTAGGACAGAATCGAGGCTGGTGAGAGAAGTGGGGAAAGGAAACAGGAGGAGAGAGATGAGTTGACAGGAAGGGGGAGGATGAGGGGTCAGAGACGAGCATGGCGAAAGGGGAGGAATGTGGATGGGTGAGTGAGAGAGAGGGGAGGGATGAGAGGCAGGGAATGAGAGGCGGTGAGGAATGGTGAGAAAGGAGCAGCTTACTGGAGGCGAAGAGCACGAGGAGACCAGCTGTGACGTCCACCTCAGCGTACTCCAGCCTGAGAGAGAGAGGGGGAGAGAGGAGAAGAGAGAGGGAGGGAGGACGAGAGTGAGAAACATGCAGAGTGGTAGAGAGAAAAGTGAAGGAGCAGACCAGCTGTGACGCCCATCCCGGCATATTCAAGCCTGGGGGAGAGAGAATGAGCGAGAGAGAGGCAGAGCAGGAGAGGGGGGAACGGGGAGAGGGAGAGGGGCAAAGGAGTGAGAGGGGCAAATGTGATCTCATCTCACCATCGATAGTCTCCAGTACCTGCACTGCCCAGCGCTTCACCAGAGTAAGCATTGGCAGCATCAACCCTCACAAGTACATGCACTGCCCAGTGCTTCACCAGAGTAAGCATTGGCAGCATAAACCCTCACAGAGCATACTGCACCATCCCATCGCATCACGCGTGATTCCCGATCATGAACGCGCTATGAAACCATCACCATCTCATCTCACTGTCTAAACGCATGACCATCTCACCTAACAAGGTGTATTTCATGAGCACATGCTTGGGCCAGTGCGTCTCGTTTCGGAACTCCGTTGAGGACAGCCCATGTCCGATCACCTATCCGCATGCACCATGCATCTCACCTCACCATCTACACACTTCACCATATCATCTCGCTGTCTAAACACATCACCACCTCGCCGTCTAAACACATCATCATCTCATCTCACCGTCTAAACACTGCACCATCTCATCTCGCCGTCTAAAAACATCACCATATCATCTCACCAGGTGTACTTCATCAGCACGTGCTTGGGCCAGTGTGTCTCGTTTCTGAACTCCAGCGCGAGCTGCCGATGGCGCTCCAGGTCTGCATGGCAGGGGGGGAGGAGTGCAGGGGGGGGAGGAGTGCAGGGGGGAGAGGAGGGTAGGGGGGAGAGGAGGGCAGGGAGGGGAGGAGTGCAGGGGGGAGAGGAGGGCAGGGAGGGGAGGAGTGCAGGGGGGGGAAGAGTGCAGGGGGGAGAGGAGGGCAGGGAGGGGGAGGATTGCAGGGGGGGAAGGAGGGCAGGGAAGGGAAGGAGGGCAAGGAGCGGAGGAGGGCAGGAAGGGAGTGATGAGCTATGAGAGAGACCTGAATAACGCGCCAGGTGTACATAGCATGGAAGGGAGGGAGGGAGGGAGGGCGCCTCGTTCCTAAACTCCAGCGTGATCTGTCGACGGCGTAGGTGACCAGTTTAGGAACAGGTGATCAGAGCATGTCGACGGCGCTCCACGTCTGGTGGGGTGGCAGGTAGCGACAGCGATTGGGGGGGTTAGGAGCGTTTTGATGAGGCGCTCCTCCTGCTGTACATACTAGATGATAACGCATCGCACTACTCCCATTCATATAGTATATTGCAACAGAATAGCATACCACGCTACTCACTTCAATCATAGAGTACCGTAACATAAAATAAATCAATCACATATCACGCTACTCACATTCCTAGAGCCCATTGTGCACCTAGCTGGGCCTGAACTCCCACCAAGCCACCCTTACGAACACAATCACTTGCATCTCACAGCGTATCCCTCACAGAGCAAGATAGCAACACTCACACTCATGCAGCAGGTTGTGCACCTGCGCTTGTCCCCCCCTCAAGTCGCTCTTAATACCATGGCTCACATGCACCTTATAGTGTATCCCTGGCAGAACAAGATAGCAACACTCACACTCATGCAGCAGGTTGTGCACCTGCGCTTGTCCCCCCCTCAAGTCACCATTACCACCACCAATGTTTGCAGCATGCACTGCCATGCCATATGCCATATACAATCTAACGATACTCACACTCATGTGGCAGATTGTGCACCTGGGCCTGCAACCCCCTCAAGTCACCCTACTTGATACTCACATGAGCTCCACCATACCATAGCACAACAAACCACAGATCCCACGACTCACATTCGTGCGGCAGATTGTGCACCTGCGCCTGCACTCCCCTCAAGTCACCCGCAAAATGGGTCTGTGGGGAATGGGGGGCAGCAGATGATAAGGGAGGGCGGGCAGGGGGAGAGCGAGAAGCAGTGGGTCGCAGGGAGAGAACGTGGTGAACAAAGATGGTGTGTGTGTGTGTGTGTGTGCGTGTGTGTGTGTGCGCGTGTGTGCGTGTGTGTGTGTGTGTGTGTGTGCGCGTGTGTGTGCGTGTGTGTGTGTGTGTGTGCGTGTGTGTGTGTGTGTGTGTGCGCGAGTGCGTGTGTGTGTGTGTGCGTGTGTGTGTGTGAGTGTGCCTCTGTGTGTGTGTGTGTGTGTGTGTGTGTGCGTGTGTGTGTGCGTGTGTGTGTGTGTGTGTGTGCGTGTGTGTGTGTGTGTGTCTGTGTGTGTGTGCGCGCGTGTTGTGTTGGTGTGTGTGTGTGTCGCGTTCAAAAGGAAATATAACTGTTCAAATTATGGGAGACACAGAAGAAACAATCTCAGCCGTAAACGCCAGGGATCGTCAAGATGAAGTGAACACCGGGGTTACAGTTACATGTAACTTCACTTGTACACACCAGGGTGACCTCAATAAGGGGGACGTTATTGCTCTTCCGACCAATCACAAGCAGCCACGGCGTCACAAACTTCTCATTTCCGACTGACAATGACCTGTGAGGCAGCAGAGAGAATCGTGGGAATGAGGGGTGAAAGGAAACAAATAGGAATGAGGGGTGAAGTGAAACAAATAGGAATGCGGGGCGAAAGAAAAGCGAGGAAAGGAAAGGAGAGAATCCAACCAAAGGCGGCACAACTGCTCTCAACCTCCACTTACAGAGGGCTGAGAGGGGGTAGAGCCTTAAGGGGAGGGATAAGAAGAGCAAGAGTTTCAAAGAACAGGCTAGGTGTGTGTCAAAGACCAGGCCAGGTGTGTGTCAAAGAGCAGGCTAAGTGTGTGTCAAAGAGCAGGCTAAGTGTGTGTCAAAGAGCAGGCTAAGTGTCACAGAGCGCGATCAAAGTGTTACAGAAAGCAACTCAAGTGTTACAGACACCAAGCTAAGCGCCATAGACAGCAAGCTAAGAACAGTGCAGCTGTTGCTTCTTGGAAAACTTGATAGCACGTACATCTTACAAGAAATGTCAAGCCGTGGTGGCTATCGAGTCGACTGAAGTGAACACTTACATAATATAAGAATGTCCTTAACGCATACATCTTACAGGAGTGTCTGGAAATGCCAAGCCCCGGTGGCTATCGAGTCGACTCGACTGAAGTGAACGCATACACAATATAGAGATGCTCTTAACACGTACATCTTATAGGAGTGTTCCGACATCTCGAACCCCACGGGGCGCGGAATGGGCAGCGCCACCTGGCGCAGGGGAAGGCAGAGAAGGGCGGGGGAAGGGCAGGAAAAGCGGGGCTTGAGGCAACGACTGGGAGGGGCAGGGAAAGGGCAAGAAAGGTTGGGGCATGAGGCAACTTACGGACAGGGGAAGGGGGCAAGGGTCAAGGGGCAAGCGGCAAGGGGCAAGGGGCAAGGGGCAAAGGGCAAGGGGCAAGGGGCAAAGGGCAAGGGGCAAGGGGCAAGCGGCAAGGGGCAAGGGGCAAGGGGCAAGGGCAAGGGACCTGGGGTGCTCTCGCATTTAAAAATTCAACAAGGGGGGGAATGGGCAGAGCCACCTGGGGGAAGGGGCAAGGCGCAACGGACAAGGGCACGGGTTTCCTCGCACCACGTTACCCGTCGACTGCCGCCCACCTCTCTTATTCTTGACTGCCACCCACCTCTCTTATCTTACTCTTGACTGCCACCCACCTCTCTTATCATACTCTTGACTGCTACCCACCTCTCTTATCCTACTCTTGACTGCCACCCACCTCTCTTATCCTACTCTTGAGTGCCACCCACCTCTCTTATCCTACTCTTGACTGCCACCCACCTCTCTTATCCTACTCTTGACTGCCGCCCACCTCTCTTATCCTACTCTTGACTGCCACCCACCTCTCTTATCCTACTCTTGACTGCCACCCACCTCTCTTATCCTACTCTTGACTGCCACCCACCTCATTTCTCCTACTCTAGACTGCCGCCCACCTCTCTGTTGATGCCGAATCGTGGGCAGTGCCGTCCAATGGCGTCGTGCCAATGCGTCCGCATCTGCGGGTCGAATCCGCGCGTTAGAGGTGGGCGGAGGGGGGAGGGGGAGGGGGAGGGGGAGGGAGAGGGGGAGGGGGGAGGGGAGGGGGAGGGGGAGGGGGAAGGGGAGGGGGAGGGGGAGGGGGAAGGGGAGGGGGAGGGGGAGGGGGAGGGGGAGGGGGAAGGGGAGGGGGAGGGGGAGGGGGAAGGGGAGGGGGAGGGGGAGGGGGAGGGAGAGGGGGAGGGGGAAGGGGAGGGGGAGGGGGAGGGGGAAGGGGAGGGGGAGGGGGAGGGGGAGGGAGAGGGGGAGGGGGAAGGGGAGGGGGAGGGGGAGGGGAGGAAGGAAGAGGGGAGGAGGGAAAACGGGACGAGGTAAGGGAGCAGGGGAGGAAGGAGAGGATAGGTAGCAGGGAAGAGAATGGGAGAGAGGGGGGGGTCGGTGAGAGCAAGACCAAGAAGAAGTGGGCACCACATGGGCATCACGTGGGCATCACATGGGCACCACATGGTCATCACATGGGCACCACATGGGCACCACATGGGCATCACGTGGGCATCACATGGGCACCACATGGTCATCACATGGGCATCACATGGGCACCACATGGGCATCACATGGGCATCACGTGGGCATCACATGTGACCGTGGGTATCACATGGTTAAATCCCAGGGCAAGAGGGAACAATCCGGCGGACCGTAGGAGAAACAGCCATTGCAGGGAATCTACGTCGTTGAAGTGGCGTGTCCTGGCCAGGAGCACGTAATCTCCCATTCGATACGACGATCGCCAAGAAGCGGAAGAAAGGGAGCAGCATCCTCGTTACAAACAGAGGTCGCGATAAGGGAACTTACTGGCCTTTCCTTGCCAGCGGAACGTAGTCTCTCACTTGATACGACGAAGAGAGATACACCACGACGAGGACGAATGGGACCGGCATCCTCGTTATAAACAGCATTCACGGTAACGGGACTTACGTTGTTGAACTGGCCTTTCCTGGCCAGCGGTACGTAATCCCCCACTTGATACGACGAGGCGAGATGCGCCATTGTAACCAGAGCTACGAAGAACGACAGCAACATCCTCCTTATAAGCGCCATCGCTTTAACTAATTGTGAAGATCACAGATTGTGAAGATCGAAGACGGCGTGGATCCCAAAGCTCGGCACCCAAAGCCAAGGGTCAATCTACGCAAGTCAACGGAGCTAGTGTAGGAAAGGTGGCACCTGCTGTCGCCTGACGTAGCTGCACTTAGTACCAAACGGTAGTCCCAAAAAACATGGAGCTAATTACTATCTACTAGTCCTGCTTATCGCGGCGAGATGATTCTGACGGCAGCACAAAGAACTAACGGAAAAGCGAACCTAGATTCTAGATTCTAGATTCTGGAACTCATGAGGTGGGAGGGAGGGCTTTCGCCGGGGAGATGGCTGACAGATCCGCGAGTGCGGTTGTTCCTCAGGGCATGTTTGATAGAAGCAGCTCAGGGATCTCAGTTGGGACACGGAGAACGCACAACGCCGAGGTGACCAATGCAAACGAGAATCGAACTGATGCGCACCGTAACTTACAAGACTGTACCGCACAAAACGAAACCCTGAAATAGTTTCGTTGAGCTTTGAAGAGATATCTAGATCGAATTTGGTAACCGCTCTTTTCGCCACCCGTTCCAGGGTTGCAACTGGAGTCGACTAGAGTGTCAATTATTTTTCTGAGTATTTTTAATTTCAATGTACACATGTCATCAGTGCCAGTGGTCTAGTGGTAGAATAGCACCCTGCCATGAGCCCGGTGCAGACCCGGGTTCGATTCCCGGCTGGCACAGATCGTTTTCATTCTGTTAGCGAAACGCATTTTTTTTCGCAAGCAGGAAATCGAATTTGCCAGTGAAACTTCGTTGGGGTCAGACGCCTTTCGCTAATGCACGTTTGTTCTCGCCTGACTGGTCCTCCGTGTCGCACTTTTCTCGTTCGCGATTTCGTTTCAGTTCGTTGCTGCCACCGCTACATTTCACAGCCTGTGACTTTCGCCAAAGCAGAGCTCGTTTCGCAAATACTTGTTTCGCGAAACTCGCAACCTCCTCCCTCGTCCACCACTTTCTCCGCCATGGCCGCCACCACCACCACAGCCAGCAGCAGCAGCAATGCATGTTACATTACGAGCACTCCCACAATCGTCACATAATCTTCATCCCCTCTTACCTTGCAAACTTCACCTTTCACCACCACCAACATAAATATCGAAAACGAATGCTCGCTCATTTTTCATGGCGAAGCTTCCATCAACGCGTATGTCCGGCTCGCCACGTCATCCCCACCAGCACAAACCAATCAAGTAAATAGTATAGACAACCATAACATGGCGTTACTTTCCCACGGTTTCATCGGTCCATCGTCGCGCACGTCGCTCGGTGGTGGCACCACCGCGACTTCCCCTCATTCACCTGGGGTGCCGGCGTGACTTGCCAGTACGTGATGGCTTTACGTGCATAATCACCCTAAACCGTGACGGTGCGCATTCTATGCGATCGCGGCTGCGATTTTCTCCATATGACAAGCGTTCGCTCTCGGCAGCACGTTCAACGCCGCGCATCCTGATCGAACCGCTGTGCACCAGCGGCGTTGAACATGCTCTGATCGCTTTCGGCATGTTCATGTCAGCTGTCACGCTAGCGCCTCTGTATTTTACTCTTTGTCGAGCATCCTTGTCGAGCCGCATCGCGGATTCTGTGAGAGATATGTCAGAATTCTCAAGAACGGCCCAACATGCCACCTAAGATCCACGGAAGATCACCGCGGAGGCTCTGGGTTAAGCTCAGTTTTGCCCGGATAGGCGACGGGGTCAGAATACATTACATGACAATCTCATGACAAGCTCGCTGCTCCGAAAGCAACTGGCATGGTTCTTGGGTTCCAGGACCGTCGTTGCACAGCGAGTTTCCGTTTGTCTGACTGTGGGGCGGGGGTAAGTGTGTGTTGGGGGGGGGGGGAGGGGGGGAAGGGGGGGAGAAGGATGAATATGTGTGGAGAGGGGGGGAATTGTTGGAGATGGTTCGGCGCTGCCCTACCCAACGGCGGACCTACCCTAATCCGGCGGCACGATGGCGGCACTAGGTACGGAGGAGGAACGGTGATGCAGCGATATGCGGTGGGAGCACGAAAGAAATGTGGTAGAGGAAAGCGGAGAAAAAGGGAGAAGGAAACGAGGAGGAAGGAAGGATTGCGCGGCTGCTGGAAAGGATGCGTGAGGCAACAGCAGCTGCTAGAAGTGTTGTGCGTGGAATTGGAAGTTGGAAGAGGAGTGCATTCGGTGCCCGTTCAATGGAACCGAACTCGGTGTCAGTTTCGGTGCCAAACCGACGCGGAGCGCGTTCGGTTTCGGTGGAGTGCGACTTGGGGTGACTCAAGGCGCACGCGTTACAGCGAGACGCATGCGGTGTTACGAAGCACTTAGCTGAAATCCGAAATGCATATATGTGTTGTTTCAGTTCGTGCTTTGTATCTCATTCCGAATTATTGGATTCAGAAAATTGCTGCATCTCGCATTGACAACTTTCAGCTACTCTGATCATACCTTTGGAATCGTGAGATCAAGGAGATCGATAAGTAGCCTAACCGGAGGCGCTTGTCGACTAAGAGGAGTGTAGGGTGGGCTTGAGCATAGGGGGTTGAGTAAGAGAGGAAAGGTTAGGCAGGGCCATGGAAATGTGAACTGGTGTGAGAAGAGCAAAGTCTGGCGGGAAGATGGTTAGTGAGTAAAGGTGGGGCAGGGATGTTGTAAATTGTTTCAAGAAACGAGGGGAAGCCACGCGGGGAGATGGAGAAAGAATGTAATTATGGCGAAAAGCGGCAGCAGGGAGGTGTTGCTGCAGACGGCATGGAGATGGGGGGGACTGAGCAGTGGTGAGATAGTAGGTGGGGGGAAAGCGGATGGTCTGAGGCATTTGGATCTACTCTCAAAAGGCTTGTTGCGGGTCGAATCCATCCCCATATCAGCGGAGCAAACACTGAGCAATGGTGAGATTTGGGTGGGGGGAAAGCGGATGAAAGATGGAGGGGTGATAGTTGAAGTGGGGGGGGAGGGAGAGAGGAAACAAAGGAAGAGCAAGGAGGTCATGGTAGGAAGAGACGGTGGGACGTGGAGCAGCAGTGAGAGGAAGGAAGTCAGCCTTGGAGCATTACCTCCTCCCCGCTCCTCCTTCCCTTCCCCCTCCTCGTATTTGTTCTCCCACTCTTTCCCCCATCCTTCTCCCCCTCATTTCCCCCCACGGGCCCTCCTTCTCCTCGTTAACAAATTGGATATGGTGCAGCAGATTGCAGCATTTCGCCCTCACCCCCTACTCCCTCCACTTTTTTCCTTCCCTATTGTTCTCTGCTGCTGTTAGTGGGTAGTCTTCACTTTTCCCCTATGTTTTCTCCCCCTCTCTCCCCTTTTTCTCCCTTCCACTACAGCAGCGTTTGACCCTCGTCTCCCCTCTGCCCCGCGTCCTGCTGCTGCTGGTCAAACTGCTGTTTCTGAGGCCCCTCTTCTCCCCTCTCCCCACCTTCTCCTGCCCCTCCTGCCCCCCCCTTGCAGCAGTGGCTGATGGTAAACTCCCTCTGCTCCGAGTCCTGCTGCTGCGGGCCTAGAGTGTTCCAATGCGCCTGCTGCATTGAGCCTAACATGCTGAATGGGAAGAACTAGATGGGGCAAACCTGGTGGGCCAAACCTGATGGGCCAAACCTGATTGGCCAAACTTGGTGGGCCAAACCTGATGGGGCAAAGAAAATGCACCTGCTGAGAGGGGCAATGTTGCCAGATTGTGTTCCCTAGTGAGGTACTAAGGACGAATTCCAATGACCTCGCGTCAGACCACCTCGTGTCAGAATCATGCGGTCCTGCACGGTGCACAACCTCAATCTCGCAATTCCATGCGTGCGTCTCGGTTCGTCGCGAGTCAGACGCAAGGTCAAGTCTAACGCGGGCTGTAGGAATTCGCCCTAAGTTAAGCTGTGGTTTTCCTCTGTTCCTGTGGTCTTACAACAGCGACGCTATAGGCGCATCCCTTTATTTAGCCCAATGCGCTTATGGAGTGCAAGTGCACCTATATCTGTTATTCGATTACAAGCGCACCCCCTTTTTTTCGAAACGTATTTGCTTTAAGCGCATTTGAGCTATAAGCGCACCCGTATTTCCTATAAGCACATCCTTCATCAAGTGACACAACGTACAGTACTCCACTAGTTAGAGGCTAAAAGTTACAATACAATAATAATACTACTCCTAAACTAATCCAACCTTAGCTGCATTAACCTAGACACTGTTGGAAATACCTCGAAGACTTAAGCGTTTCTGAAGTGTAACACTACACTTGAGGAAAGCCGTATCGAGTACGCGAGTCAACGGAGGTTACACGAGGAGGTTGGACGAAAGAACACGAAAGGACGAAGGGACTCAAAGGGTTGCAACCGGAGGTTGCGACTGACCGTTACGACTACAAGGGTGGTAACCGAACCGACAATCGAATCGCTGTGCGACTCGATAAACATTCCTTCAACTGTATTCTACAACTACTTCATCTCTTATTTTCTATATATTGTTGTATGCTTGTTTCTTTTAATCAATCACTTGCTCTCACATACTAGTGCAAGGGATCAACTACTCAACTCTTCCGCTGCACTACTCAAGCATTTCATACAAGTGGGACTTAGTCTCTGAAAAGATCCTAGGGCTTTTCTCAATCCAACAGACACTATACACCTACTCAGGGGCTGCAACATCATCCGAATCAGAGTCACCCGCAGGAACGGTCTCGTTGTCCCCATAAAAGCCATCTGCGGCTATCTCAGCATCACACTCCATCTCTGTCTCTTTTGTAGATCTCCTATGGGCCATGCAGTGGTGATCCTCACTGCCATCTAGAGCATTGCTGATGCCACACATTAAGAAGGCCTTCTGGATGAGCTTTGCAGGGACGGCCTTCCAGGCCTTCGCCACCAACTTGAGAGTCATCTCAGGTGGAGGCTTCTTCAAATTCCCTAAACGCGTAAACAACGACCACAGTACCGTAGTTAGACATTATACAAGAATAAGAAACCTGACTCTGAGACAACCAAAATAGAAGAACTCACCCTTCGCCGTGAGGAGGTTACAACCCTCTAGCTGAAACCACTCTTCGTACTTCTGCCGTACATTCGCCCTGAACGACCGGTTCACAGAGACATCGAGGGGTTGCACCTCAGATGTACAGCGTGCAGGGATGACGCCAGGGACAATATTCAGCTCAGCATACCTGTCCTTGACGTACTTCGTCAATTGGCCGCGATACGAGTCGAGAATGAGAAGGGCCGAACGTGCATGCATGCCGAACCGCGACTGAATGAAGGGTTTGATCGTCTCCTCGAGCCACTCCAGTACGCCATCCGCATCCATCCAACCGTTGGGTTGGGCGACGACCCTGACCTCTGCAGCAGACGGGAAAAAAACATGAACAAAAAACAACAAAAAAACGGACTTAGTCATGACTAGGAGAGCCATGTGGCAATAGCAACTGGATGGAATGAAAACCGTGCTTAAAGAAAACAGCGCAACACCTAGTTAACAGAATCTCCTAAAGCGTCTAATATAAAACTGACATGGCGGGAAATTTCCCTTCGGTATTGTTTGTCGCTTAAAGAATACCCACGGCTTTAACTTCTTGCCAGTCGCTGTGCAGGCCAACATGACGATTACCCTTTCTTTTTGGTAACCAGTGCTGCGGATTCTCACCGAATTCGTGCCGATTTCGTCCACCGTGTGATCCACCGGCATCTCCAACCACAGTGGTGTTTGGTCGGCATTGATGATCCACCGAAGGTCGATGTTATAGTGCCGACGCGAGTCTCTGACAAAGCACCAGAATTTCAGCACCTTCTCCTCGTTCTCTGTTGTAAGGGATAGGAGAAAGGAAGAGAAATCTAGATAAGAAGCCAATAATTTGCATGGAAAACTGCACCATGGTAAAGGCAGTGAATGGAATATGACGGAATAGGGGCAAAAGCAACTGTTACTTACGCTCTGAGAGTCTCTGACCGACTTTGGTTTTTGCTCAAACGGAGAGGTTCCACCGACCGACTGGTCTTAAAGAATACCCACGGCTTTTAACTTCTTTCCATGTCTTTGTACCTGGAGCTCCGGCCGTGCTGCCAAACATAGATTGTTATGTTTGTATAGACCGTATAGGTTTGTGTCTTAGAGGGTACAGCTTCTAGGTTATATTACCTTGTACTCTCCCTTTCTAGTCTATTCTTCCATTCTAACATGGTATCATGAGTAGGTTAGGCTCCTCCCCCCCACCAGCGCTTTCGCCCTAGGTCCTAGCCGCCCGTTCCCCCTAGCCGGCCCCGTTCCCCCTAGCTTGCCCGCCCCTTTGCTGGCACCGCGTCCGCCCCTAGCCGGCCTCTCGTTTGCCCTGTCGCCGGCCCCGCATCCGCCCCTAGCCGGCCCCGTGTTCGCCCCGTCGCTGGCCCCCTGTTCGCCCCGTAGCCGGCTCCGCGTCCGCCCCTAGCCGGCCTCGCGTTTGCCCCGTAACCGTCCCCGCGTCCGCCCCTAGCCGGCCCCGCGTTCGTCTCGTAGCCGGCCCCGCGTCCGCCCCGTAGCTGGCCCCGCGTGCGTCCCTAGCCGGCCCCACGTTCGTTTCGTAGCCGGCCCCGCGGCCGCCTCGTAGCCGGCCCCGCGTCCACCCCTAGCGGCCCCGCGACCAGTCCTCTAGAGGCCCCTCGGACCCGTCGACCAGCGGCCCCTCGGCCTCGTCCCCTAGCGGCCCCGTAGCCCCGCCCCTAGCGGCCCATCGGCCCCGTCGACCAGCTCCCGCGGCCCCGTTCCCTAGTGGCCCCGTTCCTTAGCGGCCCCTCGGCCCCGTCGACCAGCGGCCCCGCAGCCCCGTCCCCTAGCGGCCCCTCGGCCCCGTCAGCCAGCCGCCCCGCGGCCCCGTTCCCTATTGGCCCCGTCCCATAGCAGCCCCTCGGCCCCGTCGACCAGCGGCCCCGCGGCCCTGTCCCCTAGCGGCCCCTCGGCCCCGTCGACCAGTGTCCCTGCGGCCCCGTCCCCTAGCGGCCCCTCGGCCCCGTCGACCAGCGGCCCCGCGGCCCTGTCAACCAGCAGCCCAGTGGCCTGCCGCCCGTCCGTTCCCCGACTCCGCGCCCGTCCGTCACCCCCCCCCCCCCCCGCCCATCCGTCACCGGCCCCCGCGCCCGTCCGTCACCGGCCCTGCGCCCGTCCGTTTTGCCGGCCCCGCGCCCGCCCCGTCCCCGGCCCGCGCGCCTACGCTGCAATCGACTACGCTGCACCGCACTGCACTGCACTGTACTGCACTGCATCCACTGCGCCGCACTGCACCGCATCTGCATCGCTCCTGATGGCGGACTCTGTACTGCGGCTTGATGCGGAGGGTCAGCCAATCGAGTTTGACACGTGCCTCGTCGACCTCCGCCGTCACCTGACAGGTCAGCGTCAGGACGGCCACTCCTTGGCCGTCCACCTTGATGGTACACTCCCCTGTCCTGACCCCCCCTCTCCGCTGCCCGCTGACCCCACGTCTGCTGATCGAGAGTCCGCTGCTGCTGCTGCCCTTGCCCGCTCGGTCTGGTTGTCTCATGACGCTGTTGCACAGCTTGCCATTAGTCATGCGCTTCCCCTGTCTGAGCGCCCCCGCTTTAGGTCTATCAGGACTGCACAGGAGTTCCTCGATGCTGCCAGCCTCTATGTTTCAGGGATGTGCGCCCACTCAGTGCACTTTCTCGGACAGCCCTGCTGCAGTGGCTGAGACGACCGCTGCAGTACAGGCTCGTCCTGGAAAGGGCTGCCGCTCCAAGGCGTGGCGTGGCGGTGGCGGTGGCGGTGCAGGTGGAGGTGGAGGTGGTGGTGGAGCCGGATCGTCTAGTGGTAGCGCTGACGAGGGGACCCTGACAGGTGCAGCCGAGCAGCCGTCTCAGCAGTCGCAGGTGTCAACGCCGGACACGCACCAGCCGCAGCAGCAGCCCTCGCACCAATAGCAGCAGCCGCAGCAGCAGAGGCGGGCTGGTGGTCTCCCGCCCGGGTGGCCTGACGCTGGTGGTGGCACTGAACGTGGTAGTCGTGCGCGTGGTGGGCTGTCGGGTGGCGGTTCGGGCGACGGGCACTGCCAGTACCTGCTTCAGACCGGTCCTCGCTGTGGCTTCGTTTGCGGTAAGATCGATCACACCTCCGTCCGCTGTTTCCATCGCTTGGACTACCTGTTTCGTCAGCGCTTCGGCCCGTCGCCTGACCTCCCCGACTGGCACAGCTTGCTTCGCCGTAGCGTTCAGATTTTTCATCTAGACAAGGATGAGATTGTTGCTGCCTTGCATGTAATGTATGCTGATGACTCTAGTGTGCCTGCTTCTTATTACCCCTTGTTGCCTAGTGTAGGCATGTCTAGTCGTGCCTCCCTTGCTTGTCGACGACTACACCCGCTACACCACCATCTTTCCCCTGGAGCGGAAGGCCGACGTGCCTGACGTTCTCATCCCGTGGCTTGTCTCTGCGCGTGTCCACCGCAGTCTCCCTGTCTTGCGTCTCCACTCTGACCGTGGCGGCGAGTTTGCCTCCGGCGTTCTTGGTCGTTTCAGTCGTGCGGAGGGCATCACCCAGACGTTCACCTTGCCGGACTCCCCGCAGCAGAATGGGGTCGCTGAGCGACGCATCGGTTTGGTCATGGAGGTGGCTCATACCTCCATGATAAATGCCGGTGCATCCCATTTTCTGTGGCCGTTCGCCGTTCGCCATTCGCTACGCCGCTCACTAGCTTAACCTGTGGCCGCACCCCCAGCAGCCTCAGGTTTCGCCGACCCTCCTCTGGACTAGGTCTCCTGGTGACGTGTCTGCGTTCCACGTCTGGGGCTGCCTTGCTCACGTTTGTGCCTCTGGCACGGACAAGTTCACTGCCCGCACCCTCCCCTGTGTCTTCCTCGGCTTCCCCCTAGACTCGTCCGACTGGCACTTATTGTTATGTTTGTATAGACTGTATAGGTTTGTGTCTTAGAGGGACAGCTTCTAGGTTATATTACCTTGTACTCTCCGTTTCTAGTCTATTCTTCCATTCTAACACGTGCCCGTGAAGCCGTTTCCGACATGGTGCGGCTTCTTTCAGCACTGGCTCTCTCGTCACCCATGTTGCGAGCTATTTTCGTGAGATTCCCGACTCCCTTGACACTTCGCTGATGCAATTGACTGTTCCGAGGCGCGTTATCCAGTGCAGTTTCTCCTTGGCTGTGTAGGAATGTCGTTGTCGGCGGGTCGGGCGGTTCCGAGGAGAGGGAGGGCGCTTATCGCGGTTCTTGGAAGAAGGATGGGGCTTCTTCTTCTTAGCGGCGTGGAACGTAGGGATCGGCAGCACCTCGGGGAGTCCATCACGCGCCCAAAACTCAGCTTCCCCCATTTCGGCATTACCAGGAACGTGTGAAAGAGCTAGACTAGGCTAGAAGGCAGTAAAGGCCGCCATGAATGTGGCGGCGGGGTTTAGCTAGGAGGGTAGGGAAAAGTGCCGCGAGAGAATATGTTTGGAGTAGTAAGAGAGAGGCATACAAGGAGGGGTTTATACCCTCTACAGAAAGGTTCAGTAACAACCTACCAAGCCTATATAAATTATAACTTAGATAATTTTAACACACCCCCTAGGCTTGGTAGTGTCAAGCCCACACAAACACCCCCACACCCCCTAACTAAGCACCCATGCCCAGCAGCATCTGAGATGCCGTCGGGACTGGTCCAGTCCCACGGCCCGGGAGACGGCTATGGCGGCAGCGGCGGCAGTGACGAGAGCAGGGTCGGCGACGGCGTGCGGCGGCAGTAGGCCAGCGGCAACAACGGCGTCGGCGGCGGCGGCTTCAATCGTCAGAGGCTACTGCAGCGGCCCCCGCCCTCTCGGCGGCATGGCCGGGCTCCTCGGCGACGGGGATGGCCTTCACGAGGCAATCGTCGACTGTGGCAAGAAGGGGGAACGGAAGGGAAGGAAAAGGGGGGGGGGGGGGGGGGGGGGGGAGCGGGGCGTTGTCCAGAATCACGCCGGCGGCTGCAGAGCGGGCGGCAGGTCCGGCGGCACCACTGACGATGCGCGGCCGGCTGTCGCCCGACGACGCCGCCACGGCAGCCAAAAGACGCCGCCACAGCGCGACGTCGACGCCGCGGCGGCGAGGCGGAGGTGCGGCAGTAGCACGACTAAGCCGCTGCGGCATCTCGGAGAGGCCGCCACGGCGGCACGGAAAGGCAAGGCCGCCACGGCGGCAGTAAAACTAAAGGCCGCCATCGGCGGCACGGAACGAAGACAGCCGAAAAACAAGTACGCGGCGGAAGCGTGGGGAGCAGGTCCGTAAACGGACACCTGCTCTGAAACCATGTTAAAGAGCTAGACTAGGCTAGAAGGCAGTAAAGGCCGCCATGAATGTGGCGGCGGGGTTTAGCTAGGAGGGTAGGGAAAAGTGTCGAGAGAAAAGATGTTTGGAGTAGTAAGAGAGAGGCATACAAGGAGGGGTTTGTACCCTCTACAGAAAGGTTCAGTAACAACCTACCAAGCCTATATAAATTATAACTTAGTTAATTTTAACAGAACGTCCCAGTCATCAGGCCGGCATCTTCAGCCCTTCCCCAGCGGTGAGGCAAGGCTCTAGAATCCTCGTTGACAGCGGCATGGGTGTCGTCAGCGGACTCAGTGGCGTGCGTGCTATCAGTGCTATCGGCGGGGTTTTCGCCGTCAGCGTTGGCAGAAGCGTGCATATCGTCAGCGTCGTCAGCGGCGCGCGTGTCGTCGGCGAACTCGGCAGCGGTTCCCTTGCCATCGGCATAGTCGGCGCTGTGCTGGTCGTCGGTGAAGTCTGCAGCATCCGTGCAGTTTGTGTTGTCTGCTGCGTGAGCGTCGTGAGGAACGCCAGCGGCTTGCTCGTCGTCAGGCACGTTGGGCTGCTCGTCAGAATCCGCTATCTGGCTATTGGTCGGCGGGATTAAAGGAGTGAGAATCGGCGTGCCATTAATTTTTTTGTGGGGAGAAAGGCTTGTGACTGCGTGGAGGAATAGGCGACGCGGGAGGCGACCAAGGGGCAGGGGGGGGAGGTGAGGTATTGACGCAAGACACACCTGTCTGTCTAAGGCGGGTAGGCTCAGCAGGTCTACCAAAAAGCACAACCATGGCCGACAAAGGCAGGCCAGCCATGGCTCCCCTAGCTAAGGTGGGGCTCAGAAATGTGATTGCTCGCTGAAATAATGAACAATATGAGGGGTGAGCCAGACCCCCTCTTGGTTGGCGGCTCGTTTTCCTCTACGAGTAAAGCTGCCAGCAGTTGAAATAGGCTCGTAGAGGACAGGTGGCAAGGTATGGTGTGCTCGCTTTCTGGAAAGGTTGATGCCTTGCCAGATTCATTGCATCTCACCCAAACCTTGCCTGCCTGGAGTGGATATGCATGTGCCAGCACCCCTACGACCGTAGCCATGATGTTGCTAGCACAGCAAACCGCCGTTCTCATCTCGTATTGGACTGCTAGGCAACTTTGCAGTAGCAGCGCTGGCGGAATATTCGAGACACGATTCCTCCCGATTTATCAACACGACCCCCATTTGTGAGTGGTCCGAAAAATCACAATTTTCAAGAGCTACATTTTCATCCATTCAAATATTTTGTCTATAAATAACTTATCATAAGCCCTGCTCTTATAAATTTTATTCGATTAAAGGCGCATGCTGCTTGTCTAAGGTATCCCCTATAAGCCCCTATGCGCCTATATCCGGGGGATTACGGTACCACCTCCTAATTATAAATCTGTATACAAAGCTTGAGTACTAATAATGTATATTCTCAACAGACTTTGCGGTGTTTCAGGAATCGCCTCTAACGCGTTCAGATTCTCGATTTTCTCGCTCTGCTAACTCCAGGAACTCCGACACCGAACCCCACAGCCATACCTGGACTTCTAGTTTTGCGCGAACAAATCTTACCACATGTTCAACATCCCGGGGTCTTGCAGTTCCGTAGCTCAGCCTCGGCAGTAGGTTTGGGAACCATACCGCGTGTGCCGAAAGTATCGTCGGCTTCCATCCTGACTGACCTCTTTCCCGCCATTCGAAATCTCGTCTCGCGCTCGGTATTCCCGATTGCGGCGGACCCTAGAGCACAACGCGCTTCCAGAGCGTCCCTCCTCGCTGGCACATATAGCACAGGTGTCGCATTCTGAATCGTTGCTAGTAAAACGGCCACTCGCGCGACCCCCGTAAGGCCCCCTAAGGCCAGCTGACGACGTCTCCATGGGCTCCGATCATCGCAATCCCTCGCCAGCCCACCCCACAGACATTGCGAATTCGCCCAGCAGCAGCCATCGGGTTCCCCTGCTTGCCTCGCACCCTCTGCCTCCCTCCCACCCCCTCCGTGCCTCTCGTCGCATTCCCACGCTCATTTCCTCTCATCCGCTTCTCAGCAGACGCTCATCAGACTCCCTGCATTCGCCAGACGGAAAATAGTATATAAAAGGGGGGGTTTCAGTTTTATTCACCATTCTCGACTGAACTTCCTTGCAAATCCTCCCATCTTGTCTTCGAGTTTCCTACTCTCTTCTCCTCGGTTTAAGACCTTGGTCACCAGCTGTCGTGCCTGTTAGAGTGCTCAATTTCCGCGTTTAGTACTCTACGCGAATCAGCCTTCCTTTCTACTCCGTCCGTCAACGACATGGGCTGCGTCGGTGCTGAGCGTGCCTGCGTGGACGTCGATGCTTTGTTCTCGAGCTGCTGGGAGCAAGATGACTCCCTGACTCGCTTCGTCTGCAGCATGATCTCTGCTCCTCGCCTGGTAAGAAACAACCACCCTAAAGCCTTCAGCTGCTCTTTTTCTGTATCCGTACCTCGACTATATCTGTTTCTGCTCTTTTACAATCTGTTTTTTCCGATAGAAAGTACCAGCACTCAGTTTTCTTTCCGATCCGTCCATTGATCTGGCTTTTCGTTCCTTTCGGAAACAACTACTAACTCTTGCCTCTTGGTTTTCTCTTGCAGGCCGTCGTCAGTTGGATCAGGTCGTGCAAGCAAGCTGCAGTCGAGGTGCAGCCAGTTCCCGCTCTGCCAGCTTTCAGTCTCCCAGTTCCCGCCCTTCCAGTTGTCACTCTTCTGGAGGAAGCTGAGTCGTCAACAGATGCAGAGGCAGAGTCCGTCAACGATCTGACTGAAGCTGGCAAGGCGGATGATCCAACTGTGACTGCTACTGTTACGTTTGTGGCTGAGGAACTGGAGGAACTGGAGGAACCAGCAGAACCAGAGATGGAAGTTTCATCGTTTCCAGTTGCAGAGCCAGAGGACGTGGTAGCTTCACTTCCGGTTAAGACTGTTGCTCGCTCGATTAAGGTTGCTGCCTGGCTGGGTGTGGAATCAGAGTCGGAGCAGGCACAGCAGGATGTGAAGGTGGGAGCAGAGGCGAGCAGCGGGTGGAGCAGCTTGAGTCGCAGTGAGAGCACCTGCAGCAGCCACAGTGCGTGCCTCATTGACCTCGCCTGGGACTCCTGCTCCTCCTCCTCTGCTCACAGCCTCTGCTCCTCCTCCTCTGCCCACAGCCTCTGCTCCTCCTCCTCTGCTAATAGCCTCTGCAGCACTCCCACTGGCTTGGTCACGGAGGCAGCTGCTGTGAAGAGGGGGATTGGCCGAGGCATTTCCAGCAGCGGGAAGGGATGGAGCATGGAGGTTAAGGGGTTTGGGAAGGCGGAGGCAGGGAGTACCTTCTCAAACCAGCTGTTTGGGGAGGACGATGAGGATGATGATGAGGAGGTGGAAGAGTACGGCAGCAGCAAGCAAAGCTACGAGGCGTTTGGTTCAGGGAACATGTGCTACATGAATCAGCTATATATGGATGAGGCGGAGGAGGAGGAGAGGGAGGCATTGGAAGCATCGGGCATCTCGGTTGGCATTGGCAGGTGTGGTGCGAGGCGGAGAATATCGGGCTCTAGCAGCCGGATTACTCTCCGCAGAATGAGCAGCGTGCTGAGGCAGTTCTAGGGGACCCTTTCAGTAGGAAAGAGGAGCAGTGTGTTCTAGCGTAGTAGTAACTATCGAACTGAGAGAAGTGAATGATGACTAGTGGGAGAGTACAGATAGATATACCTAAGTATTGTACCCTCTAAGAGGTGACCCTATACAGTCTATGCAAACATAACTAACACACATGTTTGACACACCCCCTAGACTGCATAGGGGAATGTCCTGAACAAGCAGCTCAGGGCGGCACTACTAGTCCAACCTCTGAGACAAGGGTCTAAATGACCAGTCAGAAGGAGTACAGACAAGGCAAGAACAAGATCAGGGCGGCACTACTAGTCCAGCCACTGGGAGAGGACACAAGTCCAGTCTGAGTATACATATAAAGGGCAGTACAAAGTCAAGGCCCTAGCAAGTGAGAGGCTACAGGGACTAGACCAAGCTGTACGCAGTGCCGCTGATGATCTTTAGGCGCAAGCGCCTTCGTAAAGATATCAGCTGTGTTGGCACCTGAGGCCAAGTGTACTACGCGAGCCTGGCGTCGCTGCTGTAGCTCGCACAGGAGGAAGTATCGCAGCTGAATATGCTTCGCTCTGCCCTCGAGTCGAGGCTCCTGACACAGGAGGATCATGGCCCTGTTGTCAGCGAACAGGACCGGGGCAGAGCTAGGCCGCTCACCTAAGTCAGTGAGCAAGAAGGTCAGCCAGCGGAGCTCCTGTGCCGCCATGGCACCAGCGTAGATCTCGGCCTCACAGCTGGACTGGGCAACAGACGAGGAGCGGGTAGCTCTCCACGAGACGGCACCTGAGCCAAGGCTGAAGCAGTAGCCCTGGGTAGACCTGAGTGTCTCGGCGTCGTCTGCCCACGAAGCCTCGGTGTGTCCAGTAAGGACTACTGGCCTGCGTCCTCCTAGCACTAACCCAATGCCCGATGTACTAGCAAGATAACGCAAAACCCTCTTAGCGGCAGACCAGTGCTGCGGTCGGTGTCTGCCTGTGGCCACAAAGCAAGCCAGGATGCTGAGAGGGTATGCGAGATCTGGGCGAGTGCAAGTCATCAGGTACATGAGGCAACCCACCAGCTCTGCAAAGGGGCCGCTGGGCTCTACCGACTCCTCAGACACTGGAGCGGAGAGTCTGTGGTCTACAGGCAGAGGGGTGGGCTGTGCAGAGGAGAACTGAAGGCTGAACCTCTGAAGGACCTGGCGCACCAAGTGTGACTGAGTCAGGGTGATGGTGCGCGCAGCTCTGTCCCTGGAGATCTGCAAGCCAAGGTAACGGCGCAGTTCTCCAAGGTCAGTGCACGTGTGTCTCTTCAGCAGCTCTGCCTTCACGGAGGCCAGTGCGTCCCTGTCTGCTGTGGCAAAGACCAGGTCGTCAACGTAAACAAGGATGTAGAACGGAGTCTGGCCAGCACGAACGAAGAGTGAGGGGTCTGCGGAAGAAGGAAAGAACTGCAGGTCAGCAAGCGTAGCACGGAGAGTGTCGTGCCACCCACGGGGAGCCTGGCGCAGGCCGTAGACGAGGCGCCGCAGGAGCCACTGGGTCCCAGGAGGGAAGGTGCCAGTAAAGCCCTGAGGGCGACGCAAGTAGACCTGCTCGTGTAGGCTGCCCTGAAGGAAGGCAGTGGAGAAGTCGAGGGAGTGAAGCTCGTAGTCGCGCTGAGCAGCTAGGTGTAGCAGAACCCGAAGAGTAGTCATCTTCGGGGTCGGAGCGAAGGTCTGGAAGAAGTCCACCCCCTCACGCTGACTGAACCGTCTAGCCATGTAGCGCGCCTTGAAGACAGGCGGCTCTCCAGGAGGGCGCTTCACTTTGAAGAGCCAGCGGCCATCGACTACGTTCACCCCAGGCGGGGGAACTGCGTCGACGAAGGTGCCGGTGGATCTCCAAGATGCCATCTCCTGCTCCATGGCAGCTATCCACTGCGAGGCCCAAGGTCCCGAGGTCGCCTCAGCGTAAGTGCGAGGGGTCGGAATGTCGAAAGCGTCTGGGTCACCCTCAGGGACTAGCAGCATGGAACAGAGATGAGGAGCAGCCTCGGACAGGAAAGCAAGCTCGAACTGGCGGTCCTCCAGGACGTCACTGCCAAGGGCAGGAGCAACCCCGACAGACGGAGGACAGGCAAGGTCAGAGACCAGAGCTGTGGCGTAGTCAAGGCGGCGGGTAGAGGCGAAGTCAGCGACCGCAGCTACAAGAGCGTCAAGGCACGAGACCGAAACAGACGGGTCGGTAACGAGAGAGGCAAGGACCCAGGGAACAAGAGGACGAGCGGCACGAAGGTAGTCAGACAGCGGGGGGGGTGCAGCAACAAGGGAGGACGGAGGAGGCGACGGCAGAAGGGGAGGACGAGACGCGTGGGAACGAAGCAACATAGGGTGGGAGCGCAAGACAGGCGAGGCAGGACGAGCACGGGAGGGACGGTGAGACCAGACGTGCGACGGAGAAGTCGGGTCAGGAGACAGGGGAGGGGACACAGGAGGGGAACGAGGGGGAAGACGGGCCGGGGACGAGTCCGGCGGAGGGAACACAGGGCCGTAGACGGGAAGAGGAGGAGACGGTCGGAGAGGAACAGCCGCAGGGTCAGGGGACGGAAGGCCGAGCAGGCGAAGGGCGGACACCGGCGGGGACTGCTGCTGCGGCGGCACAACGGCGACACCTGGACCGCAAGCTGCTCCTCGGCTACCACCGACACACTCCACACCAGCACCCCCAGAGGGACCACCCCCAGGGCGACCGGGACGAGCACCCCTAGAGTCAGCGAACGGGTGTTGGGACGGCGGCGGCGGCGGCGGCGGCAGCGACAACGACGGCTGCAGCGGCGGCAGAGGCGGTGGAGGAGGGGACTGGGGAGGGGACGCCGGGGGAGGGGCGGCCGGCGAGGACTGCGCAGCAGGGCCACCAGAGTCAGAAGACTCCTCAACCGGGTCTACCGACGGAAGGGGGGTGACGTGGGACACACCAGAGGGGGCAGGACGGGGAGGAGGAGGAGGAGGAGGAGGGGCAGGGACTACCGGGGAAGGAGTGACCAGGAACAGGGGGGGGGTAACCGGGGGACCGCGGTGGGGGAAGCGACGGTAGTAGGAGACGGACTCGTCAAAGGTGACGTCGCGAGAGTGAAAGAATCGGTACAACGGGGCCCGGCAAACGCGGCAGGGCCGGGCAGGGCGCAACGGGGCCGGGCGGGTGCGACGGGGCCGGGCCGGTGCAACGGGGCCGGGCGGGTGCGACGGGGCCGGGCCGGCGCGACGGGACCGGGCAGGTGCGACAGGGCCGGGCGAGGGCGATAGGGCCGGGTGGGCGCGACGGGGCCGGGCGGGTGCTACGGGGCCGGGCGGGTGCGACGGCTCCGGGCCGGTGCGACGGGGCCGGGCGGGTGCGACGGGGCCTGCAGGCGTGACGGTGGCCCAGGTGGGGCACTACGGAGCCCAGGAGGGTCGCAACGGGGCCCAGGAGGGGCGCGGCAAGGCTATGGGCACGACGGGGCCCAGTGGGTCGCGACGGGGCTAGGGGGGAGGCACGGCGGGGCCTAGCTAGGGGACGAGCGGAAGCGGTAGGTGGGGGGATCCTAACCTATGCGTGATACCATATCGAACTGAGAGAAGTGAATGATGACTAGTGGGAGAGTACAGATAGATATACCTAAGTATTGTACCCTCTAAGAGGTGACCCTATACAGTCTATGCAAACATAACTAATACACATGTTTGACAGTAACAGCTCTGGCTGGCACGGGCGTAACTAGACTGCCATATGTAGGCATGTTTCTAGAACCTGGTATTGTAAATTATTTGATACATCTCTTCTGTTTCTGAAGGTCATGGTCCCCTTAACACACACTTTGACTGAGTGCGCAAGTGCACTCAAGAAGAGTGCTGCCTTCTTCAACATTCACAGAAGCAGCATCAATCTTTTTCAACCTAGGGAAGGATTGAGCTGCCAGCGGCTGTTTTTCATCAGAAATTCTGCTAGTGGCTGTTACTGGGCACAAGCCAAAGCAAGCAACGCTATCAGATACACATTATGTTCCCATGAATAGTGCAATAAGGTGGTTAAAACAAGTATAAACAAACATGTCCACCGGAAAACCTTGGTCTGGTCTGATAATAAATCCACCTAAGGAGCTCCCGCCCTCCAATCGGGAATGCTCCATGTTGCATCGTTAATCATGGAAACCAGTCGGAACTGCAAGCACAAATGCGCACACGCAAGGCAGCACGCGTGCCCAATGAGGAGTGCGACATGGTAGAAGACCAGTTGGAATTCACTATGACAGAAGCAGATAACACTTTAATGGGTGGTGTTGAAAAGTTGCTTATAAGGAAAATGCTGTTTATCACCAAAATAGGCTCTGGCAACGGTGGTCTGGCAAGAGAAGGGGCAACCCCTTGGGATGGGATGGAGGGGTTACGAGGTGGCGCTGTGTTGAAGTCCCTTTTACCCGAAAGGCCTTGCATGAGTTGACATAAATGCAACAAACTTACACTAGACACCACTGGACATCAAAACAGAAAAGCGTGGTCTTACAACGGAGGGGGCAGCCCCTTGGGGTGGGAGTGAGAGGTTGCGAGGTGGTGCCGTGTTGAAGTCCCTCTTGTCAAAGTGCCATGGACCGACCACCCCTGGAGTAATCTTGCCCTGGGAGGAGAGGAGGGAGACAAGGAGATGAGGAGCAGCAGGGAGGAAAACGGACCAGTGAAAGAGGCACCATAAGGATCTTAACAACGAACAACGATCCAGGAATTTGACACGCATGCAGAGACTTGACATGTATGCAGAGACTTTGACGTCAATGTAGGAACTTGACAAAATGACACAACTAAGCAAAGCCGCATAGATGCAAGAGCCACACAAAGGTCGAAATCACAGCTACATGTGCAATGGATGCGGTGCAAATCGCAATTACATTGAGGTCAAAATCACAGCCGTATGTGTAGTGGATGAGGTACGAGTCCCCAGGCTCAGTGTCCCATGGAGGCTGCAGCATTGAACATGCACGATTCACCGTGCATGATTCAGCATGCATGATTAACCATGCAGCATGCAACATGTCCCATACCCCATACTTCATACCCCACGCCCCACGCCCCATGCTCCACACCCCATGCCCCACAGTCTATGCCCCATGCCCCATGCCCCATGTCCCACGCCCCATGCCTCATGCCCCATGCCCCATGCCCCATGCCCCACACACCATGGCCCAGCCCCATGCACCGTGCAGCATGTAAGGGAGGAGAGAAGTGAAATTGCAATGAAAACGAAGATAAAGAGGAGGCGGCGGAAAGCCAAGAAAGGCAGTAGGGAGAGCAAAACAGCGAGGTTTGCAAATAGCCACCTGAAGTTTGCAAATAGCCACCTGAAGTTTGCAAATAGCAACCTGAAGTTTGCAAATAGCCACCTGAAGTTTGCAAATAGCCACCTGAAGTGTGCAAATAGCCACCTGAAGTGTGCAAATAGCCACCTGAAGTGTGCAAATAGCCACCTGAAGTTTGCAAATAGCCACCTGAAGTTTGCAAATAGCCGCTTGAAGTTTGCAAATAGCCACCCGAAGTTTGCAAATAGCCACCCGAAGTTTGCAAATAGCCACGTGAAGAGTGCAAATAGCCACATGAAGTGTGCAAATAGCCATGTGAAGTGTGCAAATAGCCACCTGAAGTTTGCAAATAGCCACCTAGCGTGTGCAAATAGACACCTGAATCATCCACATGCGGTGTAGAGTGTGCTGTATCCCCAACAGGGCCGCTGACGTGGCATAGCCGTACCTGGAGGCACAGCAGTGGAAGCGATGGGAGAAGAGGAGGGGGGAAGGAAGGTGGGGGAGAGAAGGATGAGCGAGAGACATTCCACATCTAAAATAACCTTTGGCTGGGTGTGTGGTGCAAGCATCCTCGCTCAAAAAAACGTCGCTCAAAACCTCCAGCGCCAAGCCCTTCAAACCTCATAATCGTTGTGAGGACAGGGACTCGACGCAATGAGTTTGAGTCGAACCAAAAGTCTCGCGGTTACAGGGACTCAACACGATAAGGAGAAGCGGACCAGAGAGAATCAGCATGGCTCCTGATTGTGAACATCAACTACTCTAACTTTTTTACTAAGCGTTTAAACTTTACAGTTGCTGCCACGTCACGTATGGTAGAAAAAATATGGGCGCTAGGGTGCTTCGGGTGAGTAAAAATTACAACTACTTCTGAACCGACTGCTCATAACCACCTTCTTACTACTGTGAGCAGGGCTTTTGCAGAATAAACGGCGACATTGTCATTGTGGATGGTAACTATTCGCCCTCTTAAGCTTTCCTCATCGGGTCAAGTCGTGACTGTTGGGAGGTGTTGAAGAACAAAGACACGACGCTCCTCTGTTCACCTTCTACCTTCAACTACTTACATAGTGTCAACCCTTCCTTTTCCAACAAAAACCACACCGTAGAGCATGCATGCACTCACACACATTTCCAGCACCCATCCAAAGGCTTTGTCAGCCGCCTCATCCGCCTTCATCTCGAGAGTCACGTTGTGCCACAGCGGGGCCAGGCGGCGCAGTAGATTCTGGCACGTGCAGGTGGTTGTAGGGGAAGGAGGGGGGGAGGGAGTGTGGATGAGAGCCGAGGGGGGTGAGAAGGTGTGTGAGAGTGCAGCCTTGTCCGCATTCACCTCGAGAGTCACGTTGTGCCACAGCGGGGCCAGGCGGCGCAAGAGATCCTGCTGAGAGGTGCGAAAGGGAGGAAGGAAGGGGGATGTGGCCTCGAATGTATCCATTTCAAGAGTCATGCTGTGCTGCAGCAGGGATGGGAGGCACACGAAGTGCTGGCGTGTGCAAGCGGTGTTAGCGGAAGGGGGGAGTGGGCGGGGGGTCAGGGAGAATAGGCTGTGAGTGCAGATTCAGCAGCCTCAAACGCATTCGTCTCAAGCGTCATGTTGTGCCACAGGGGGGGCGGGCGACGCAACAAGTGCTTAATTCGAAAGGTTGGAGGGTGCAAGGGTGTGCGTGTGGAGTGGAATACTTCTGAGGCGCCTAGACTAGTTTTGCGGCGCCTCAAAACAAGGTTGGAACTTGGAAGCCGCAGGTGTGTGCGTGTGGTTTGGGACGGAAGGGGTCGGTGGGGTTGTCCAGCGGAAAGAAAGGGGCAACGATAGGCACTCTATCTCCCATGGATGAATGTTTTTGAGGCGCCTCCAGCGGAAAAATAGACTCCTCCAGCGGAAAAATAGACTCCTCCAGCGGAAAAACAGACTCCTCCAGCGGAAAAATAGACTCCTCCAGCGGAAAGCAAGGGGCAACGATAGGCACTCTATCTCCCATGGATGAAGGGGAAAAAAAACATGCTGCGAGCGAGGGTCTGTATCGTCCAACGAGTAAGAGTTACAGTAAGAGGTAGGTACCTTACCTTATGGTCGACGACAGGTGCAATAAGGCCAGTCTTGTTTAAAGAGAGAGCAACAGGGTAAGTGAGTGGTTGGTGCCTTGTGAATGATGACTGGTGAGTTGCCAACAGGGTCAGTGGTTCTAATGGGGTTCTTCTCGGTTATGATGTGCCTCGAAACAAGCCTTCGGGGGAAGAAAGAGCGGCACCTTATGGATGATGACTGGTGAGTTGCCAATGGGTTCGATCTTGTTGATGGGGCCCTTCTCAGGAGGGAACCATCGGTGCAGCGCCTCTGATGGTGGTGCACATACGGATGGGAGGAGCAGATATGTACATAGGATAGGAGGATACGGACTTACGGATGAGTGCGAATGTTTATGGGCTGATCATGTCACTCACTCACAGGACCGCCAAGACCACCCCTGCTTTGATCATGGGTGCCTATGATATGCCACCAGTGCTGGCCCTCACGCACACCTCTACCCTTGGCGGGTTCGATGAAGTGAAAGGGGAAGGCAGACGGGATGTCAGGCAGTGGCGGACGGGATGACGGGTTCTGTTATTGAGAATTCTGTTATTGAGAATTCTCAAAAACACCCTGTTAACACCCCCCACTACGAGGCCTCTCAAGCCTTCCACCCACTCACGCCCACCTTTATTCTTTGCAGGTTCGATGTAGTCGAAGGGGAAGGCGGATGGCATGTCTCCCACTGAGAGGTTGGGAATGGGCCGCAGAATCAAATGGTCTGGCTCTGCCATCCACACGTAGCTGATGGGAGGGGGGAGGAGAGGAGGTGGCGCGTGGGGGTAGAGGGGTTGTTAAGGTGGTTATTGCAATATCAAATGGTCTGGCTCTGCCATCCACACATAGCTGATCGGAGGGATGGCATCAGAGGGTATGGGATGGCATGGGATGGCATGGGATAGCATGCGAGGGCATGTCTCCCATGGAGATGGTGGGGATGGGCTGCTGTAGCTGATGGGACGCATGGCAAGGACAGCAGAGAATGGCATGCCTTCACCACATGGCGTGTGATGGCATGTGATGGCATGTGATGGCATGTGATGGCATGTGACGGCATGTGGCATGTGATGGCATGTGATGGCATGTGATGGCATGTGACGGCATGTGGCATGTGATGGCATGTGATGGCATGTGATGGCATGTGATGGCATGTGATGGCATGTGATGGCATGTGATGGCATGCAACACTCACTCTTCAGGGAAGGTGGCCTGCTGAATCCACTGCACGAAGGCGTAGGGGCGATTGAGCACTACATAGTCCTGCCATGCAACAGGAATGCCATGCAACAGGAATATGGGGGAGGATGGGTTGGAAGATGCAAGAGAGTCACGCCATACTCCTGTTGCCATCTGCAAGATGGGATTGAGAACGACGTCGCCCTGCCATGCGACATGGGCACAGGATGGGATGGGATGGGATGGGATTGGGGGTGTGCAATGCAAGCGATAGCATTCGTGCGACGGTGCTAGCCAATATCACATCACACAGTGGTGGTGACTGACTGACATGAGGTAACATGTCGCTTCATGGAAGGGAAGGGAGGATGATTGCTGGATGAGTAAGCCACGTAATACCAGCGTGATACCTGCTGAAAAAAGGTTGCTCGAGGGAATTATCTACATGCCTGGCAAGCAACCCTTTCCCCCTGCCCTCGAACTGACTGACCCCCTTCCTCACACGAAGTTATCCCCTGCTGTTCATCCCTGTTAAATGCGAGCGAGCTGCGCCATTAGTTGTTGCGGTGGCAGCAGGTTGACAGCAAAGGTGGGAACCTCCCCCCCCACCCCAGGCCATGAGCTCATCCCTAGCCTCTGCCAGCGAACTCACTCCTCTCCCCATCAGTCAGTCCCGGTTACCCCCCAACCATGCTACCTCGCTACACCACCCCGTCAGCCTTGTTACGCTGTGGCACCGTTTGTTGTTGTGGCGGCAGTGGGTTGACAACGAAGGTGGGTATCCCCCCCATAAGCTTATCCCCTTTCCCCGCGGGTGCACCCGCCCATCGTCCCATCAGTCAGTCCCGGTTACCCCAGTCATGTCACCCTGCAACGCGCGCTGTTCAGCCCCGTTACCCCGCTACACCACCAGTCAACCCCCCGTTACCCCGTGGCACCGTTTGTTGTTGCGGCGGCAGCGGGTTGACGACGAAGGTGGGGATCTCCCCCATGAGCTCGTCTTCCTTCCCAGTGTGCAGCACGCGCGTGAATCCACCCATCTCCTCGCCGCCCGGCTCCGCCCGCCACTTCTTATAGTAGAAGTACATCACTCGCGACTGCCACTTGCTGTAACCCGAGCTGTCGCACGTCATCGCCGCGTGGAACGGTCGCAGCGGCCCCTCTCGTCGGATTGACCGCTTGCCGTTTGCTGTGTCGGCTGGCCGACGGGCAACCGGCAGTTCTGACGGTGACGTAGAACCGCGGCCGTCAGGTCTGATGCTGATTTGACGAGAAACGGAAGCTTGCCTGGCGTTGTCAGAATATATTTCATTGAGGGGGTGACGGAGGGATCGACGGTGAGAGACTACAGTCGGAGAATTGTCTAGAAGCATAGTAACGAAGTTGAAGGCCGCGAAGAAGGACGCGGAGAACGCTATAACGAGGATGAGCCCTGACAGACGAGCCATCGGTCCAAACGGCTGAAAGATTCAATTACGAAACGCAGGGGGAGAATGATCGAGTGATCACCACAGCTGCGGATGCTCCATAATCGAGTGATTCAGCAGCCATCTCCCCCTGACAGTTTCACTCCAAGAAGGCTATCGAGCAAGGGAAAGAACACTGACCAGATGAAGCGGTGAGGGCATGTTTCTAATTTCTGCAAACCGTCACCAAAGCCGAACTAGTTCCTCGTGTCTGGCCACCTATCTGGAAGCAGCAATAGCCTTGTCGACGAAAAATCGTTCTGAACCTGGCAGCTGCGGTTTAATTTGGAAACCCGGAACGAGTACCCAAATCCAATCTGCAGAACCACGCACTCCCCGAGGCAAAGTGGGCAATTTACGCGGATCGTATGGTGGACAATCATCGATACAGTGTACTTTCCACATTCCCACTCTCTTGTTATTATGCCACAGACATCCCTGCTTGAATCACTACCAACCGTCTAAATGTGCAAATCCTAGGACAGGTTGGTAACGCAGTTTTCAATAACGGGAACTTCCCCTATCAAAAGCAGAGATGGCTTGCTTTTCAAGACATGGCATTTTGTTCAGGCTGCAAACGGAATTCGTTTATCAGTGACGGGAGTACTCGGCGCGCTCGGCACTTAGTAACCAGCGACAGAATACTGCCATCGTGCTGGTCACTTCGGGTGTGCAAGTACCGAGTAAGCGTAGTCAGGAAAGCGACGAGAACTTGACGGGAGCTATGGATGGCGGTGCTGACGTGGACGTTGACGAGGACGACTTTCTGGTGCTGGATGAGGATGACGAGCTCCGAGCGCAGCGAATCAGCGGTGAGGAACGAATCGGCTGTGAGGATTAGTGGTGAGAAGTGGGGATGAGCGGTGGCTGGTAGCGGCACGAGCGAAGAGAAATTAAAGGTAGCGGAGGGAACCGGGAGGGACGACGGTGGCTACGACGGTAGAATGGATTCAGTTTATACCGTAGTATTTTTTTTGGAGCAGAATGGTACCTTTTTATGAATTATGAGTAGCCAAATCCTCTTTTAATTGGCCGGAGTAGCCAGAGTGGTGAGTCGCACATTCAAAGATTAGCGGCGTTTGCGAAATGGCATTGTTGAGCGGCCTCTAGTTGTCCGAAGCTTCTGAAACTCGCTTTAAATGCTCTGCTGTTGGCGAATCAAGGGGATCACGTGCAGCGAGTCAGCGACCCGTGTGGGTGTGTCTCTACATGCCTAATTCACAGTGTACGCATGGCTCGGCTCTTGGCCCCACACAGAATATAGTCGCCATCACCAGGAGCAGGGGAGGGGGTCCTCTGACGAGGGTCTTCTGCGGGCTTACAACCCAAGGTGCTGCTGAAGGAGGACCACGAGCAGCGACCCATGTGGGCGTGCGGGTAGCCTTCTACGTGCCTAGGTGTATTTTGAGTCGACTCAAAATACATGCGCGCTTACTACCCAAGGTGCTGCTGAAGGAGGACCACGAGCAGCGACCCATGTGGGCGTGCGGGTAGCCTTCTACGTGCCTAGGCGGCCAGGCCAGCGTGTGATCACCATTTTCCTCCCCTTCTAGCCCTCACGTGTTTCCTCCCCTTCCAACCCTCACGTGTTTCCTCCCCTTCCAACCCTCACGTGTTTCCTCCCCTTCCAACCCTTACGTGTTTCCTCCCCTTCCAACCCTCACGTGTTTCCTCCCCTTCCAACCCTCACGTGTTTCCTCCCCTTCCAACCCTCACGTGTTTCCTCCCCTTCCAACCCTCACGCGTTTCCTCCCCTTCCAACCCTCACGCGTTTCCTCCCCTTCCAACCCTCACGCGTTTCCTCCCCTTCCAACCCTCACGTGTTTCCTCCCCTTCTAACCCTTCTTAACACGTGCAGCGGCAGGGGAAGGCACGTCTGACGAGGGTCCGTCGCTACGTGATTTCTTCAAGATGCAGCTGAAGGAGGACCACGAGGAGCGACCCATGTGGGCATCTTGGCATGCCTAAACCACACCATATTAGGCAGCTCAACAGTGGGGAGTCGCACATTCAAAGATTAGCGGCCTCTTGGCATGCCTAAACCACACCATATTCTTACCCCCCTCAAACATCCCACCATCTTTACCACCCACAGCGGCAGGGTGTTGCAGGGTGTTTTTGAGAATTCTAAAAAAAACCCTGCAAATTTTAGAATTCTCAAAAACACCCTGCAAAATTGAGATTTCTCAAAAACACCCTCAAACATCCCACCATCTTTACCACCCACAGCGGCAGGGGAAGGCACGTCTGACGAGGGTCCTTCTCTCCGAGTTTTCTCCAAGATGCGGCTGAAGGAGGACCATGCGCAGCGACCCATGTGCACCATCCAACCCCCCTTTTCCGCCTCCCTCCCTTCTCCCACCCCTCAAACCCTGTGTTGACACGTGCAGCGGCCGGGGAGGGCACATCTGACGAGGGCCCTTCTCTGCGCGATTTCTCCAAGATGCAGCTGAAGGAGGACCACGTGCAGCGACCCATGTGGGTGTGCCCCGATGGACGCATCATCCTCGAGACCTACTCCCCCCTCTACAAGCACGCCTACGACTTTCTCATCGCCATTGCCGAGCCTGTCTGCCGGTAGGTTTGGCCCCTTGCTAGCATTCTCGAGACCTACTCACCGCTCTTTACAAGCACGCCTACGAATTTCTGACTGCCATTGCTGAGCCTGTGTGCCGGTGAGTGTGATGCTATCCATACTCGAGTTGATTTGCTTGGAAGAAACCACCATTGTTAAAAGAAAACACAGTTCTTGATACCTACTTCCCCCTCCACGAGCATACGACTCTATGATCGCCATTGCAGAGCCTGTGTGGCAGTGAGTTTGGCTCTTTCCTAGTAGGTCTGATGATGGTTTTTGAGTGGACTTAATTTGCACCATCATCAGACCGACCACCCCCTCCACATGCACGCCTAGGACTTGCTCATTGCCGTTCCACCAAAACCTCTTTCCTTTCTCCCCCTATTGTTGAGTCGACTCAAAGATAGACTCATTACACATGGACCACCGCCTCCACAAGCACGCCTAGGACTTGCATATTGGCGTTCCATTAAACCCTCTTTCCTCTCCCTCCCTCCCCCCCCCCCCAACGACCCGAGAATGTGCACGAATTAACATCACGCCCCACTCCCTCTATGCAGCTGTCTCAGTGTGTCTCAGTGGGTCTCAGTGTGTCTCAGTGGGTCTCAGTGGGTCTCAGTTGGTCTCAGGGTGTCTCAGTGGGTCTCGAGTGTCTCAGTGGGTCTCAGTGGGTCTCAGTGGGTCTCAGTGGGTCTCAGTGTGTCTCAGTGGGTCTCGACCCCCCACCATCATCTCTGTTCTCTATTCCACGCATACCCCCCTGTTCCTCCCTGCCCGCCCCCAGACCAGAGAACGTGCACGAGTACAGCCTCACTCCTAGTTCCCTCTACGTGCATTTTGAGTCGACTCAAAATGCACCTCAAAATGCACCTCAAAATGCACCCAGACCAGAGAACGTGCACGAGTACAGCCTCACTCCTAGTTCCCTCTACGTGCATTTTGAGTCGACTCAAAATGCACCTCAAAATGCACCTCAAAATGCACCCAGACCAGAGAACGTGCACGAGTACAGCCTCACTCCTAGTTCCCTCTACGTGCATTTTGAGTCGACTCAAAATGCACCTCAAAATGCACCTCAAAATGCACCCAGACCAGAGAACGTGCACGAGTACAGCCTCACTCCTAGTTCCCTCTACGTGCATTTTGAGTCGACTCAAAATGCACCTCAAAATGCACCTCAAAATGCACCCAGACCAGAGAACGTGCACGAGTACAGCCTCACTCCTAGTTCCCTCTACGTGCATTTTGAGTCGACTCAAAATGCACCTCAAAATGCACCCAGACCAGAGAACGTGCACGAGTACAGCCTCACTCCTGGTTCCCTCTACGCAGCTGTCTCAGTGGGTTTCGACACCAGCAACGCCATCATCTCTGCTCTCCACCACCTCTCCAAGGCAAAGCTATCGGCAGACATCATCTTCCTTCCACCCTTCCCTCCCCTTCGTTCCCTTCCCCTCACACCCTTCTCCCTTCTCCCTTCTCCCTTCTCCCTTCTCCCTTCTCCCTTCTCCCTTCTCCCTTCTCCCTTCTCCCTTCTCCCTTCTCCCTTCTCCCTTCTCCCTTCTCCCTTCTCCCTTCTCCCTTCTCCCTTCTCCCTTCTCCCTTCTCCCTTCTCCCTTCTCCCTTCTCCCTTCTCCCTTCTCCCTTCTCCCTTCTCCCTTCTCCCTTCTCCCTTCTCCCTTCTCCCTTCTCCCTCATCCCTTCTCCCTTCTCCCTTCTCCCTTCTCCCTTCTCCCTTCTCCCTTCTCCCTTCTCCCTCATCCCTTCTCCCTTCTCCCTTCTCCCTTCTCCCTTCTCCCTTCTCCCTTCTCCCTCATCCCTTCTCCCTTCTCCCTTCTCCCTTCTCCCTTCTCCCTCATCCCTTCTCCCTTCTCCCTTCTCCCTTCTCCCTTCTCCCTTCTCCCTTCTCCCTTCTCCCTCATCCCTTCTCCCTTCTCCCTTCTCCCTTCTCCCTTCTCCCTCATCCCTTCTCCCTTCTCCCTTCTCCCTTCTCCCTTCTCCCTTCTCCCTTCTCCCTTCTCCCTCATCCCCCAGCCCAGAAAACGTGCACGAGTACAACTTGACTCCCCACTCCCTCTACGCCGCTGTCTCTGTGGGCCTGGACACCAACACCATCATCTCTGTGCTGGACCGCCTGTCAAAGACGAAGCTCTCTGCTGACATCATTGCGTTCATCCGAGACTCCACTCAGAACTACGGGAAGGTCAAGCTGGTGCTGCAGCGGAACAAGTACTTTGTGGAATCGCCATATCCCAATGTGAGAGTTCGCGCCCCAATGTGAGTGTGCTGCGCAGCCATCCACTATCAGCCGACATCATAGCGTTCATCCGAGACTCGACTCAGGACTACAGCAAGTGAAGCTCGTGCTGCAGAGGAGCAAGTACTTTGTGGAATCGCCGTACCCCAACGTGAGTCGCCTTACCCAATGTGAGTTCTGGCGCTCTAGTCTTGCGGCAGGTCAAGCAAGTGGATATCAGCTGAGTCCCCATGGATTGACCTGCTGACGGGCACTCCTCCACAAGCACCTGCTGACACGCACCCTCGCACTCCCACGCCCACCTGCAGTGTAGTCCTGGATTGATGTCTGTCAGACGAAAGCAGACATCAATCCATGGGTTCATCCGAGGTGACTTTTGAGTCGACTCAAAAGCAGATCCATGGGTTCATCCTGCAGGCAGTTTTGTCCTGGATTGATGTCTGTCACACGAAAACAGACATCAACCCATGGGTTGATCCATCCCACACGTCCTGTCCTGGATTGACATCTCTCTTCGCATGGCCCACCTACTGCCTTGCAGGTGCTGCAGCTGCGGGGACTCCTGAGGGACTATGTGGTTCGGTTGGTTTGAGGCGCCTCAAATATCAGCTGAGCCCCCATGTCCCTGTGGATTGGATTGTGATTTGCTGGTCATCCGCCTGTTCGCCCATGGCCCGCTGCCTTGCAGGTGCTGCGGGAGCTGCTGAGAGACGACGTGATTCGCCGAGCCAGAATCATGCCACCTGTCAACCAGGTGTGTGCAGATTGCATGTGTCCATGTGTGTGTCCATGTGTGTGTGCATGTGTGTGTGCATGTGTGTGTGCATGTGTGTGTGCATGTGTGTGTCCATGTGTGTGTCCATGTGTGTGGACATGTGTGTGTCCATGTGTGTCCGCGCCTGTTGCTAGTCTCCAAGGCGCCAGTCTCTGCCAGTGTGCCCGGCGTTTCGTTCGGTATCCCCTCAAATAATGCCTCTCTGTCATTTGCGGTATCTTTCTTCTTGAGAAGGGGGCAACAGGAGAGGCATTCGCAGTGCAGCAGGGGAGAGGGGCAGATGGGTGGGCAGCAGTACTGACACATGCTCTCATGGGGGCGGAGGGGGTCGATTCGTGTTCCTATGTCCCTCAACGTCTTTCTCCTTTGATGTTTTCTAATGGCTTGGCATGGCATGGCATGGCATGGTGTGTGGCATGCAAGCAACAGGGAGCAGGAGAGGCGTTCGCAGTGCAGCAGGGGGGAGCAGCAGACGGGTCAGCAGCAGCGCTGACGCATGCGCTGATGGGGGCGGGGGAAGGGGATGAGGGCGATGTGGGGGGCGGAGGGGACGATGGGGAGTTCCACTCGTTCGAGATCGACCCCTCTCAGGTGGGTTGGCCCAAGTGGATTGGTCCGGGTGGATTGGTCCGGGTGGATTGGTCCGGGTGGATTGGTCCGGGTGGATTGGTCTGGGTGGATTGGTCCGGGTGGATTGGTCTGGGTGGATTGGTGGTGGTGCAGCACAGGTGGCCCAGGTGTGCTGGAGATTGCCATCTCTCCCCTTCCCTGATGTGGGTGGTGGAGGGAACGCAATGGGGGGTTCCACTCGTTTGAGATCGATCGGCCCCTCGCAGGTGTGTTGGCCCAGATGGGTTGGGGCAGGTGTATTGGCCCAGGCTGCAGGTGCGCCATTTGGGATTGCCATACCTGCCCTTGCTAATGTGGGTGACGCTGGGGACGATGGGGAGTTCCACTCGTTTGAGATCGATCGACCCCTCGCAGGTGTCTTTGAGCTGCTGTTGGAGCTCTTCAGAATATTAAAACATATGTTAATGTGCGTTCTCTGCATGTTGTTTATATATGAGCTCCCAGGTAGGTACGGAGGTGGGCATTCTGTATGTGCATGGCGTTGGTGTTGAGTATGTGGGCTCACGGGTGTGAGCGCGCGTCTCCCCCTTGGCCTGTGGCAGGTGGAGCGAGTGAAGCAGCGGTGCCTGCCACAGGCCAAGCCCAACGCGCCCAACGCGCCCAGCTACTGAGGCGCCTCAATCTTGTGATTTCTGCATTGATGCATGTGTGCACATGGATGCTCATGTGTGTGCATGGGTACGCATGGGTGCGTGTGCTTCTCCCCCTTTGCCTGTCGTTGGTAGGTGGAGCGAGTGAAGCAGAGGTGTTTACCCAACGCGCTCAACTACCCGATGCTGGAGGAGTACGACTTCAGAAACGACTCGGTATGCCAGCCACACGGCCAGACACACACCCGCCGCATGGTTGCATTGCATGCATGCACACAGTGTGGTATGGAGGTGCGTTGACAGCAAGCGCGCTCAACTACCCATGCTGGAGGAATACGACTTCAGAAACGACTCGGTATGCCGACCATATGCAAACAGTGCACACACATGCGTAGCGCATATGCACTTATCACACTTGCACAGACACACAGTCTTTTACGCTCACCATCTCTCGCACGTTCACACATGCATGCACACACACCCTTCAATTACTGACGCTCATTTCAAGCTTTGTGTACACATACCTTCTTTGAATGCTGCTCCCGCACCTGCCATGATTTTGCGCCATGTGTGTTTCAACGTGGCGGCACGGTATGTATGCAGGTGATCCTCGATGTGGAGTGGAGTTGAAGCCACATGCCCAGCTATGCCCGTACCAGGAGAATAGCCTAAGCACTTTCTCTTTGTAATCTTCTTCTCGTGCAACATCCTGCATGTGCCATGGCCTTGCCACATGCTTTTCTGTGCCATGGCCTTGCCACCTGCTTGTCTGTGCCATGGCCTTGCCACATGCTTGTCTGTGACATGGCATGGCGGTTTGCAGGTGAACCCCGATGTGGATGTGGAGTTGAAGCCACATGCCCAGCTCCGACCTTACCAGGAGAAGAGCCTAAGCAAGATGTTTGGCAACGGTGAGGGTTTGATCCATGGTGTGGTCTTATGAGTAGCAGCAAGGAGAATTGCATAACGTGAAACGCCGCCTCCTTGCCTGGCAAATCTCTTTCTCCCCTCCTCCCGCCCCCAGGCCGGGCACACCCAGGCATAATAGTCCCACTGCCGAGTGGCGCAGGGACTCCTTGGTGATTTTTGAGTCGACTCAAAAATCCCCCAGGCCGAGCACGCTCAGGCACTTTAGTCCTACTGCCATGTGGCGCTGGGAGCCCCTTGGATGGTATGTCAGCAGCAGTGCGCATTCCTAAAAGCTCCTTGTGCGTGGCAACATACCCCCCTCTCCTCTCTTTCCCGTCTCCCCCCCCCCTCTCTTGGTTTTCAGGCCGAGCGCGTCCGGCCGGCATCATCGTGCTGCTGCCCTGTGGAGCAGGCAAGTCGCTCGTGGGAATATCCGCAAGAGCTGCCAGCCTGTGCCTCTCTCAGAAACACTGCGTATCCCACTCAGGCGGAGAGTTGCCTGAGCGCTCTCGGCGTGCTTATCCCACTCTCTTTCCTCCCCCCAACCTTCTCTCAGGCCGAGAACGCTCTGGCACCATAGTGCTGCCATGTGGTGTGGGAGAATCTCTGTTGGGTGGGCGTGTCGGCAACAGTGTGCCCAAGGCAGTGGCTTACACATAACATGCTCAGTTCTCCCCTCAGGCCCGAGCGTGCTCAGGCGCCTTAGTGCTACCGTGTGGAGCAGAGCAGGCACGTCCTTAGTGAGAGTGTCGGCTGTGGGAGTGTCGCTAGACACATTCCACTTTCTTCTCGTCTCCCTCTCCCCCGCACCACCTTCCGTGTTCTGCAGGTCGAGCGCGGTCAGGCATCATAGCGCTGCCGTTTGGAGCAGGACAATCATTAGTGGGTGTATCAGCAGCAGCAGTACGGATTCGCAAGAGCTGCCTGTGCGTGGCAACACATGCCATGTCTTCCTCTCCCTCCCTCCCCCTCTCCCCGGGTTTACCAGGCCGAGCACGGTCAGGCATTATTGTGCTACCCTGTGGAGCAGGCAAGTCCCTGGTGGGTGTGTCAGCAGCGGTGCGCATCCGCAAGAGCTGCCTGTGCCTGGCAACGAACGCAGTGTCGGTGGACCAGTGGTGCCTGCAGTTCAAAATGTGGTCCACCATTAAGGACCAGCACATCTCCCGATTCACGTCGGACACCAAGGAGATGTTCCAGGTGAGATGGACTAAGGGCACGCATGCATGCATGCTTGTGTGTGTGCATGTGCATGTGCATGTGCTGATAGGAGCAATCAAGGACCAGCAGCACATCGTCCGATTCACGTCGGACACCAAGAAGATGTTCCAGGTGTTTGGTCAGAGGACATACATGGGGGATGTTCCGGACGACTTGAAGAAGGGATGTTCCGGATGAGTGCTCAAAGGTCATGCATGCGTGAATGTGTGCATGGCATGTCTACGTGGTACATTACATGATGTGCTTGCATGCGCTTGCATGTGCTTGCATGCGCTTGCATGTGCTTGCATGTGTGTGTGATGTATTAGAGTTGGCTTTGCATGTGCATGTGCGTGCATGTATGGCTGCAACCATTTCTGTATTGTTCTTCCTCTAAAACTTTCTTCTGCCTATTCGCCTCTCTTACCCCTTCACCTTCTCTTTTGTGCACACAGGGCGATGCGGGAATCGTGGTGACCACGTTCAACATGATTGCGTTCGGGGGGAAGCGGTCAGCAGAATCAAATAAAATCATCGAGGCGATCCGATCACGCGAGTGGGGCTTGCTGCTCATGGACGAGGTACAGTGCGGTTGAATCGGATGGGATGTGTTGCGGTGCGGTGCGCTGGGGTGCCATGGCGAGCAGGGAGGTCCGGTGGCGTACTCTGGATTGTAGGGTTTGCTGTTCGTGGGTAAGGTACAGCATAGTCAGGAGGAGCCATGTGATAGAGTGGCGGCCATCTCACATAGTGAGATACGATTTATGGTTTAGCTAGCTATGCCGTTTCCTTGTGGATGGACTAGAAATTTTGTGTTTCTATCGGTTGGTGAGGTTCGGTGTTGAAGTATGATGGGTTGTAATGAGTTTCAATCAATAGGGTACTGCGGTGTATAAGGGTGCACATGTCTCTCGTGACAGCTGCCCCTGTGTGTCTCTGTGTTGTCTCCCATGCACATGTCTCCCATGCGCATGCCTCCCATGCACATGTCTCCCATGCACATTTCTCCCATGCATATGTCTCCCATGCACATGTCTCCCGTGCACATGTCTCTCATGCCCATGTCACTCATGCACATGTCTCCCGTGCACATGTCTCTCATGCCCGTGTCTCCCATGCACATGTCTCTCATGCCCATGTCTCCCATGCACATGTCTCTCATGCCCATGTCTCCCATGCACATGTCTCCCATGCCCATGTCTCCCATGCACATGTCTCTCATGCCCATGTCACTCATGTGACCTATGCCCCCATGCTGCCTTCCATCTTGACGCTCCTATGCTGACGTCAGGTGCATGTGGTGCCAGCTCAGATGTTCCGCAAAGTCATCGGCATCACCAAGTCGCACTGCAAGCTGGGGCTCACAGGTGAGTCAACGCGAGTCAACAGGTGAGTCAGTAAGTCAATGCAAGTCACCTGGTGAGTCAAGGAAAGTCAAACCCCTTCCTAGCCAGTCTTATCTCAAAGAACGAGCATTGACCACCATGCACCATGTCTTATATATTCCCTCCAACATTGACTTCTATGCACATCTCTCCCTCTCCCTACACAGTCTCCCCTCCTCTCCCCTCCTCTCCCCTCCTCTCCCCTCCTCTCCCCTCCTCTCCCCTCCTCTCCCCTCCTCTCCCCTCCTCTCCCCTCCTCTCCCCTCCTCTCCCCTCCTACCCCCTCTCCACCTCCCTCCCGCGATTCTTGCCTGATATGATAGCAGACCTGATCTCCCTCATCAATATGAGCCCTAATGTTTCTCTCCCCCGCTCCCCACCGCCCTCCCCTCCCCATCCCGCACTCTCGCACTAATCTTCTCCCAGAAATGCTGGTTTGACCGCATGAGCTGAATGCCGACATTGACTCCACACACATCACTCCCCTCCCTCCCTCTCAACACCCCTTACCCTCTCCCCATTTCCTCCTCTTCCCCCCTCCCCCTCCCCCTCCCCCTCCGCCTCCCCCCCCAGCCACGCTGGTCCGCGAGGACGAGCTGATTGCGGACCTCAACTTCCTGATCGGTCCAAAGCTGTACGAGGCCAACTGGCTGGACCTGGTGCGGGGGGGATACATCGCCAACGTGCAGTGCGTTGAGGTGAGACTTTACCGGGTGTGATTGTAATGGGGTGAGCCTGTAGCGGGTGAATAGCAGGCCTCAACTGCCTTCACTGTTGAGGCCAACAGGCTGGGCCTGGTGCGCGGGGGGTACATCGCCAACGTGCAATGCGTTGAGGTGAGACTGTACCGGGTGTGATTGTAATGGGGTGAGCCTGTAGCGGGTGAATAGCAGGTCTCAACTGCTTTCACTGTTGAGGCCAACAGGCTGGGTCTGGTGGGGGGGGGTACATTGCCAACGTGCAATGCGTGGAGGTGAGATTTTACTGGGTGTGATTGTAATGGGGTGAGCCTGTAGCAGGTGAATAGCAGGCCTCAACTGCCTTCACTGTTAAGGCCAACAGGCTGGGCCTGGTGGGGGGGGGGTACATTGCCAACGTGCAGTGTGTGGAGGTGTGTATGATGTTACTGTGCAGGCTGTGCTGATGTGAGGCGTGATTCTAATGAGGTGTGATGACATTGAGGGGTGGCTGTATTGATGGCTGCATCAGGCTGATAGCAGGCCCTCGCACCTGTACGAGGCCATCTGGCTGGACCTGGTTGGGGGGGGGGTTACATTGCCAACATGCATTGTGTGGAGGTGAGTTGCTGTAGTGACGTTTGGCGATGTTGAGAGTGACTGTATTGAGCTGATAGCACACCTCAACTGCCTGTGGTTGCTTGCATGTGTCTGCTTGTGCGTGTGTGCATGTGTGTGTGTGCGTGTGCATGTGCATGTGTGTGTGTGCGTGTGCATGTGCATGTGTGTGTGCATGTGTGCGTGTGTGTGTGCATGTGTGCGTGTGCGTGTGCGTGTGCATGTGCATGTGCATGTGTGTGTGCATGTGCATGTGTGTGTGCATGTGTGTGTGAATGTGTGTGTGTTCAAGCATGTGTGCATGTTCGTGTGCGTGTTAATGTGTTGTGCATACCCCCACCAGGTGTGGTGTCCCATGACCCGGGAGTTCTATGCGGAGTACATTCGAGCGGATGCCAGGAAGCGACAGGTGAATGGGGCTTTAAGGGGTGTGACCCTGTGAGGTGACTGGGGCTCCTATGGCTGTAAGGTGGCATGGGCTTTAAGGTGTGGTTTCCCTTGCTCAGGGAATTCCAGGCAGAGTCCGAACGAGCAGATGCAAGGAAGCGACAGGGTGTAACCTTATAACAGGACTAGGGCTATAAGGGGGTTCAAGGTGACTAGGGCTTTCCGGGGATTACAGTTATTAGGGCTTTAAGGTGTGGTGTCCTTTGACAAGGGAGTTCGTGTGGTGTGGAGTACATACCAGTGGGCGCAAGGAAGCGACAGAAAAATAGGGCTTTAAGAGATGCTAGGTGACTGGGTTCTAGGGGCTATACTTGGTGGTAAGGGCGTGTCCAGCGCGTACGTTAACGATCCGGGATCACGGTTCAATAGGATACATCACGGTTGAGAGCGGTTTTCGCACGTCACCGCGCTGGACCGCCGAGCACCACATTTGAACCGTATAAAGTGAACTGAAAACATACGCGTTGCACACGCCCTCAGGGTCATGACAACAGTTCGGTTTTAGTTCTAAGTTGCACTCTCTCCTCTCTCACATCCACACTCCTCCTCTCTCCCATCCACACTCCTCCTCTCTCCCTTCGCACGATGTCTGTACGTGAGGAATCCCAACAAGTCCCTGGTGCGAGTGTCTCATTCAATTCCACGAGTAGCAACGGACTGCTCCCAATCACCTGCACTCCACGCTCCATGACACTCACTCTTCAAGTTCCCTCACTCACTCCTTATTCCCTCATACTGCCCACCCACAGGGTCTATACGTGATGAATCCGAACAAGTTCCGTGCGTGCGAGTATCTGATTCGCTTTCACGAGGAGCAGCGGAGAGACAAGATCATCGTGTTCTCCGACAACCTGTTTGCGCTCGAGCAGTACGCGAGGAAGCTCAACAAGCCCATGATCTATGGCCCCACCAGGTGTGACTGTAGGGAGTGTGAAGGTGGTGGGTGTGTTCTCGAGTGAAAGTGCAGGGGACAAGATTGTAGTGGTCTTGGGTTACCTCTCTCTTTGCTCGAGCAGTACGCGAGGAAGCTCAACAAGCCCATGATCTACGGCCCCACCAGGTGAATGCTTTGTCAAGATCATTGTGCTCTTTGATAGCCTCGTTGCTCTTGAGCAGTAAACGAGGAAGTTTAGTATGGAGTATGGAGTATGGAGTATGGAGTATGGAGTATGGAGTATGGAGGAATTTTAGTGACCTCAATCTGATTCTGACTCAAACCGTTGAAGGTTCTATCCTTTTTTACTCCTCTGCTTCCCGCCTCACCTTCCAACCAGCCATGCAGAACGCACGCGAGTGCTATATGCCTTTAAGAACAGCCCCAACGTCAACACTGTCTTCCTCTCAAAGGTGTGCTTTTCTTTAAGATACCTTCCTCCTCGTCACTGTCTTCAACTGCTTCATTTCGTTTGTAAGACACGAAGCACGTGTCGTTTGTAAGGTGTTTTTGAGAATTCTCAAAAGCACGAGGCGGGGAGACTCGGGCGAAGCTGGGAGAACTTGACCCAACACAGTCTCATTATGAGGAGAGTGTGGCTCTCGACTCGCCCCTGGCTCCGACCTGATTTTCAAAATGATCGGGGCTGCTACACTCTATTCAAACCTCTGCTGGACCCCACTCACAGGTCAGACACGTAAGTCTCTTTTACCAATTATAAGTTCTCAGAACACCACCCCTGTTGGTCTTATGACTCTATTGACATCCCTGAGGCAGTGTGAGCATCAAAATATCATCCCGGGTGAGAGGAGGAGGCACGAGGCTTAGTAGCTAACACGATTGTTGTCATTTATATGTCAACTTCTTCGTTTCCCCCTGACCTCCCGGCAATTCCAGGGTATTCTTTAGAATTCTCAAAAATACCCTGCAAATAAAAGGCACCCGGGGTGGGAGACAACTCTATCGACATTCCAGAGGCAAATGTGATCATCCAGATCTCGTTCCGTGCGGGTTCCCGGAGGATTTTTTAGGTGCCTCAAAAATAGGCAATTCCTTGGCAAGCGGGGTGGGAGACAACTCCATCCAGATCTCGTCGCAGGTGGGATCCAGGAGGCAGGAGGCGCAGCGACAGGAACAGTTCTAGTGATCCAGATCTTATCTTCACTCGTCTATTCCTCCCCGCGGTCCCATTGCAGGTGGGAGACAACTCCATCGACATTCCCGAGGCGAATGTGATCATCCAGATCTCGTCCCACGCGGGGTCCAGGAGGCAGGAGGCGCAGCGGCTGGGGCGGATTCTGAGAGCCAAGGGGCGCAAGGAGGACCGCATGGCCGGGGGCACGGAGCACTACAACGCCTTCTTCTACTCGCTTGTGTCCACCGACACTCAGGTGATTCCCCAGGTGGTTTCAACAGATGCGTTTGGGGGCGAATTCAGAGAGCCAAGGGGCGGAAGGAGGACCGGATGGCTGGGGGCACGGAGGACTACAACGCCTTCTTTTATTCCCTGGTCTCGACCGACACTCAGGTGATTCTCCAGGTGGTTTCAACGGGTGTATGTTTGGGCGGATTCTGAGAGCCAAGGGGCAGAAGGAGGGCTGGATGGGGGGGGCACGGAGCACTACAACTCCTATTCACCAATTGTCGGGTGAGTTATCTGGTTTTTTTTTCTACAGGTGTGTGGTCTTTTGCTCGCTGTGGGGTCCCGTTTGCCATCTGTCAATGTTATGGCATTCAGTAACTTGGTGTGACGTGGCACGTTTTCTTTTTCAACCTGCTTGTATGGGCAGGAGATGTACTATTCGTCAAAGAGGCAACAGTTTCTCATTGATCAAGGCTACTCCTTCAAGGTACAATACTCTGCTGCAGACGCTACTTACTGCAGCCACTAGTGCAGCCACTGTTGCATCCACTACTGCTGAGGAGCAAAGGCAACTCTATTTATTCAAGATTCACAGGGGCTCGCTGGCTTTGCTTCCGTCTCTCACTACCCCTCCCTTTCCTCTTTCTTTTCCGTTCGCTCCACTTTCTCTATCCTCTCCTTCCCTATATCACGCACTTGCGATCCGTCGCTGCCCCTCTCCCCCCATCTCTCTCCCTCTCACTCTCACCTGTCTCTCGCTCCCCTTTCTTGCCTCTCTTGGCAGTCACTCACTCTACCTTTCACTCATCCCACCACTCCACCCGTGTTCATCCTGCTCACAACCCTTGCCGTCCAGGTGGTCACATCTCTACCCCCACCAGGCGAGGGCGACGACCTCTGCTACACGTCCAAGCAGGAGCAGCTGGACCTGCTGTCCACTGTGAGTGTGCCCTCCTGCCTTCAGGGCACTGTGAGTCAAGCTGTATAGTTTCCAGGTGCCTGCTGGAGGGAAACATGACGACCAGCCAGGTCGGTTTCTGTTTCGAGCTGCTACGCTTCCAAGCAAAGCCATGCCTCTTGCTTTCTCTCCCTCCAGGTGCTCAGTGCTGCCGATGGGAAGGACTAAGAGAGGAGGTCCTAGCTTAGGACTAAGATGATCTAAACCACTTTCCAACCGTCGTGACGTGCACGGTAGCTTCCATGCCCTACCCTTCTTATCCCTCTCTTTCTCCCTCCAGGTGCTCAGCGCATGTAACGAGGCATTGAGGGAGGAGGTCTTAGCAGAGGACTACGACAACATAAGCCCTCCTCCATTTGAGTCTACTAAAAAAAAAAAGTCCTTTTCCTCTGCTGCTGTAGTCATTGAGGGAGGAGGTCTATTCCTCTTTCCCTCCATCTGTTGCTGTAGGTTCTAAGTGCAGGGGACGAGGCGTTGAGGGAGGAGGTCCTGGCAGAGGACTATGACGATCTGAGCCACGTGCCCGCCATTGTGAGGTGGGCTGAGCATTCCTCATTTATTGTTCCTTCTGTGCTACTCCCTCTCTTTCTCCCTCCAGGTGCTGAGTGCAGGCGACGAGGCGTTGAGGAAAGAGGTCCTGGCGGAGGACGATGACGATCTGAGCCACGTGCCGAGCATCGTGAGACAGGCGGTAGCATCCCTGCCCTCCTCATTTGACCCCTCTCTTTCTCTCTCCAGGTGCTGAGTGCAGGGGACGAAGCATTGAGAGAGGAGGTCCTAGCAGAGGACTACGACGATCTGAGCCACGTGCCGACCATCGTGAGGCGGACAGCAGCATCTATGAGTGCCATGTCGGGAGCCCAAGGGAGGATGTACATGGAGTACAGGTATGGTGCCATGATGTGTGCTTGAGTTATGGGTAGGGGTGTGTGTACTGGTGAGTCCCTCCGTAGCAGTCATGAGTGCTATGCCTGGTGTGCAGGGATGCATGTACATGGAGTACAGGTATGGTGCCATGATGTGTGCTTGAATTAGGAGTACTATATAACTGTGATGTGAGATTTCAAGTTATGTGTGTTCCATTTCGGAACAAGACGCACACACAACACCATTGTGCGTACAATGCGCCGATACAAAGACGACTCAATGTGTGACGAGTCATAGTACGTTATGAGTCATTGCACGTGGACAAATGGTGTTGCTAAGTGAATGCAACAATTTCCATACCCTCAGCATTAAGGTTCCATTTGTCCTCCTTCCCATACCTTTCCACCTGGCAGCACCGGCAGGGGGGGAGGAGCTGGGGGGAGGGGAGGGGGAGCAGGGAGAGGGGCAAAGCCCAAGGATCCAGCCAAGAGGCATTCTCTTTTCAAGCAGCGGTATCGATAGGAGCACACTGCGTTGCAGCACTGGCAACAATCAAAGCACACTACCTTCGATAGTGCTGTTGATTGAAGTACGCTGCATTGTAAGAGGATGGCCTTGCTGACAAAGGCTACTGGGTTGAGAAAGACTTGTTAAAGGAGCTAGGTAGCTAGAGAAGCCATGGAAATGGCGTGAGGGTTTAGGCTAGGAGGAAATGTTGAGAGAAAAGAGAGCTGGAATAGAAGAGGAGATACAAGAAGGGGGGTAGTCCCCTCTACAGTAGGATTCTGTAACACCTACCTACCAAGCCTACAATTATATATACATAATATGTAATTTAACACACCCCCTAGGCTTGGTAGTCGCAAGCCCACCCCGCATGCAACACCTCTCTGTTAAGAACTTAGGATGCTAGGTCCCTAAAGTTAGGACACTAGCTTAGCTAGGATAGGAGCAAGGCCGCCATGGAACGGCGCTAGGAAAAAAACGGATCTAGGAGTAGGAGGAAAGTCGAGAAGAAAGAGTGTTGGATTAGGAAGAGAAGGGAGTACAAGGAGGGGTTTGTACCCCCTACAGAAAGGTTCAGTAGCAACCTACCAAGCCTATATAAAATTATAACTTATATAATTTTAACACACCCCCTAGGCTTGGTAGTGTCAAGCCCACTCACACCCCCACACCCGCACCCAACCCACCCCCTAACCCCGCACACCCTCAAGCTCGTGCTTAGCCGGGTATCTGACCCTCAGGCAAAGCGTTGACACACCCCCGTACACGAGGCAGCCGACGGCGTCTAGGCGGGTCAGCGACAAGCAGCCGCGGAGCTCTGGCTCAAGGCGGCTGGGTCGCCGACGACAGGCGGCGACTGCCGCGGCTGAGGGCTCTCGGCAATGTGGCAACGACCGGGCAGAAGACAGCAGCTGCGACAGGAGGAAGGGAAGATGCAGGGGGGGGAAGGGAGAATGGGGGGGAGGGGGGGGGGGGGGGGCGGGGCGAGGCGGGTCATCAGCGACGCGCCATAAGAGGCGCGGCGCTTACTGGCAGGGGGCCGGGCAGGTGACGACGGGGCCAGGCAGGGCGCGACGGGGCCGAGCGGGTGCGACGAGGCCAGGCAGGGCGCGACGAGGCCCGGGCAGGGCGCGACGGGGCCGAGCGGGTGCGACGAGGCCAGGCAGGGCGCGACGAGGCCCAGGAGGGGCGCAGCCGCGGCGTCGCGCTGACGTCGTCCCGGTCGCGTGTCGAGACGGCCGCGGCAGGACGGCGCAGCCAGCGAAAAGACGACGACGCCACAGCGTGACGTCGCCGCGGCCGCCATGGCAGCGTCGATGCCGCAGCGGGGCGTCGACGCTGCGACTGCAGAACAACGGCCCGACTCCGCGGCAGCGCGTCGGGCCGGTCGCGGCACGACGCGCCCAGTGGCAGCGCGACGTCGCCACTGCAGCAAAACGCGGCCGCCATGGCCGCTGGAGTGAATGAGGGTGAGGAGTAAATGGCGGAAGCGAGAGGAGGCAGTCCAGCAGGAAGGATCTCCTGCTCTGATACCATGTTAAGAACTTAGGATGCTAGGTCCCTAAAGTTAGGACACTAGCTTAGCTAGGATAGGAGCAAGGCCGCCATGGAACGGCGCTAGGAAAAAAACGGATCTAGGAGTAGGAGGAAAGTCGAGAAGAAAGAGTGTTGGATTAGGAAGAGAAGGGAGTACAAGGAGGGGTTTGTACCCCCTACAGAAAGGTTCAGTAGCAACCTACCAAGCCTATATAAAATTATAACTTATATAATTTTAACACTCTCAGCCTAGCACCCCCATACCCTGCAGCAGAGGTGACTGCAAGAAAGGAAGGCGCTAGGCAGCCTTGAGCTGCGGCGGGGCGGAGCCAGCTGGCGTGGCGAGCTGGGACCGACGCGGCGAACTGGGACCGACGCGGCGAGCTGGGTCCGACGCGGCGAACTGGGTCCGACACGGCGAGCTGGGGAGGCGCGGCAAGCTGGCGTGAGGGCTTGCTGCCTGGCGCCTAAACCAGTGAGCGGCCCACTGCCGCCCGTGCGCTGACGTGACGACGGCGGCACGACGAAGCCGCCACAATGTGGCGTCGAAGCCACGGAGGCACGTTGAGGCTGCCATGGCAGGTCAAAACTGCCAGATCAAAAAGTGCTGGCCTCTTCTAGGAATATACCAGCATCTTGCTAGGAATCCAGCAGCAGAAGGCAGCAAAGAACATTGATTTCGAGTTGATATAGCACTGCAAGTTGTAACAGTTGTGAATGAGAGCCTTGGTTGTACATGTGCTGGCTCATAATGGCAGTGGTGCGTCAGCTTATGCCAAGTCCCTCGCAGGTCCAGTGAAAGGTTTTATGCAACCAGGCACTCCTGGCTCAAACCTTTCACACACACCAGCCTCAAAGAATAGACTGAAGGAAGCAGCAGCACCTCGGATGGTCACAGTGCCCTCAATACCATGTTATTGAGGTGACCATGTACATAACATATGTGAGCATACAGCATAATTTACAGCTCCGAATTCTAGAAGCATGCCAATCGCTACCAGTCTAGTTACTCTGGTCTGGTGCCAGCCACAGCTCCTACACTAGTGAAAAAGCCCTACAACAGCCTATTTCCTGGTGAAAGGTTCACCTAGAACTGCCTCAGCGCGCTGCTCATTCTGCGGAGAGTAACCCGGCTGCTAGAGCCCGATATTCTCCGCCTCGCACCAAACCTACCAATGCCTACCGAGATACCCGATGCTGCCAATTCCTCCCTCTCTTCCTCCTCCACCTCATCCATGTACAGCTGGTTCATGTAGCACATGTTCCCTGACCCAAAAGGCTTGTAGCTTTGCTTGCTGCTGCTGTACTCTTCCACCTCTGCATCATCATCATCCTCCCCAAACAGCTGGTTTGCGAAAGTACTCCCTGCCTCCACCTTCCCAAATCCCTTCACCTCCATGCTCCAACCCTTCCCGCTGCTGGAAATGCCTCGGCCAATCCCCCTCTTCACAGCGGTTATCTCCGCGACCAATCCAGTGGGAGTATTGCAGAGGCTACCAGCAGAGGAGGAGTAGAGGCTGTGAGCAGAGGAGGAGCAGGAGTCCCAGGCGAGGTCAATGAGGCACGCACTGTGGCTGCTGCAGCTGCTCCCACTGCGACTCATGCTGCTCCACCCGCTGCTGGCCTCTGCTCCCACCTTCCCACCCCGCTGTGCCTGCTCTGATTCTGATTTGACACCCAACCATGATGCAACCTTAACCGAGGAAGCAGCAGTCTCAGCCGGAAGTGAAGGAATCAGGTCCTCTGCATCTGCAACTGGAAATGATGAAGCTCTCTTCTCCGCTTCCGTTGGTTCCTCTGCTTCCTTAGCCTCAGACGAAACGGTAGCAGTCACAGTTGGAGCATCCGCCTTGCCAGCCTCAGTCGGATTGTTGACGGTTTCTGACTCTGCATCGGTTGACGCGGCTTCCACCAGAAGAGCGACAACTGGAAGAGCGGGAACCGGCTGAACCTCGACAGCAGGGTGCTTGCACGACCTGATCCAACTGACGATGGCCTGCAAGAGAAATCACGCAGCACAAGAAAACCAGATTAAAAGTTAGTCGCTGTTACAATAAGTGATGGAACTCTTAAACATCAACGAGCAAATGCTGATACGTTTGAGCAAAAATCTGCTTGTAAAGATGTCCAGGGTTTGCAGAAACAGAATCAACAGCTAGGAGGAGTTGGCTCTTACCAGGCGAGGAGCAGAGATCATGCTGCAGACGAAGCGAGTCAGGGAATCATCTTGCTCCCAGCAGCTCGAGAACAGAGCATCGACGTCCACGCAGGCACGCTCAGCACCGACGCAGGCCATGTCGTTGACGGACGGAGTAGAAAGGAAGGCAAATTCGGGAAGAGAACTTCACACGGACAAGTTGCACTCTATCAGGCACGGACAGCTGGTGAGGAGGGCCTTAAGAGCAGAAGGCGGTAGGGAACTCGAAGACAAGGTAGAAGGATTCGATACTAGCTTCAGTCGAGACTGGTGGGCGAAACTGAAACCCCTCCTCTATTTGTACTATTTCTCGTCTGGCGGATGCAGGGAGTCTGATGAGCGTCTGCTGAGAAGCGGATGAGCGTGGGAATCCGAGGAGAGGCACGGAGGGGGTGGGAGGTAGGCAGAGGGTGCGAGGCAAGCAGGGGAACCCGATGGCCGCTGCTGGGCGAATTCGAAACGCCTGGGGGGTGGGCTGGCGAGGGATTGCGATGATCGGAGCCCATGGCGACGTCGTCGACTGGCCTTGGGGGCCTTAGGGGTGTCGCGCGAGTGTCCGTTTCACTAGCGGCGATTCAGAATGCGACACCTGTGCTATATGTGCCAGCGAGGAGGTGTGATCTGGGAGCGCGTTGTGCTCTAGGGTCCGCCGCAATCGGGAATACCGAGTGCGAGACGAGATTTGGGAAGGCGGGAAAGAGGTCAGGTTTGGAAGCTGACGACACTTTAGGCATACGCGGTATGGTATCCAAACCTACTGCCGAGGCTGAGCTACGGACCTGCAAGATCTCGGGATGTTGAACATGTGGACCGATTTATTCGCTCTGGCGTTGAAGTCCAAGTAAGGGAGTGAGGTTCGGTGTCGGAGTTCACGGAGCTTGGGCACAAGCAGCGAGAAAGTTGAGAATCTGTACTCACTAGGGGCGATCTCTGTAACACAAAAACTGCCAGAAGAAATTATACATGCGTAACATACCAGTTTTTGTACATTAATCTAGTATCTCTAGGAGGTGCAACATTCCATGACTTTGTATTTGATGCATCACTCAAACCCTCCAATTGCACTATCCCAACATTCTAGAAGACTAGTTAACGAGCTAGGCAAGCATAGTGTTGCTTGCTAGCTACGCTTTCTCCTACATCATAATCGATCGAACATGGCAAGTAAATGCGGGGCTAAGGCTTTGTCAGGTGGAAGATTTGGTCAAATATGTTTTAAACCCCGAGACCCAAGTTTCTAGAACCTGGAGCAGGTGTTTTACAGTTGGTTGGGAAAAAACAGGTTTTGTGTCAAGTGGGCGTGCCCAGCGCGATCGTTTACAATTCACTTTACACGGTTCAATATGGTTTTCAGAGTTCCAACGTGGTGAAGTGCGAGAACCGCTCCTGATCGTGATATATGCTACTAAACCGTCATCTGTATGCGGTAAACATACGCGCTGGACACACCCTGAGTGTGAACTCATATTTATACGTTATTGTAGACTAGATAGGTGCATGCTCTTAGAGAGTACAACACCAAAGCATAAGAACCCTTGTATGCCCTTGTCTTGTTCACTTCATTACGCTAACATGTAATCGAAGTAGGTAGATCCCACCCACCCGCGCTTCCGCCCCAGCCTACTATAGTGCGCCCTGTTGCGCCGCGCGCGCCGTGCCGTCGTGCCGCGTTGGCCCCTAGCTCGCCGCGCTGGCCCTAGCTCGTCGCGCTGACCCTAACTCGTATCTATTAGCCCTAGCCCGCGCCCTAGCCCGTGCCCGCGCCTTAGCCCTAGCCCGCACCTTAGCCTTAGCCCATGCTCGAGCCCGCGCCTGCACCCAAGGCCGCGCTTGCGCCCTAGCCCGCTGCTCCTAGCCCGCCGTTAGCCCCGCCTACTCTCGTCGCGCAGACCCCGCTTTTGCGCTGTCCCTCAGCTCGCACTGGCCCCACTTCGCGCTGGCCCCCCCCCCAAGCTTTGCGCCGGCCGCACTTCGCGTCATTCCCTTGTACGCGACAGCCCCCAGCTTCATGCCAGCCCCTAGTCCACTTCGGCCACCAGCTTCGTGCCGGCCCCTAGTTCCCACCGGGCCCCCCCTCCCCCCCCCCCCCAGCTTCACATCGGCCCCTAGCTTCGCGCCGGCCTCCAGACTGCGCCGGCCCCAGTCTGCGCCGGCTTCAGCTCACGCCGGCCCTAGCTCCCGCCGTGCGGCCATTGTCGCAGTGCTGCTGAGCTGCTGTGTCGCTGTGTCGCCGTGCCGCCGTGTCGCCGTGCCAACAAGCCGCTGTGTTGCCGAGCCGCCGTGCCGCCGTATCGCTGTGCCGCCATGTCGCCATATCTTCCTGGGAGTCGCATGATGCGGTTGCGCAGCTTGCTATCAGTCACGCCCTCCCCCTGTCTGAGCGCCCCCGCTACCAGGCTGTAGAGACCGCACAGTAGTGTTTAGATGTCGTCATTGCGCGCTATTCCACTCCCTCCTCCGCCTCTGCCGGCCGTCTCCTCCTGCCCCTGCTCTTCCCTGATATCGCGTCCTTCCCCACTGTCGGTGACCTTGCTACTCACCCACTCTTGACTAGCTACCAAGCTGCTAGCACCCGGGCTCAGCTCACTGTTCCGCGTCCCGCCCTCGGCGCTACCCTTTACTTTCGTGCCACGCGTCTTCCTGACCGCCTTGCTACTGCCCGCGACCACTTGCTAGGCCTCCACCGTGCTTACCTCACCCTCACAGACTTTGTCACCACCCTGACCGCGATAGAGACCCGCCAGAGCAAATCGCTCAGCCCAGTAGTACTGCAGCGATCCCTATCTTCTAGGGCTCTGCACCCTCCCAGTGCACTTACTCTGACATCTCTGCCGATGTCGCTGAGATGGCTCCTACTGCTGAGACCGTCGCAGCGGCCTCAGTGCCGGCTCGTCAGGGTAAGGGTCGTCGGGCCCGAGGGGGGGGCGTGGCGGCGGGAGGGGTGGCGGGGGTGGCGAGAGGGGTGGAGGTGGTGGAGATGGTGGAGGGGCCGGTGGTGCAGACGAGGGGACCGGGGCTGATGCCTTGGCACAGCGACAGCAGCAGCAACCCCAGCATCAGCCGTGGGGACCCCCGCCGCCGTGGTGACCTGGCGGTTTTGGTGGTGGCCGACCACGCAGCTCGCTGTCGGATGGCGGCTCCAGTGCAGTGACCTGCCAGTACCAGCTTCAGACCGGCCCTCGCCGCGGCACCGTGTGAGACCGATTCACACCACCGCTTGTTGCTACCACCACCTCGACGACCTCTTCCGTCTCCGCTTTGGCCCTACGCCGGACCCCCCCAACTGGCACAGCCTGGTACGTCACCGTGTGCCGGTCTTTAAGATGGATATGGATGAGCATATTACCCTGTGTTGCTTAGTGAAGGTGTGACAACTGTGTATAGTCTAGGCTCCCCTGCTGTGTCAGGCATAGGACCTCCTGCTTTGTTTAGCCTAGCCTCCATCCTAGTCCCTCCATCAGCCGACGCTACTACCGCGATCTCCATCACGCTTGTCTCTAGCGCATCCCACTCCTTCTTTCGTGATCACACTGCGCTCACATAGCTTGCCGCCACTGCAGCTGCCGCTCTTGCTAACCCCTCTTTCGGTCTGATAGCTGCATGTAGCTCCACCACCCTTCACTGTCTGGCAGCTCCCTCATGTTCGCTTATAGGTGTGCACCTCCCCTCGTTCTCCAGGAACCTAGTGAGTGTCGGCCGTCTTCATGACTTCGGCGTCACCACTACGTTTCATGGACATGAGTGGTACGCAATCTGGTCCAAGGCTGCCGCTGGTGCCCCTCTCACTACGTTCTCCCGAGATCCAGACCCAGTATCTGGCCCGTTTACGCTCGACACTGCGTCCCCCTGGTGGGAGGGTCCCCCTAGGTGGCGGTGCCTACTCAGGTCGATGCGGTTTGCTCGTGCCGGTCGCTCACTCACTCGTCACTTCTATAACACCGTCACCTAGGTCACCCTGCACTCCCACGTCTGCGTCACATGTCCAAGCACGGTCTTTTCGTAGGTCTCCATGCGTCACTTCCTGCCCTCCCACCCTCCCCCGCGCCGCCGTGCACGCCTTGCGTTGAGAGCTGGCTGCACCGTGATCCTCACTCCCCCTTGCTCCCCCCTACTACTGCGCCACTCCAGACCCTACACCTGGACGTCTCGGGCCCAGCCCCCGTCCCTGGGCCGCGTCGTGAGTGCTTCTTTATGGTGCTTGTTGACGACTACACGTGCTACACCACGGTGTTTCCCCTGGAGCGGAAGGCCGACGTGTCTGGCGTTCTTATCCCGTAGGTCATAGCTGCGCGAGTACACTGCGGCCTGCCCGTGCTGTATCTCCACTCTGAACGTGGCGGCGAGTTCGCCTCTGGTCGGCTTGGCCAGTTCTGTCGTGCGGAGGGCATGACCCAGTCGTACACCCTGCCAGACTCCCCGCAGCAGAACGGGTCGCTGAGCGACGCATTGGTTTGGTCATGGAGGTGACTCATACATCCATGATCCATGCCGGTGCACCTCATTTTCTGTGGTGGTTCGCAGTTTGCTACGCCGCTCATCAATTTAACATGTGGCCACACTCCCAACAGCCGCAGGTTTCGCCGACCCTCCTCTGGACCGCGTTCGATGGAGACGCGTTTGCGTTCCACGTCTAGGGCTGCCTTACTCACATTCGTTCCTCTGGCATGGACAAGCTCACGGCCAGCACCATCCCTTGTGTCTTCCTTGTCACTTATGACAGGCACTTTTACCACCCGCCGTCTCACCGTTTCTTTCACTCTCGTGACATCATTTTGACGAGTCTGTCTCCTTCTACACCCGCTTTCCCCACCGAGGTCTCCCAGTTACCCCGCCCCTATTTCTGGTCCCCACTACCCTGGGAGCCCCTGCTCCTCTTCCTCCCCATCCTACCTTATCTAATGAGTCTCACGTCACTCCTCTCCTGTCGGTTGTCCCGCTGGAGGAGTCTGCTGAGTCTGGGGGCCCTGCTGCTCTAGTTTCGCCTCTTGTCTTTGCCCCAGTGTCTCCTCCTCTGCCACTGCAGCAGCAGTCGCCGTCGTCGCCGCAGTAGCAGCAGCCGCCGTCGCCACAGCAGCAGCAGCCACCGCCGCCGTAGGGGCCCGCGAGCTCTGGAGGTGCGAACGGTGAGGAGGGTGCTGGTCTAGGGAGTGCTGGTTCTGGGGCTGCTAGTCCTGGGGGTACTGTCATGGCTTGTCCCAGCAGTCCTGGGGGTGCCAACGGTGCTGGAGAGGGTTCTCGTTCTGGGGATGCTGTCGTGGAGCGTCCCGATGGTCGCTGTGGTACGGCTGAAGGTTCTTGTATCGGCGTGGAGCAGCAACAGCAATAGCCGCTGGTATCCGCCCTTCGCCTCCTCAGTCTTCTCTCCCGTGACCGCCCGCTCACACCTCCCCCCGCGTCGCCTCCTCTGCTTGTCTACAACCCCGTGTTTCCTCCGCCAGACTCATCCCCGGCGCGTCTCCCCCCTCGTTCTCTCCTGTGTCTCCTCCTGTGTCTCCTGACCCGACACTTCCGTCCCACTTCTGGACTCGCCGTCCCTCCCGTGCTCACCCTGTCTCTCCCATTCTCACCCTATATTGCTTCGTTCTCATGCCTCTTGTGCTTGCCTTCTCCCGTTGCAACTTAGTCATCGCTTCTTATCTCTCTGCCTCCATTCTCTAAATTTCTCCGTGCTGCTAGTCCTCTTGTTCCTCGGGTTCTCGCCTCTCTCATTACCGACCCGTCTTTTCGTGTCTCTAGTCTCTTGGCTCTTATCGCTGTGGTCGCTGACTAAGCCTCTACCTACCACCTTGACTACGCCACCGTTTTGGTATCTGACCTCGCCCGTCCTCCGTCTGTCAGGGGTGCACCTGCCCTTGGCAATGACAACCTAGAGGACAGGTAGTACGAGCTAGCTTTCCACTCCGAGGCCGCTCCTCATCTCTGCTCCATGCTGCTAGTCCCTAAGGGTGACCCGAACGATCTTGTCATCCCGACCCCTCACACCTACGCTGAGATGACCTCGGGATCTTGGGCCTCTCAGTGGATAGCTTCCATGGACGCACATATGGCTTCTTAGTGATCCACCTGCACCTACGTCGACGCAGTTCCCCAACTTGGGGTGAATGTAGTCGATGGCCGGTGGCTCCTCAAGGTGAAGCGCCCTCCTAGAGAGCCGCCGGTGTTCAAGGCGTGCTACATTGCTAGAGGTTTCAGTCAGCATGATGGTGTTGACTTCTTTCACATACTCGCCCCGACCCTGAAGTTGACCACTCTTCGGGTGGTGCCTCACGTAACAGCACACCGCGACTACAAGCTACACTCCCTCGACTTCATTATAGCGTTTCTCCAGGGTAGTCTGCACGAGCAGGTCTACCTCCGCCATCCGCCAGGCTTCACTGGCACCTTCGCCCCTAGGACCGAGTCGCTCCTCCGGCATCCTGTGTACGGCCTGCGGCAGGTGTCTCGCGACCGGCACGTCATGTTGCGTGCTACGTTAGCTGACCTGCACTTTTTCTTGTCCTCTGCAGACACTTCACTCTTCGTTCGCTCAGGCTAGACTCTTTTCTACATCCTAGTCTACATAGACGATCTGGTCTCTGCTACTGCAGACAAAGACGCATTGGCCTCCGTGAAGGACGAGCTGCTGAAGAGACACACCTGCACGGACCTAGGAGATCTGCGCCGCTACCTTGGCCTGCAGATCTCCAGGGACAGAGCAGCGCACACCATCACTCTCACACAGTCACACTTGGTGCGCCTGGTTCTTCAAAGGTTCGGTCTTCAGTTCTCCTCTGCACAGCCCACACCTCTGCCAGTAGACCACAGGCTCTCGGCTCTAGTCCCAGGCGAGTCGGTAGACCCTAATGGTCCGAACGCAGAGCCGGTGGGTTGCCTCATGTACCTGATCACTTGCACGCGTCCAGATCTCGCATACCCTCTTAGCATCCTGGCTCACTTTGGAGCGACAGGCAGACACCAACCACAGCACTAGTTGGCCGCTAACAGGGTTTTGCGTTATCTAGCAAGTACATCGGGCATGGGGCTAGTGCTAGGAGGACGCAAGCCAGTGGTCCTTACAGGGCACACAGACGCTTTGTGGGCCGACGACGCTGAGTCGCTCAAGTCCTCCTAGGGCTACTACTTTAGCCTTGGTGCAGGTGCCGTCTCATGCAGGTCCACCCGCTCGTCGTCTGTTGCAGAGTCTAGCTGTGAGGCTCAGATCTATGCTTGTGACATGGTGGCACAGGAGCTCCGCTGGCTGACGTTCTTGCTCACTGGCTTAGGTGAGCAGCCTAGCTCTGCCCCGGTCCTGTACGCTGACAACAGGGCCATGATCCTCCTGTGTCAGGAGCTTCGACTGGAGGGCAGAGCGAAGCACATCCAGCTGCGGTACTTCCTCCTGCGCATGCTACAGCAGCGCCGCTAGGCCCGCGTAATTCACTTGGCCTCCGGTGCCAACACAGCTGATATCTTTACTAAGGCGCTTGGGTTTAAAGGTCATCAGCGGCACTGTGTACAGCTTGGTCTAGTTCCATTAGCCTCTCACCTTCTAGGACCATGATTGTGTACTACTCTTTATATTATCTTCACTGGCCTTGTGGCTCTTGTTCCTGTGGCAGGACTAGTAGTGCCGCCCTAAGTTGCTCTTGTCTAATTTGTACTCTTCTGATTGGTCTTCAGACCCTTGTCTTAGAGGTTGGACTAGTAGTGCCACCCTGAGTTGCGTGTCTCTTGCTAGGCAGTGTCCCATTGTCTAGCCTAGGGGGTGTGTCAACTCATATTTATATGTTGTTATAGGCTAAATAGGTGCATGCTCTTAGCATAAGAACCCTTGTATGCCCTAGTCTAGTTCACTTTTTATTCTTCATTCAGCAAGTTCCGCCCAATGCAGCAGGCGCATTGGGAGACACTAGGCCAGCAGCAGCTTAAGATGACATAGGAGAGGAGAAAGGGGCAAAGAGGGAAGGGGGCAGAGGGAAGGGGACAAAGAGGGAACGGGACAGAGAGGGAAGCGGGCAGAGAGGGAAGGGGGCAGTGAGAGAAGGGCGCAGAGAGAGAAGGGGGCAGAGAGAGAAGGGGGCCGAGAGGGAAGGGCGCAGAGAGGACATCAGGTCAGAGGCCTCTCTGCCAGCACTGGCAGGAATCGGTTTGGGGGGGAGGGGGGGGAGACGATGGGAGGGGAGAGAGAAGAGGAGGAAGCCACGGGGGAAAGAGAGGGAGTTATAGGGGGGAATAGAGGCCGGTCCACCAGCAACAGCAAGAAGCGGCATGGAGGGGGAAGGGGTGGGGAGAAAGGGGGAGATTCAGGTAGAGAAAGGGGGCGAGAATTGGAAAATAGCCGAGGATAAGAGCCCACTGCTTTGGGAAGCCTTGAGGGAAAACGGGTCCGATGAGTCAATAAGGAGAAACTAAGTCCTGCGAGGGAAAGGGGGAGGAGAGGTGGGGTGATGAAGAGAATGAGATGTGGGGAGGGGGATGGGGAGGCTGCCTTATTTTCTCTTATGGAAACACAATGGGTCATAAAGTTACCGGTCCTAACCACTAGGACAAGAAGGGATGTCATCAGGAAGGTTAGGCTCCATATATCCACCTCCCCCAGGGAAAGCCTCCCCATTATCCTCCCTAGAGAGAGAGAGAGAGAGAGAGAGAGAGAGAGAGAGAGAGAGAGAGAGAGAGAGAGAGAGAGAGAGAGAGAGAGAGGATCGACAGGGTTATCCCAGTGCCACGACACACCCCCCCGCTGGGCTAGCGTGTACACTAGGAATTGAACCCCGGACGGCTCTGATACCAAGTCATTAAGTCACCAGTCCTAACCACTGGGACAAGAAGGGATGTCATCAGGAGGGTTAGGCTCCATATATCCACCTTCCCCTTGGAAAGCCTCCCCAGTACCCTCCCTAGAGAGAGAGAGAGAATCGACAGGGTTATCCCAGTGCCACGACACACCCCCCCACTGGGATAGCGTGTACACCAGGTATTGAACTCTGGAAGGCTCTGATACCAAGTCATAAAGTCACCAGTCCTAACCACTGGGACAAGAAGGGATGTCATCAGGAGGATTAGGTTTCATGTATCCACCTTCCTTGGGGAAAGCCTCCCCAATACCCTCCCTAGAGAGAGAGAGAGGATCGACAAGGTTATCCCAGTGCCACGACACAATGTCCCACCTCCGACTTCTCTCGTTCCTCCTTTCTTCCCCTTCAAGAGTATTGCCTTCACTTAGAGCCATCACCTCCCTTCCCCCCCACAACTCCCATCCCCATCTTTCGTCTGATTTCCCTCCACCTTTTTTCACCGCTGCCCAGTCTCCCAGAAATTCAGTTGCAACAAGTCCCTGCTTCCCACTTTCCCGCATAATCGCCCTTTTTTCCTCTTCATCTTCCCACCAAACTCCGCTCCCCATCGACCCCAACCCCTCACATTCCACCCGCCCCATCTCCCATCCTCCTCCCAACCCCCCCCCCCCCCCCCCGCCCCCTCCTCTCACTGCAACTCGGTCCCTCAAATTGTCTGCCACAACGCCTTTCTTGTTCCCTCGCATGCCGTTTATGCTTCCGTTCCCCATCTACCCACCCAGCTTCTCCCCCTTCCCCCTCTCACAACGAGCATACACGTCCCTGCCTCAACATTCCTCGCCCACCAACTCCCAGCTCAGCCACTCTGCTTTTCTGCCCCGCTGCTTGCTGTAACCTCCTCCCTCATCCTGCCGCCCCTCAAGCTCCTCCCCCCCCCAGCACCTCTCTCCCGCCTTACCGCTGCTTTAGAATCCACATCGCTTGCAGCAGTCGCCTCAGCAGCTTCCAAACACCAACCCCCCCCCCACACGGCTGGCCTCCAAGCATTCCGATAACATCCCTCTGACAGTGAACCATCCATTCCACCGCCAGTCTCTACCCTATCGCGCATCTCTCTCCTCATTGTAACCTCCCATCCGTCCGGCAAGTCGCCTTAACATGCGCTCCTCCCGTGTCAGCTTCCATGCGCCCCTTAAATGTTTAGGTTCCCTTAAAAAAGTGCGCGTTTCCTTGTTCGCCGAATCTCCCGTGGGAGCAGCATCTGCTGGTTGTCAGCTCCCATCGACCAAGGAGCGCTGCTGTGAATACGGGGCAGAGCAGCACCAACGCAAGCACCGGAAAAGAATTCGTTCGGCGCGGCGACAATTCTCAAGCCGAGGGCCGACGAACAAGTCCATTGCTTTCAAGGCAGCAAGGAGATGTCGCTGTGTAGTCTCACTCAGCTACTAATCGAGGGGAAAACAGGGGCTCCGACTGTAACAAATCGTCCCCTAGACCGCTAGGTAAAACGAGAGTTGTTCAGAGGCGCAGCAGTTAGCGTTACACCAACCCCGTTTTGGGATTTGCCAATGCTAAAAAAATATTAGGAGCCTCTCGAATGTCCGTGGCATGTCAATCCGTTCATGAGAATTCTATCAAATCGCCTACAGAATCCGTCATGCGTCCCAAAAGGGACGTGCGGCGACGAATATGCTGTGACAGACAGGCATGTTTAATGCTGCACATTCGGTGCACAGTATCAGATCGACATGGATGCGCGGCGTTCAACGTGTCGAGAGCGCTGAGCTCCTGTACGGAGAAAAGGCGCAGTTGCGATTGCATAGAACGCACATCGTCACGGTTTTGCGTGAGTGTGCACATAAAGCCATCACGTACTGGCAAGTCACGCCGGCACCGCAGGTGAACGAGGGGAAGTTGTGGTGGTGCCACCACGGAGCGACGTGAGCGACAATGGACGGACGAAACCGTGACAACGTAACGACATGTGATGGTTGTTTAGACTAGATACTTGATTGGTTCGTGCAGGTGGGGATGCCATGGCAAGCGGAAACAACATGTTGATGGAAGCTTTGCCATGAAAATGCGCGAGCATTTGTTTCCAATATTACCGTTGGTGGTGGTGAAAGTTGAAGAGTGGAAGGTAAGAGGGGATTAAGATATGACGATTGTGGGAGTGAACAGGCATTGCTGCTGCTGGTTGTGGTGGTGGCGGCAGCCATGGCGGGGGAAGTGGTGGAGGAGGAGGTTGCAGGATTCGCGAAACAAGAATTTGCAAAACGGGCTCCGCTTTGGCGAACGGGCATAGGCTGTCAAACGGATAGCAGTGGCAGCAATGAGGGGGAGGTGGCAGGGTCTGGTTGGGTGAAACAAACTGACGACATCGCGAACGAGAGAAGTGCGACACAAAGGACAAGAGAAACGAGAAGAAGCTTGCACCAATGAAAGCGATCTGACCCCTGCGAAACGAAGTTCCACTAGTGATTTCATACTCTCGCTTGCGAAACCGAGAAGCGACATTCACGGACAGAGACGAAGAGCCCAAAACGAGATGTGCCAGCCGGGAATCGAACCCGGGTCTGCACAGGGCACATGGCAGGGTGCTATTCTACCACTAGACCACTGGCACATGGAACACGTTACTTAAGAAAATGTTTTATTATATTGTTTTTAAGTTAAATCCCTATGCCAAAATTGAACCTTTGCAACCTGCACTTAGTTACCAACAATGTCTCATGCACTTTGGGCTCCGGGATCAACATTTGGTGATATTTAGAACACGCCCTATCTGCCAGGGATTCTACTCGAGCACGCATTTCCTTTCTCGGACTATTCTAAGTGAAATCCAAATTCCGTTGCTTTTTTATTTTTACCAAGCCGCCACCCGAACCATGGCGACAACGTGGCAGAAGCCGCCAGAAATCAGAGATCGACCCGCGATTATGCAAGAGATTCAGTGCGTCGTCGGGCCAGGCGGCGACAGTTACGATGCTAACGAGCAAGACGACTGCGCAAATCTCGTTACCAGCGAGCGACACGACAGCCTCCATATTTACCTCTTAGCCACGTCCCTGCCTCACGATTCTTCAGGGAGATTAGGTCTTAGCAGCCCTTTGCAGCAGCAATACCGCGTGATCGTGAAGCCGTCGCCGCGCAGAATCCGCTTGAAGCAGGTTAAGAAGAATCACCAGCAGGCTTTAGCTTCGCGGAGTCATTCGGACGGTCCTAGTGTCTTGTTACAATCCGAATCCGACGGTTTAGAAAACCGTTCTACGCAAGCGAGTTTTCGGAGATGGAGCTCGCAGTTCTCGATTGCACAGCCGAACGCGCTACAAGCAGAACCGATAGCTCGCTTAGGGATCCGGCCGGGGTTTCCAGGGCTGTTAGATGGGATACGAGTGGCGTTGGGACGGCCGCTGGCGACTGCAGCGATGTCATTCGCGGGTCTGACAGGTGATCAGTCATTTTTGGGAGCCCTAAATAAAATAACTCATTATTTATGGTTAATCCTTAGCAGTGGGAGAGTTGGATGCAAGCATAGAGTTGAGGATGCTTGTGTGATCCGGCCTCAATTCTCGCTCCTATTTCCGGTCCTGCTGAGTCCTTGCGCTTCAAAACGTCTCTTTTCATTCTGTCTCTATCCAGTCTCATTCCCCTGTGCCTCCCTTCCACTCGTCAGCCTCTCTATTATTGCTTTCACCCCGCTCCGTTCTTTGGCTTGAAAACTCCTCACTGATCCCCCCGCGCCCACCATGACCCCTTTTGCTGGCGTCTTGACAGCTCAGTCGCTGCTTTTCATCAACCCTTCCTGAAATTGCACACCCTCACGGCTCACAGGTCAGAGCTCCCGTGGGTCTCCTTTTGGCGTTCTGCAATTGACCTCAATTGCTGGTATCTCTAAACCCTCCCTGAAATTCTTCTCCCCCACGGCATCTCGCAGGTCAGAACTCCCGTGGGTCTCTGCGTCATCTAAGGCCCTGCCCTCCGTCTCTGCCGCTGCTGCACCTGCCGTCAAGCCGCCACCCGGCCTTCCCTGCGCGCCTGCTGTGGTCCGCTGCACGGCTGCCAGCAGTAGCAGCTGCGGATGGGGGGAGGGGGAGTCAGCTGCTGGCTGTTTTACCAGGGAAGGAGAAGCGGTGGGATGGCTTGCAGCTTGACCTGCAGGGGTCTCCTGTGCTGCACCTTTCTGAATCATCCGCCGCCTCCTCCAACTCCTCCTCCTCCTCCTCCTCCTCCTCCTCCTCCTCCTCCTCCTCCTCCTCCTCCTCCTCCTCCTCCTCCTCCTCCTCCTCCTCCTCCTCCTCCTCCTCCTCCTCCTCCCCCTCCCCCTCCTCCTCCTCCTCTCCGCCCCTCTCTCGCCCATCCCCCACACCCCCCCCTCCCCTTTCACCCGTCCACCCGGTCTACCAGCAGCAGCTTAGCGCCACTGGTCCAGCGTTCATGGGCAATGTGTTTCTGATTTCCGACGCCTCTAAGAGGGGCATGCTGGGAGTCAAGGGGCCGGAATCGCCCCTCGCAGGGCTGGGGCAGTGGGTGTTGAGGCAGCGGCAGCACCTGCCAGGGTGAGTGACCTTGTTGGAGGAGAGAGAGAGGGAGGGCGTGGGGCATGCTGGGAGTGTAGGGGCTGGAATCGGCTATTACAGGGCTGGGGCAGTGGGTGCTGCAGAAACGCCAGCACCTGCCAGAGCGAGTGGCTTGGTTGGAGAGAGGGAAGGGGAGGGTGGAGAGGGGGTAAGGGGGGGAGGAGGGGTTTGCTGCACTGCCCTCCAGCTGTGTAGCATCTTCTCAGACGGAAGAGGGAAGGAGGGACATGCTGGGAGGAGGGGCAGAAAGGGAGGAGGGGCATAAAGGGAGGAGGGGCAGAAAGGGAGGAGGGGCAGAAAGGGAGTAAAGGGGCCACTCTCCTTCCTCTTTCCTCTCATCTCACATCCGTCACTCAGCTTTTGAGGAGTCTAGATAAACTGCTTCTTCTTCCCTTTTCCGCCCTCTCCCTCTGTCTCTTGCCTCTCCTTTTTTTCTCAACACACAGCGCCAAGATGATCCGGATTTTGCTTCCATCTTCCCGTTCTTATTTCCCTCCTCCCTTTCCCTCCTCCCTTTCCCTCCTCCCTTTCCCTCCTCCCTTTTCAACACACAGCCTTTTGAAGGCTGCCCTTCCTCCGTTCCTGCACAAGGGGAGACAAGAGGGGGGAGAAAGGGGAGGAGGGGAGGAGGGAAGCAGCAAAGCAGAGCGAGCTAGGGGACTGGGGATGGGCGCGAGCGAGATGGGCGCAAGCAGGAGGGGAGGGAAGGAAGAGGGCGTGAGAGACGATAAAGAAAGGGAGGCGGACGATGGAAAAGTGGCTATCTTCCGATTCTTCATGAGCCAGGGGGGTGCAGGTGAGGCGAGTCTTAGTTTCTGAGACGCCTGAAAAGGACATGCAGGTACGGCAAGGACATGCAAGGATGTGTTCTGTTTGTGAGAACGTGTGGCAAGTCTGCACCTCTCTGTTGCCCTCCCTCCCTCCCACTCCCCAGCTCGTTACCTGCGGATTCTGCAGCGATGCCCCCTTGCGTAATGAAACAGACTCATACACACCGATTCTGCAGCGATGCCCCCCTGCATAATGAAACAGACTCATACACACCGATTCTGCAGCGATGCCCCCTTGCATGATGAAACAGACTCATACACACCGATTCTGCAGCGATGCCCCCTTGCATGATGAAACAGACTCATACACACCGATTCTGCAGCGATGCCCCCTTGCATGATGAAACAGACTCATACACACCGATTCTGCAGCGATGCCCCCCTGCATAATGAAACAGACTCATACACACCGATTCTGCAGCGATGCCCCCTTACGTAATGAAACAGACTCATACACACCGATTCTGCAGCGATGCCCCCTTGCATGATGAAACAGACTCATACACACCGATTCTGCAGCGATGCCCCCCTGCATAATGAAACAGACTCATACACACCGATTCTGCAGCGATGCCCCCTTACGTAATGAAACAGACTCATACACACCGATTCTGCAGCGATGCCCCCTTGCTCCTAAATCGAATCCCACATCGCTGGTCGTGCCTTCTCTACTCCAGGGTGCCTTCACGTGGGTGCCTTCACAAAATCCAGTCCCCCCCTCCCCCTCTCCCCTCCCCCCCAACCCCCCCACCCCCCTGCCCCCTGTATTCCCGCCCCTTCCCCCCGCCCTCCCATCTCCACACCGTTGGATCACGCCGAGTTGATCTAGGTTGCGTGGAAGTTCCCCAGCTTTTCTTTCCCACCCTTTCTCTGCCTGCAGCCTGCTACGTGCAGCGGCTGCCTTTGTACCCGTGTGCCTCTGATGAGGTCAAATCCCACACCACCGTTGGATCATGCCCATCCGTGTTCATGGTGTTTGAAATACCCCATTTCTCCCCCCCAACCCCCTCTCTCAACGAGCCCGCTACCTGCGGCGCCTGCAACTGTTCCCGTCCGTTCCAGATTAGGTCAAGGCAGCACCGTTGGGTCATGCTCCCTTGTACTGATGGTGCACTGCTTCCTGTTTTGCCTCACTCCCTCCGCTCCCCCCAGCCCGCTACCTGCGGCGCCTGCAGCTGTACCCGTTTGCACCGGACGAAGTCAAGGCCAGCACCGTTGGATCCTGCCCGCTCGAAATTGCATACCGTTTCTTCAAGGTCAGCTAGAAAAACGATAGACTCTGAGCATTTAGGTTTCAGGCACCTCAAAACAGTTTCTTCAAGGTCAGTTAGAAAAAGGATGGATTCAAAGCATCTATGAGGGAGGCTATCTCAAAGCCTGCAAGGTCGCATCTTGCCCACTCGAAGCGTCCTTTTTTTTGTTGACCTTCGCTATTGATGGCAAGGCTCTGGTGTGGGCGTCGGGCGCGGCGTGGCAGTTACTGCTTCTTCTGGAAGTTGTCGGCTCATTCCAGACATGGCCCCCCACGCCCCCTTAGCTCTCTTCCAGATTCGCTTTTCGCCTTTGTTTCAGATGAGGCTCATCTGCAGTGCCGTGCAGACAGTGCAGACAGTGCAGAGCGCTGATAGCGCTGACAGTGCAGAGAGTGCAGAGAGTGCAGAGAGTGCAGAGAGTGCAGACAGCGCTGACAGTGCAGACAGTGCAGACAGTGCAGACAGCGCAGTCAGTGCAGACAGCGCAGACAGCGCAGACAGCGCAGACAGTGCAGACAGTGCAGACAGTGCAGACAGTGCAGAGAGTGCAGAGAGTGCAGACAGTGCAGACAGCGCAGACAGTGCAGACAGCGCAGACAGCGCAGACAGCGCAGACAGCGCAGACAGCGCAGACAGCGCAGACAGCGCAGACAGCGCAGACAGCGCAGACAGCGCAGACAGCGCAGACAGCGCAGACAGCGCAGACAGCGCAGACAGCGCAGACAGCGCAGACAGCGCAGACAGCGCAGACAGCGCAGACAGCGCAGACAGCGCAGACAGCGCAGACAGCGCAGACAGTGCAGACAGTGCAGACAGTGCAGACAGCGCTGACAGCGCAGACAGTGCAGACGGTGCAGAGAGTGCAGACAGGGTGGCACTTATTGTTTCAGATGAGGCTTATCTGCAGTGCCATGCAGACAGTGCAGACAGTGCAGAGCGCTGACAGTGCTGACAGTGCAGAGAGTGCAGAGAGTGCAGAGAGTGCAGAGAGTGCAGACAGCGCAGACAGCGCAGACAGTGCAGACAGTGCAGACAGTGCAGACAGTGCAGACAGTGCAGACAGTGCAGACAGCGCAGTCAGCGCAGACAGCGCAGACAGCGCAGACAGCGCAGACAGCGCAGACAGCGCAGACAGCGCAGACAGCGCAGACAGCGCAGAACAGCGCAGAACAGCGCAGACAGCGCAGACAGCGCAGACAGCGCAGACAGCGCAGACAGCGCAGACAGCGCAGAACAGCGCAGACAGCGCAGACAGCGCAGACAGTGCAGACAGCGCTGACAGCGCAGACAGCGCAGACGGTGCAGACAGTGCAGACAGGGTGGCACTTACTGCGGCAGCTGGAGGGGAGAGGGGAGAGAAGCAGCAGAGCGGTTCCAAGGATTTAACTGCTTCCTCAATACCTCCTCTCCCCCCCGGTCCCTGTTGCTTCTGCTATTCCGTTTCTTCTGCTATTCCGTTTCTTCTGCGATTCCGTTTCTTCTGCGATTCCGTTTCTTCTGCGATTCCGTTTCTTCTGCTATTCCGTTTCTTCTGCTATTCCGTTTCTTCTGCGATTCCGTTTCTTCTGCTATTCCGTTTCTTCTGCGATTCCGTTTCTTCTGCGATTCCGTTTCTTCTTTACAGATTCCCCACTCCTCTTTCTGCCTTTGTGCCAGACGAGGCTCAGGTGCCGACAGCGCGGCAGTGACTGCTTCTTCTACAGCTAATGCCCTTCATTTGCTTCCGGCCCTTTGCCACCCCCGCCTCCCCCCCCGGTTGGTTCCCCCCCCCCCGGTCGCTTCCCCCCCCGGTCGCTTCCCCCCCCGGTCGCTTCCCCTACATACTCGCAGCTTCGCCACCCGCTTTTCGCCTTTGTGCCGGACGAGGCTCAGGTGCGGGCGGCGCGGCAGTTACTGCGCCAGCTGGAGGGGAGAGAAGCAGCAGAGCGGTTCCAAGGGGTGCCGGTGTTTAGCGCGGCCAATCTCACCATCGCCGTGCCGTCTAAAAGTGGCATGTTGAAGTGGTAAGTGCATGTAGCACTTAGGGCCGCGCCTTTGGCAGATGTGGCGCTGGAAGCGGTTCCAAGGAGTGTCAGTCAGGGTCAAGGGCGGCCAATCTCCCTATCGCTGTGCCGTCTAAGAGCGGCGCACTGAGGTGGTAAGTGCGGCACTGTTGATAAGTGTCGTTCTCGTCCACAGTTGACTGGTTCGCCGCCCCTCCCCCGTCCTTGCATACAGTGCTGAGTACTGTTGGCCAGAGCTAACCTCCGTTGACCCATCCCCCCTCTCCTCCCCTTTACAGGTACCGCCCCTACTTCTTCAATAAGGAGCAGCTGGACCGGCTGCTGGCGACCAGTGTGGACCAGCGTTTGACCACCGTTGACCCCTGTTGACCCACACCTCCTCGCCCTCCTCTCCTCCCCTCTAGGTACCGCCCCTACTTCAATGAGAAGCAGCTGGACCGACTGCTGGCATCCAGCGTGGATCGCACCGCTGACATGCGGTGACCTCCACCTCCCTCTTCCCCCTCCTCTCTCCCTTCACGCCTGTCGCACGCGCCCCATGTACCATCCCTACTTCTTCAACAAGAAACAGCTGAATTTGCTGCTGGCATCTAGTGTTGACCAGCGTTGACCAGCGTTGACCCACGTCTCCTCTCCCTCCTCTCCTCCCCCTCTAGGTACCGCCCCTACTTGTTCAACAAGAAACAGCTGGATTTTCTGCTGGCATCTAGTGTTGACCAGTGTTGACCCACGTCTCCTCTCCTCTCCCCCCTCTCCTCTCCTCTCCCTCCTCTCCTCCCCTCTAGGTACCGCCCCTACTTCTTCAACGAGAAACAGCTGGATCGACTGCTGGCGTCTAGTGTTGACCACCATTGACCAGCGTTGACCCCTGTTGGCATCTAATGTTGACCTCCGCTGGCCGTCTTCCTCCCCTTCCCTCCCCCCAGGTACCGCCCCTACTTTTTCAACAAGAAACAGCTGGATCGGCTGTTGGCTTCCAGTGTGGACCAGTACTTCATGAGCCTCATGCGCGCCCGGCGAGCAGCGAGACGGGCTCAGGTGGGGATGCATGGGTAGATAGGCACCGGTAGAGATGTGCGCAGGTACTCAGGTGGATCTTGAGTTGACTGACAGGGCTGCTGGAATCCAGTATGGACCAGTGCTTCAGGAGCCTCATGCACGCCAGGAGAGCGAGGCGAGGTCAGGTATGCATGCAGCAGTAAAGACACGTGATGTGGGCGTGTGCCCCATGGGCCGGCTGAAAGGGTTGCTGGCGTTCAGAGTATCTGTGTACTACTCTCTTGCATCAAGCAAGCGGGAGAGCAGCTAGACAAGTGATTTTTGAGTCGACTCAAAAATCACTTGCTGGCATTCACAGTATCTCTGCACTACTCTCTTGCATCAAGCAAGCAGGAGAGCAGCTAGACAAGACAAGTCCAGGTGGGGAAGCAGGGAGGCAGCCGTCAAGGCACATGAAGTGTGTCTCACGGATCCACTGACAGGGCTGTTGGTTGGCGTCCCGTGCCAATGTGGAGCAGTTCTTTCTTTCCCCCATGCGAGCAAGGAGGGCAGCTAGACACTCTTAGGCTGGGATGCACAGAAAGGCACATGCAGTTGTGCCACAGTCTGATAGGGCGTGGTTGGATTAACTGCCGGAGGAAGAGGAAGTGTGGATCAACACTTCCTCTCCCTCTGGCTGCAGGAGAGGCGCGGGTGAGCATCAAATGGTGGAGAGGCAACCTTTGTGTCTAGGGTTATGGCGCACGCGGAACGCCTCACAGGGTGCACTTTGTACTTCCTTGCTGCTCCTGGTTGTGCTAGCCAGGAGGGATGGTGGGAGGCGGGTGCGGATAGAGGAGCGAACAGGTGCACTGTAAAACCGGCTCTAGCAGGCTCATCGGGCATTGTAGTCGACTTGTGTTTTACGAAACCTGGGCAACGCAGGCTGAGTCCGTGTTACTTCCCTAGTAGGCTCATCGGGCACGTGCAGGTAGGGAAGTAACATGGATGTCTTGGTAACAGGCAGAGCGTAACACGGTAACAGGCAGAGCGTAACACGGTAACAGGCAGAGCGTAACACGGACACAGGCTGACAGACCCCGGCAGATTTTTGGAGAGGGTTTTGTTATCAAGGTACTAGTAACAGCTAGAGCTTTCCTTTCTCATGAATGCATCCGGTCGGCCTTGACGCCTCCCCTTCCATTCTCCTCAAACCCCCCCCACACCATACGTGAAGAGTCTATTTTTGAGGTGCCTCAAAAATAGACTCCTCAAATCCCCCCCACACCATACACAGTTCCCTGCAGTGCATTTGAGTCGACTCAAAAGCATCCTCCCCACACCATACACAGTTCCCTGCAGTGTGGATGGCACTGAGGCTGCAGGAGGGGGAGGGGAAGAGGGATTGGCATCAAACTCATTACATGGTTCTTCTTGTGCGTATTCCCCCCCCCCCCCCCCCCCCACCCTGACGCACCCAGTTCACTGCAGGGGATGGCGCTGGGCCTGCAGGAGGGGGCGGAGAGAGATCTGAACCGACTCAATAGCATGCTTTCTGTGCCTTCAAACCCTCCCCCCCCCCCCTCCTCCTCTTTGTCCCCCCTCCTTTTCCCACCCTGACGCACCCAGTTTGCTGCAGTGGATGGTACTGGAGCTGCAGGAGGGGGGGGAGGGGCAGCAGAGGAGGAGGATCCGTTTGACGCCCTGCCAGACCCGCATGAGGTGAGGGGGGAAAGGGGAGGGGGGAAGGGGAGGGGGGAAGGGGAGGGGGGAAGGGGGAGGGGGGAGGGGTAGATGATCGTGGCAGGAGGTAAGGGGAAGGTGGAATGGTAAGGGAGAAGGGGAGCAGTAGAGGGGGGGGGTCCGTTTGACGCCCTGCCAGACCCACCTGAGGTCAGGGGAGGGTATAGTTATAGTAGGGGGGCGGAGGGAATTCTAGGAAGGGGGAGGGAGGGTATAGTTGTAGTAGGGGGGCGGAGGGAATACTAGGAAGGGGGAGGGAGGGTATAGTTGTTGTTGGGGGGGGGATAGTAGGAAAGGCGAGGGTATAGTAGGAAGGGGGATAGGGAAGGGATAAGGGGAAGGGAGAAAGGGAAGGGGGAGCAGCCGAGTGAGGGGGAGGGGGAGCAGCCGAGTGAGGGGGAGGGGGAGCAGCCGAGTGAGGGGGAGGGGGAGCGGCAGGAGAGGGGGGAATCCGTTTTACGCCCTGCCAGACCCACACGAGGTGAGGGGGGAAGGTGGAGGGGGAGGTGATAGTGGCAGGTGTGGAATGCTAAGGGGGAGGAGCGGCAGCAGAGGAGGAGGATCCGTTCTATACTGTGCCAGACCCACATGACGTGAGGGTGGAGGGGGAAAGGAAAAGGGGGGGAAGGGGGAAGGGGGAGATGATCGTGGGGGGGGGGGGGTAAGGGGAAGGCGGAATGATATGGGGAAGGGGCAGCAGAGGGGGAGGATGGTCCGTTTGTTTCCCTGACAGACCCACATGAGGTTAGGGGGGAAGGGGGAAGGGGGAAGGGGGAAGGGGGACGGGGGACGGGGGAAGGGGGAAGGGGGAAAGGGGAAGGGGGAAGGGGGAAGGGGGAAGGGGGACGGGGGACGGGGGAAGGGGGAAGGGGGAGGAGAGAAGGGGGAAGGGGTGGGTAGAAAGAAGCGGTGGGACGAGCAGGGCTAGAATGGGTATGAAAGAGAAGTGGGACCCACCTGATTCACACTCTGTCCTTAACTTGAGCAGGGAAAAAGGGGGGTTGGAGGGGGAGGGGAGGGGGAAAGGGGGGGGAAGAGGGGGGCTGAGCTGAGGAGGTGGGGTGCTGAGAAATTTCAAGGGCAACTTTCACAGAGTGGGGATTGGAATGCCTATGGTGGGTGGGGCTACAGAGGTCTATGTGCTTCTTGTTCACCGGCTGACGGCATTGCCTGCTTCCCGGCGTTTTCTTGCTGCTACCCACTGGACCGTCTTGCTGCTTGCTAGGAACAGGGGTTCTTGCTCTCTTGCTTTTCTACTAACCTCTTCATCTAACTCTTCACTCTCCCCTTGATGCCTCTCCCCCCTCCCCGCTCCCAACCGCCCCCTTCCCCCTTCCCCGGTTCCCCTTCCCCTTCCCCTTCCCGGTTCCCCCTTCCCCCACGCCTGCCTTTGTCAGTTTGCGGACGACAGCATGTTTCCAGACCCGCCAGAGGTATGTGCTGGTGAGGGCCGAGGGCTTAGGGTTTCGGGTAGAGTTGAGGGTTTAGGGTGCAGGTTGTGGGGTTAGGGTTTAGGGTGCAGGTTGTGGGGTTCGGGTATGAAGGACGACAGCATGTTTCCAGACCCGCCAGAGGTATGTGCTGGTGAGGGCCGAGGGCTTAGGGTTTCGGGTAGAGTTGAGGGTTTAGGGTGCAGGTAGTGGGGTTAGGGTTTAGGGTGCAGGTTGTGGGGTTCGGGTATGAAGGACGACAGCATGTTTCCAGACCCGCCAGAGGTATGTGCTGGTGAGGGCCGAGGGCTTAGGGTTTCGGGTAGAGTTGAGGGTTTAGGGTGCAGGTTGAGGGGTTAGGGTTTAGGGTGCAGGTTGTGGGGTTCGGGTATGAAGGACGACAGCATGTTTCCAGACCCGCCAGAGGTATGTGCTGGTGAGAGACTAGGGCGTCAGATGTAGAATGCATAGAATCCGTAGAATCCATAGAATCCATAGAATCCATAGAATCCATAGAATCCATAGAATCCATAGAATACATAGAATACATAGAATCCATAGAATCCATAGAATACATAGAATCCATCGAATCCATCGAATCCATAGAATCCATAGAATCCATAGAATCCATCGAATCCATCGAATCCATCGAATCTATAGAATCCATAGAATCCATAGAATCCATAGAATCCACAGAATCCACAGAATCCATAGAATCCATTGAATCCACAGAATCCACAGAATCCATAGAATCCATAGAATCCACAGAATCCACAGAATCCATAGAATCCGTAGAATCCACAGAATCCACAGAATCCGTAGAATCCGTAGAATCCGTAGAATCCGTAGAATCCATAGAATCCATAGAATCGTGTTGGGTAGGGCTGTGGCTTTGGGGTTTGTGGATGACAGCATGTTTCCAGACCCTCCCGAGGTATGAACTGCGGGGCGAGGACTTGGGGTGTGTAGTTCAGGGTGTAGGGCCCTAGGTGTGATCTTAGTTGCTACAAACGCGTTTGGCGTTTGAACGCTAGCGTTTGAACTCTAAACGCTCGGCAGTGTGTATCTGAACGCTAGGCAAACGCTTGCCCGGGCAGGGATAAAAATTTTACCCGGGCAGGGGTTCAAGATTCCTGTGGGGGAGGGGGCAAACATGGGGATTCTACCAGCAAGCATTTTGTCTCATATAAAAGAACCGTGCTTAACATTTAAGCCAGCATCCTCATATGTCATGTAAATCACCTATCCTTAAGGCTATTCTCCAGCACGTGCCTGTGCTGCCCACTCACGCTGCCGCCTTTCCCCACCCTTCTCCCTCTACTGCCGTTTCTTAACATTTCCCCCCCTCTCAGATCCAGGATTTCGCCCAGGAGCTAGGCCCCATGCTGGGGTCCAACTTCCCCTCCGCCTCCCTGGGTACGCCCTCCCCCGGGTCCACCCTTCCGGTGCTGCGAGACGCCGAGCTGGTGGTGCAGGAGGGCATGGATCGGGTGCTGTTAGGCAGCACGTGGGGGAGGAAACTAGCGGGTCTGGAGCCGTCTTTCACTGTGATCGTGGACTCGTTTCAGAGGAGGTAAGGTGAGGAGGAGGTATCACTGTATCTCCAAGTAAACTCTCTGTTCGCCCTCCTCCCTGCCGGTGCTGCGAGACGCTGAGCTGGTGGTGCAGCCTGCAGGAGGGCATGGATCGGGTGCTGTTAGGCAGCACGTGGGGCAGGTGAACTGCTGAGCCCGTCTGTCACTGAGGAGACAAGCTTTGACAGCATTGCTGGTGGTGCAGGCGGGCATGGGTAGGGCGCTGCTGGGCAGCAAGTGGGGGACGAGAATTGTTGGTCTGCAGCCCACGTTCACTGTGATTGTGGACTCGTTTCAGAGGAGGTAAGCAGCCGGGGTGGTGCTGCCAAGTGTTGAAGCGAATCAGAGCAGAGCTGGTGGTGCAGGAGGGCATGAGTCGGGTGCTGTTAGGGAGCACGTGGGGGAGGAAGACTGCAGGACTCGAACCTTCCTTTACTGCGATCGTGGATTCACTCTGGCGACAGTAAGCTGTTGGGGTGTTCGTGTCACCTTGCGTTGACGTGCCTCAGCAGCCGAGCTGCTAGGGCAGGAGGGCAGGGATAGAGTGCTGCTGGGGAGCAAGTCGGGCAGGCTGGTCGCTGACCCACTTGTGCACTGATAATCTCAGCTGCAGCCGTGGGTCTTCCCCCAGACCTTTCTCCCAATATATGTTTAGGGAGGACGACGCAGTGGCAGTGGGGGGTGCTGAGATGAGATGTGTCGGGCCTTCGTGAGTGCGGCTGTTAACCTGCGCCTCATTCTCGCCCCCTCCTACAGTTCCCTCGCTCTCCACAGAAACTTAGCCATTTTCAGAAGCACATACCTTTACCGGCGCTTTTATTTAGAATCGACTCTAAACTATGGAACGACCATTGGCGATCAACTCGATAACGTTTCCAGGGAAGCAGCTAAGGTCGAGCTTTCAAGAAGTACCATTGGCGATCAACTCGATTTCTCTCCCTCCTTTGCCCCTTCTCTTCCTCTGGCCTTTTTCCTTCTTTACTACAGAGCAAAGGAAGAAGAACCGGCGTTGTATGCAGGAGTCAACGCGTCTGCCAGTGCAGCCGTTAAAGCTGTGCCCCGAATCTCCCCTCCTCCTCTCATTTCCTCTGCATCCTCTGCTCCTCTGCCCGTTCCCTCCCCGTCTCTCATTGTACGCGCAGGGCGGAGGCAGCAGAAGCGGCGATGGATGCAGACATCAAGGCGTTTGTCAGAGTCGGAGCAGGCATTACCAGCCTGCTCTGAATCGCCCCTTGCCCCGTCTGTCCTCGTCTCTCAATGTGTACCTGCAGGGCGGAGGAGGCAGAGGCGGCGATGGATGCAGACATCGAGGCGGTTGTCAGTGCAGCTGTTAAAGCCCTGCCCCGAATCTCCCCTCCTCCCCTCGTTCCCTCCATGTTCCCTGCATTCTGCTCGTTCCCTCCCCGTCTCTCAATGTACCCACAGAGTGGAGGAGGCAGAGGCGGCGGTGGATGCAGACATCAAGGCGTTTGTCAGTGCAGCCGTTACTGGTCTGCTCCAGAAATACAATCTGCTTCCACAACGCTCCAGCTCACCTAAAAAGGGGAAGGACTTCCCTCTGCAAAGCTTGATAAAGGATCTGATTAAAGAGGGTACAGCAGGGAGCGTGGTTTCAGTCCCCCCCTCGGCGAATGCTCCGACAACTGCTGAATCAACTCAAGAGAAATTCCTGTCAGGACGGCAGCAGGAAAAGGAGCAGCGCACGCCGCAACAGCGGAAGGAACAGGAGCAGCAGCAGCAGGAGCAACAGCAGCGGCGTGAGAAGGAAGGGAATGTGTCAGACGCCAGCCCTTCCTCTCCCACCAGTATCCCCCCTGCCACTGGCACTTACCCTCCCTCTGATTCTACACCTTCCACCCCCACTGGTGCTGAACACGGACTGCCACCCATGGGGGGAAACAGGCGGCTGGAGGATCTAGCTGGCAAAGGAACGGGGAGAGGCGGCGGTGACACCGTGGCCCGTGATTCCCCAACAGCGATGGAAGCAACAAGCAAGAGCACAGGAGACACGGGTGCGAGGTCAGAGGGCGGAGAAGGGTGCACGAGTGTGGGAGGCACCGAAGAGAGGGGCACAAGCAGTAGGGAGAGAGAGAGGAATACGGGCGGGAAAGGCAAGGGGAAGACTGTGAGCGTCCTGGGACGTGTGTTTGAGGGGGAGCTGCTGGCTGGGATGTTGCGAATGATGGGAGAGTACCGCACTGCTGACCTTCTGGAAAAGGCTCTGAGCTTTGGGGAAGGGAATGTCAGGGAAGGGATAAGTGCTGCTGAAAGCAGAATTGAAGGAACCACAGCGAGCAGTCTTGGCACCATCAGTGGCAGCAGCAGCGGCGGCGGCGGCGGCGGCATTGGTGGCCGCAGCACAGCTAGTGTCTCTGGGAATGCGGATGCGACGACGAGGGAGGGGGTCAAAGGAGAGGGCGAGAAGAGAGGGGAGGTGAAAGAGATAGTGGCTGACAAGGAGCCAGTGGTGCAGCAAGGTTCTGTTCCAGTCCAGAAGCCGGCTTTGACTCAAGAGTCATCTGAAGAAGGTCCAGCGCAGGAGAGCATACGGCAGGTGGTGAGTGCCATTCGGGGGAGGCTGGGTGCTGCTGTAGCCGAAGGGAAACGTGGCATGGCTGGATTGGTGGTCTCTGCCAAGGAAGCTGTGGCTAGACTCGCCCGTCAGGATGGCACTTCTTCAAGCGAAGTTGCTTCTAACGAATCTGCTCCAAACGGAGTTGCTGCAAGCGAGGCTGCAAAGGGTGTGGTGGAAGGAACTGGTGGGGAAAAGGGAGCTGATTCTGCAGCTGGGGCTGCTTCAGCTGCAGCTGGTGCAGCAGTGGCTGACAAGTCACAGGCAGAAACGGGCGGACTACCTTCATTGGCAGCTGATCAAAGTGGTTCTCCTGCAAGAGACTTGGTGTCAAAACTGACTGCAGCAACAGAGGGTGAAGTGTTAGAGCCTTCTGAGACATCTGGGACTGCTATATCTGAATTAGAGGCGAAAAATGCTGCAGACAGAGCAGCTGCTGCTGCTGCTGCTGCCGCTGCTGCTGCTGCAGCAGAAGAAGTTGCTGCTGCAGCTGCTGCCAATGCAGCTGCTTTGGTTCGGCCCGAACGTTTGCCTGGGTTCCAGCCGAAACTAGCGATCCTGGGCGTGACTGTGCCAAGCCTGAAGGTCGAACCTGTGAGTAAAAGCAGCAGCGTCACGAAGGCCAAGGAGAGCGAGGGAGCGAATGGTGTGGGGAGTGAGGAAACAGCTTCTGGGGACCTCGGGAAGGATTCTGCTACTGTGGGAGAAGGGCAACCAAGAAAAGTAGCATCAAGCAAAGGAGATGATGGGAAGCCTTCAAACGAGGACACTCCAACAAACACTGCTAAGGGATCTGGCTTGTCAGATGCTGGAGCAACAGCAACAGCTGCTGATGTTTCAACAGGGGCTGCAACAGAGACAGCAGCAGAGGCAGCTGCAGAGGCTGCGGCAATGGCAGCATTAGCAGGAGTGAAAGAGACCATTGCAAGTGCAGCTAGGGATTTTGAGGAGACTGTTCGAAGGGGTGATGTTCCGGACGCAAGTCGAGACCCATTGTTCATTGCAGATCTTGGGGAGGACAGGGTGGAAGGAGGGTGGGGGAATTCAGCAGAGATTGGTGGCCTCAAGAGTACTGGATGATGCGTGGAATTGGAGCTGCCATTCTGGCAGAGGCGGGATTGATGTTTACCAGAACTTGTTTTGACAGATGGTAGATAAGGCCAAGCCCAGTGATTCCTGATGCCTTCATTTCAAAGTTGGTACTGGTACACAATCTGCAAGGCGCATCACAAGTTGGCCAACACCACTTCACCAGTCCATGTATTTTCACCATGGCACAACAATACCCCGTCATAATGTTACAAGACCAGCATTAATGTTACAAGAGATCAGCTAGAGATCCATCCAGCCTGACATCCTTGAACTTGGAAATTTCCCTTTCATAGTCTTCAATGCAAATCCCTCCCTTGACTTCGTACGGAAGCTGAGCACGGGACTCATGGCGTCCACAAATCTTCTCAAGCTGGGAAAGCACTCTGGTCTGGGTGTCCTTCTCTGCTGCTGAAGCTGGGCGGTAGCGGCTCATTAAGCCCAGCACGCTTTGTGATATCTTCTTGCTTTTCAGTGCGCAAACCTTTGACGAGTCAAGCTGAGTCCAGGAATCAATCTTTGAGACCAGATTCTTGGAAGGATGCAGCTTTGGGAGAAAGTGCGCTGCTTCACTCTGACCCAGTCTCAGGAGCTGCAACACAGAGCTTCCAAACTCTTCAGCTTCAAGGTCGCACGGAGCTAGTATGTCATTCACCAGAGTCCTTGCAAGGCTGTCTCTTCTGTTGCCTGGACACTGTTTGAAGATGCTGATCACCAAGACACAGCGGCTCTTGGCATTTCCATCCATCAGCTGCGTGACCAGTTCCTTCATTAAACCCTTGATGCGAGCATCCTTATGCAGTAGCCCCACAGCAAGCCGCTTCATGAATCCTTGTGCCTTCATCTTCTTAGAAAGAAGGAGATGCGCGTACACAGTGTATGCCTCCAGCTGTACCTCACTGGTATCAGTATCCATAAGGTCACTTACTCCATCCAAGAGATCTGGGAACTCATTTGGGGACGTTAGAATAAGTTTGGCCACAGTGGCAAGTGCAGCAACCTTTACTGGCTTCTCCTCATCCTCCAGGAGTCCTTTCAGCAGAGTGCGATGTCGCTTCGCAAGGTCAACTGACAGCAAAAGGAAGCTACTCAAGCTTCGCAAAGCTGCCAATCGCACGGCAAGCGCAATGTCACTTCCGGAGGCGAGGGACACCAGCATGGGAATGTAACACCCTGGCATGGAATTTCCATCCCAAAGCAGTTGCGAGAAATGCTGAGCAGCATCTGTGCACAAACTCGGACGAGGACTTTGAAGTCTCAAAACGAGAAACTTGGGGAAAGCTTACTTCACGTACCTTCCTCTTGCGCCTTCAGATCTTCATGTTTGAGATAGTCAAACTCTGCATTGCTGGATACACCTCTGGAGGTGCGAAGGCGCTTCATGAAAATATCAGAAGCAACCTTGTACCGTTGGGAGAGGTGTCCAATGAGCTCGAGAAATCTCACTGAAACTTCCATATTCTGCTCTTGTTCCCACAGGCGATGATGCTCCATAAAAGTCTGAAGGAGTTTCTGAGATACTTGAGTTGAGTTCTCCAACGAGAAAACACAGCTCATTGTCTCCTCAAGGAAGCTCTGGGATAGCTGGTTAAAATCCTTCACAATAATCTGTTGAAGCTCAGCTCCAGTGCAGTGTCCAGACTGTAGAGCCGCTGCGAAGGCCTGCAGAAGGAACAGAGTAAGGGGATTAAATTCACATCTAAAAGAAGAAGAGAAAGAGTCTCACCATACCTTCAAGCACCACGACACCATTTGTTTGGAAGTTTGCTGTTTTTCCTGACTGGTCTTCAGGAAAAGTTGGACAACTTGCTGAAGATGCCTGACCATGACTGGATCATAAGTAGTGGAACATTTATGTTCAGTGCAGGTTGGAGCGAAAAGCCAAATCACTCTGAAAGGTGCTGTACGCCCGTCTGAGAGACTTTCCAATCCCGAAATGCAAGAAAAGGCTTGCTCCACAATCTTTCTATAGGTTTTGATAGTGGACTGATCGCGGGAAGCCTCATCATTGAGAAAATCCTTCACTGTTGTCAGGGATGTCTCAGCACATTTGACAGAAAACTCCGCCCAGCGCTCGTAATCATGGAGATAGCGTTGGATGACTTTGCTTGCCACGGGCCGCGATGGTCGGCTAAGGCCAACGCCACACAGATTTGCGAGCTCGTCGTACACCATTGGATTCGGGAAAGGTAACAGACACAGTACTTCGCCCACACCTTCCCAAGTCTCCAGACACGAAAGACCCAACTCTGGCGGGACTGATATGAGCCTGAATAGGGTAATCATAAGGGGTTTCAGCTTTCTGGCATCTCCCAGAGCGTGCAGTGACAAGAACTGCTTTGAGAGGCTGACAGCTTTGAGCCTGACGAGCTTGCTCTTGTCACACAACGCAGAGGCCAATGCCTCTGAAGTAACCTCAGTCAGTTCCATGCCGTGATGATTTCCCTGGTTTGCAGCGGCAACGAGAGAGGTTATAGCCTGTAGCCGACATATAGCAGAGCGGTTGTTGAGGAGCGCTTGCAGAAGTTTTACGAGAGCAAGCGAATCGTTTCTGCTTAGCCGACGGCTTTGCTCTAGGCAGCTTCCGACGATGCTGATGTAGTGTTTACGAACAGAAGCCCTCTCACAGGTTAGCATAACCGATAGTCGATCTGGATTAAAAAGATGTCACGAATAAAGAGGCTCGCATGACGTGAAAGTTGATGTACATACGTGAGCAGATGAACATACCCAAATAAAGGCCGGCTATGATCAAGGCGTCCTTTCCGCAAGATGCACGCTTCGCCAGCTTGGATGCGAGGGCCTCTGCGGCAATGACGAAATCAGTTTTACTCTGCCAGCATTCTTTCACTAAGGTCACACTGGCTTACCAAGTTTGTTCCAGGAGTCAGCGTCCAGAGTACCTCGTGACGCCAATGCTTCTACAGCGGCAATATCGGATGACTGCACGCACAAGCGACAGCGTCATTACCTTCCGAAATATCATAAAACAGCGTGATGAGTAACTGACCAGCTGCTGTAAGAACTCCATTCTCGTGTGCTAAGCAGGACTCGTAATGACAGAATTTGTTGTTGATGGCCTGACAGAACTGCATCAGATTTATCGAATCAGGGCGTGTCTAGCGCGTTCTTCTTCTATTCAGTTGGCGTGACAGGTACAGAATTTAGGTATGGTAACCTGAAAACTCGTGTCTTTTTAGGACCCCTCGAAAAGCGCGAATTCTTAGCAGTCGCTCTCGAAGCGTGCCAGCAGTAGTGTGGCGGATGTTTTGAAAGCGGCTGGAAATCGTGCCCGAAATGAACTCCCGCCAGAAACGACAAATCCTGGCTGGCGAAAAGAAAATACAGGTCATATGCCCTGAGAGCGACTTCCTTTTACGCCCGGGAGTATCTCATAGGCATTTTATCCTTAAGGACCTCTCCTTGTAAGCAAAGTGTACCCGTGTCATGTGAACAGTTCTCATTACAGTCAATTGGCAACATTTTTCGAAAGCCAATCAGTGTTTTCGTGCGACCATTTTCAATGGCAGGATCTGACACTGGCTGTTTGTGTCAGAATCGTCAACCAATGCTCGGAGCAGAATACACATCACTTTCTGGAAAATCCAACAACCACTAGACCAGCCATTTATGTTCCTCCACGTTTGCCCCACAAATTGTGTGAGTAATGCTCGTACAATTGGGGGCCTGTTTTATATCACTGTAAAATGAATCCGGATGCGCAACCAGGACTGGTCACCGCTCTCGTCGATGTTCGCCTACCCCGTACATTTTCGATTCTCTCAAATGTAAACGCCTTTTCCTTGTTCTTGATAGAGCGCATTGAATGTTGAGTGGAATCTAAAACTTTACCATGAAATAAAATGCAAGCAAAAAACATTTTGCGACACGCCAGAGCCCCGTTTGCCCGAGCATATTCGATGTACGCGAAATCCCCCGAGTCGCCCCCCGGGCTCTCAGGGCATATGATCTGTATATGCATTTGTCAGATTCGAGCAGATGCGTCAATGCCTCGTTTTCCAGGCTCGTAATACCGTAACTCCGTTTCTTTCGCCAAGATCTATTGTTATTCGCTGCGCAGAGCATTTGTCGTGTCAAAGGCTGGACACAAGGCCGAGGCAAGCATGCTATCCATGGTCGAAAGGTGAGCCTCGCGACATCTACACTCCCCGTAACATTTTTCCGAGCATGTACAGAAGACTCAAAAAGCGCGTGTTAGGGAAAAATGAACGCGCTGGACACGCCCTCAGAGGAGATACCTCCAGGTTGTGGTACGGTTGGGTCAGGCATGAGGTCCGTAATGGATCTCGCTGTCAGCGGGTTTAAATACGTTTCTGTACGTTAGGGATCGATACAAAGCGATGCAGTACGGTACTCACGACCCCGACTGACGAGGTTTCTGGGTTACTGGAGCGTAACCAATCTAGGGAATCCAGAACCAGCGCTGTCCCCCCAATCCCGAAATTGCATTCATGAAGCCCTGAACAAGAGATTCGTCATCGAACCGAGCTCCTCCTCGTGCTCGGTTGTAACACTCGGAGGTTCAACTCGACACGTTCAAATACGTTCGCCAAGAATCCCCTCACACACGTTTGGTCCGCGAACTGGAAGCTAGGAAGGCCACTCCCACAAGAGCACGCTCTTTCTATCCCCCCGCCTGTCGGTCGAACGGCCAGACTGGCTTGACCCGACTGGTTCGGCAGACGAGGTGGCAGGCACCCCCCCTCCTCCCGCTCCGCACATTCCTTCCCTTCCCTCCAGTCCCTCTCCCTCCCCCATACATTTGCCTCCCATCCCTGCAAAGGCTGTCGGCTATCGGGGTCTTCCACGGGGGTGTGCTGGGCAACCGAATTTCCAGAGCCACCCCACCCCAGGAGAAATCGCATTTTCGCATTTGTTGGCCCATGTAGGCGCAAATCTCGCGGCAGACAGTGGCGCAAGCTGCTATCCATAGTGTTCCGTGCTCACGATTGGTCCTTTGACCAGGGGCCCTGCTCGTCTGTTCAAAAACACACCCACAGAAGTGAAGTGTACATCCGAAATCGAATCTAGGCATGTCCGATGGGTACTTTAATCCTGGGAACCCTACTCAACCGTTCTAGAAGCTACGCAAATACAGACGTTCTAGCTTGTGACACACTGGGGCCCTGTTCTGCGGGCACATTTGACAAGCCATTCGCGCTGAGGAAGCTTCTATGATAAGTGCAAATCGACTTGTCGAGGCTCGGCGATAAGCACTCACGGCTCGGAGCATGACAAACCAAGGATGATACTTTGTTCAGGGAAAACCTGCAGAGCACCAACTCCCGAATGACGAATTGTCAAACAGGGTGCTTCTCGTAAATTGCGCGCAGGGGCAGAGCAGCTGAACAACTCGTCAAATCTCTAACCTACCTTTGAAGGCTTGATGAGGGCTGAACGAGAAGTCCCGGGCAGCATTTAGACGCCCAGAAAAACTGCAGGCCCGCAACAACTCCCACCCCCCAAAAAAATAGCAAGCACAACCACACGCACACTTCCCAAGCGAGACATAAGGAGGTTGGTAGGTTTGCGGGTTACCCCTGCAAGCGTCTCCTTTTTGTTTTGTTGGGCCTGCGGTCCTAGATGGGGCAGTGCCAAACCTTCTTCCTGATCCGTAGCGAAGCTGCATTAGACAATGTGTGTGGTTTCGCTGGCTCGGCAATGTTGGTAAGAGTGCTAGCAAGTTCCGAATTGACGAGATATCTTATCACACAGGTGCCTGCAGAGCAGAGCCTGGAATTGCTTCCGTGTGGAGGTTGCTCCAGTCATGCCCTACACGCCGCCTGTGTGCCGACATTGTCCAACCCATACAGTATGCCCATCAGAGAGCTTGTCGTTGCGACATTTTCCATGGGGCTTGCGCAGGTACAGATGGAGCACACATCTCCAGGGTGGAACTGTGACCGTCCGATCTCAAAACCACCTGAAACCGTCGGTTTCAAAACCCGCTGGATTACCAGAAGCAGAGGGCAATCAGGATCATGCATCTGGAACACTTTCCTGTACCCTGAAGCGGTGCTGCAGATAGTGAAAAAGGGCGACCAGGATAGCTCCGCCATGGTACTAATAAGGCTTACCATCGCTCTTGAACAGCGCTACGTGCACTTGCTGATACGGATTGACAAAGAGACTCGGTACCAGCAGAGCTCCTGCTGTTTCTCGGACCTTCCCGGATTGCGTAGAGCAAGCCCAAGGTAGCAGTAGTTTTAGAGTAGCAGAAAACATGGCTGTATGCACAGCAGACATGCGGATTGCTTCAGGAAAACGGATTTCCCCGTGGGGGTACATGTGCGGTCTCCACTGGAGCTGGCAGCTCCTCCTATCGGTCCTCGTCGTCGCCGCCATCACAAGCGGGGATAGATCCGTTGGGGTCCGCGCTATGAGCGCGGCAGCGGAGCGACGCGAACAGATGGATCAGATGCTGCAAGCTCAAGTGAGGGGTTATGCTAAGATAGTAAATGGTTTTTACTCTTATGTTTAGGACTACCTCTTCCATGTATTTGCTTCTTTGTCGCTGCATGTTGAGGTGAGCACTGAGCAAGCGAGAGGTTGAAGCTGCGGTGTTGGATGCAAGCATGCATGGGCATGGAAGGGTGCATGGGCATGCAAGCAAGCATCGGCGTGCGAGCGTGCGTCTGCACGCAAGCAAACAGCGGCAAGCAAGTGTGCATCGGCATGCAAGCGTGCATCGACAAGCAAGCGTGCATCGGCATGCAAGCGCGCATCCTCCTCCTGCGTCTTGTGTCTGCGTGTCGATGTGGTGTAGAGTACTTGCTTCACAATCCTCCGTTTTCCACCGTTCCTGTTTCTTTTGCCTTGCCCCGCATCTGATGATTCTCTGTTCCCCCCCTCGCCTTGTTGCCTGCCTGCCTCCCTGTCTCCTTGCCACACATTTACCACCAGGTGGATTTGATGCTGGCAACGTTCGAAAGGGATGCTGACGTGGCAGCGCTGACTCAGCAGCAGACGGCATGCTCCTGCTACCGCATTCGCAACGATTACTGCTGTCGCCAGTACATGTGCTTGTGCTCGCCCATGTGTTGGAACGGTTATGAGGTAAATGATGCTGCCTATAACGAAGGTATAACCTGCTCCAGTTGCAAAGGTATAACAAAGGTGTTATTGCTGACCAGCATAAGGGTTTATTTCTTCCACCAGTACATGTGCTTGTGCTCGCCAATGTGCTGGAACGGCTATGAGGTAATAGTGAATGAGGCTGCTTATGAGACCGGGCTTTGCACCACAGCGTATACACTCTACTCCTTATCACCCAATCTTCCAAGCTCTTTTCGACCCACTGTCTCTGTCGCTCCTTCTCCGCCCCTTTGAATCTCCCTACCATCTCATTTCTCTCGGTGAGCCCAAGTGGCACCAGCTGCAGAGCACACATCACCGCCCCAACACCTATTGGACCACACGCAGCAGCAGGAGTGATTGAACTTGCTCCGTGATTAAATTCGCGCCCTTGTCTCCGCCCCTATGCATTCCCCTACCAGCTCATTTCTCTCGGAGAGCCCAAGTGCGCACCAGCAGCAGAGGGCACGCCACCCCAACCCGGCCAGGGACCCATCCTAACCCCTTTGGACTGCTCGCAGCAGCAGGAATTCGCCTCCGCGATGTCTGGTATCACAGAAGAGACTGCAGAAGCAAACCTGGGTGTGCGAAACGCAGGAGGGAGGGGGAGAGGGGACAGGGAGAAGGGGTGGTTGGGGAGCAGGAAGGGAGTGGATTGGCGGTTTGGGCTCACGATGCTGCAGCGATTCAACGACAGCTCCGTCAACCTCTCCCACTTCGCAGGTGGGTTTGGAGGCTCTTGCAGGTGCACTGTAATCCCTTCATCAGTCTCTCACTTCGCATGTATGTTCCGATTCACGGTATGTGAGGTGAGTCTTGGGGCGCCTGAGAGAGAATAGTCAAGAAAGGACGGGTGCAGAAAGGTGGTTGGGGAGCAGGAGGGGAGTGGATTTCCGGTTTGGGCTCACGATGCTGCAGCGATTCAACGACAGCTCCGTCAACCTCTCCCACTTCGCAGGTAGGTTTCAATTCAAGGCGTGTGAGGTGAACCAGGTTTTGAGGCTCAAGTATTGGCAGGACGATGCTCCAGCGACTCAACGACAGCTCCGTCAGCCTCTCCCACTTCGCCGGTAGGTTTCGCGGTGCAAAAAAACAGCATCCGTGTTAAACGGTCCGTTTTAAACGGCCGTTTTTTACGGTGGGTTTTGGTAAAAAACGACGTTTTTTTTTTAGACCTTTTTTCATGATTTTTTTTTTTTAATGTATAAAAAGCACGCGTAAACAAGTGGCCTGATTGCTAAGGCGGCCTGCATCGTTCTACGGGGTAATTAGCGGCTTTGAAATAGGTATGTGATGTCCATGCCCCTAGTCCGTCGCCTTCTAGGTCTCATTCTGCTCCTACTCCACCATCCCCCCCATCCTCCTCCTCCTAAGCGTCATCCATCTAGTCCTCCCCCCCCTAAGCGTTATTAGCTCGGCCAAAAACAATGTACACCGTATTATACGGTGGTACGAAAAAAACGGTCGTATAAAACGGCCGTTTTTTTGCACCAAACGCAAAATGCAACTTTCGACCGTTTTAATCGTATTATACGACCGTTTTATACGATTCCGTTTTAAACGGTAAAAAAAGGTAAAAAACGCCGTTTTTTTGCACCTTTCGCGAGGTGCACTCCACCAACCCCTCCCACTATGCCAGGTGAACTCCCTGTACAAAGTAATTCACACATTTCTGCCACCAGCCTTCCCACCACTCTGCCAAGTGAGCTCGCTGTACAAAGAATTTCTCACATTTCTACCCTGTCAGGCTGCCAGGATTTACAGGGTCTTGCACCTTCCCCTATCTCAGTTTCACGCTCTCTGCCCTCAGCTTTTGGTGCAGCAAAGGTCCTCACTCACACCCCTCTTGCCCTCCCTACTCCGCCCCTGCTGCCCGCTACTCATGGCACAGAGAAGGCACTCCTTCTCCTGCTGGTCGATGCCTTCACAGCACAGCGCCTGCTGGTCAATGCCTTCACATCGCCTGCTGGTCAATGACTTCACAGCGTCTGCTCTGCTGCATTTTCGACACCCCTGTGCATCCGTCTCCGCCCCCCCCCCTCTCTCTACCCTCTTTCCCTGCTGTGCGAATCAACCAACCAACAGAGAAGGCACTCACGCTGCTCCTAGTCAACAACTTCACGGCGCCTGCGCTGCTGCACCCCATGGTGACTCGCTTCATGCTGCCTCGCTCGCGAGCCGTGATTGAAAGGTGGGCACTCTAGGTCCGAGTCAGCCCTTTACAGGTCTGCAGTTGAGCACGGAAGGCTTCATTTCGGAAGGTATTGTGACACCACTCACGGCGCCTGCTCTGCTGCACCTTTTCTTGTGACCCATTCCCTCGTGCCATGCACACGCACACCCCCTTGTGTCATACCCCCATATGTCTCATCCGCTTGTGTCACACCTTCTTGAGTCACTCCCCCTCGTGTCACATCCAGGTGTGACATCCCCCCTTTTGTCATGCCTCCTTGCGTCACCCCCCGATGTCACACCCTGCGTCACATCCCCTTGTGTCACACCCGCGTCACACCCCCTTAGTGAAGGGGGAGGATGCGTTGCACGCTCCCACGCCCGTGCTCTCCCCTCACATCCACACCTTCACGCAGCCGCTCGTGTCACAACCCCCTGTGTCTCATTCCCTCGTGTCACGTTCCCTTGTGTCACATCCCAATGTGTCACACCCCATTGTGTCACACCCCATTGTGTCACATCCCCCGCTGCAGGATGAGAATGAATGAAAGGGGGCAGATGCGGCTGCTGCAGGCAATGGTTGAGTTCGCTCTCACACCTGCGCCCTCCCCTCACAATCACACCTTCAAGCGTCCGCTTGTGTCACACCCTCTTGTATCGCATCCACTCGTGTCACACCCCTGTATCTACCTGCAGGATGAGAATGAAGGGGGCAGATGCGGTGCACGCCCGGCTGCTGCAGGCAATGGTTGAATTCGCCCTCACTCCAGTGCTCTCCCCTCACATCCACACGTCCTTCCAGCTGTACGTTTTCCTGAACGACAGTTAAAAGCTGAATAACTTGCTCTCTCTCCAACTTCTCAGCTTACCCTCGTTCTCTCCCTCCCCTCACATCCATGGTTCCCTACAAATTTTCGTTGTTCTAGTATTCTGTACCTATGCTCTCCGTGCATCCTCCCATGTCATTCGGGCTGGCGGTAGTAAGTCGTCAAATGTATGAGGGGCCCATGTCTTTGCCTTTCCACCTCCCACCCTTCCACCCTCCATCCTCCCACCCTCCCACCCTCCACCCTCCCACCCTCCCACCCTCCCAACCACCAGCCACGAGCACATGACTCTAGGAGACTCCCCCATGGCATTCGGGCTGGTGGAATTCGAATCCGCGTGGAATGCAGCCACTGAAGAGCGCCCTCTCTGCTTCGAGAGGCTGCTTATACCGGGGATATTCAAGGGGCAGGCCTACCCCACCCACCCCAGCCAGGGCACCTACTTAGACCGCCACCTGAGGATAAAGATGAAAGTGCCTCAGGCTAGCAAAATGCTCTGGGGGCCAGATGGGGTGAAAGGGTGGCAGCCGAAGGTTCTCTATATCACACGGCTTGGGCCGGAGCTGAAGCTTCGCCGCACCTTCCTACCGGAGAGCCATGAGGCGCTGCTGAAGCTCATGGAGGGGCTGGGGCTGCAGGTGGGTTCGTAGCAGGTTCCTGGTGTGCTGGCTGGTCGATAGGTTCCTGATGATTTTATGGCAGCTCAAAACTCCCCAAACGCACTCGGGCCTTTCACCCTTGTGTTCATTCGTCAGGTGGCGATGGTAGAGCCCGGGCAGCTGACAGTCCGCCAGCAATTTGTGTTTAGTCTGCTGATATCATCATCCCCCCATTAAAACACGCACACATATGGACACACGCACACACACACACGCACGCACACACACACACACACGCACGCACTCACGGACCCACTCACACACCCCCCCCCTCCCACACACACACACACACACACTCACTCCTTCCCTGCATATTCCCCATGTGTGCATTCTTCAGGTGACGATGGTAGAGCTTGGGCAACTGACATTCCGCCAGCAGTTCCTCGCCATTCAATCGGCTGACATCATCATCTCCCTCCACGGTGCTGCCCTCACCAACGTGCCTCTCTTCGCCCGCCGCCATGCCGCATTAATCGAGATTATGCCGTACGGCATCGTTCACGAGCTCTACTATTCCCTCTCGCTTAGCTCCGGCATTCCGTATTTCATGAAGAAGTGTCGCAAGGGGGAGAAGCAGGAGGGAGATTTGCCGGAATTTGAAGGGCTGAGTGTCAAGGACTGCTTGCACAAGCATGCGGCATGCAAGTTTCACCATATCCACATACGGCGAATCCAACTGACCGATGAGGACTTGGATGAGATCAGGAAAATGCTTCTGGTTGCGAAGGACGTGGTTGGAGCGAGCCTGGGAGGGTTTGGGAGATACATGCACTCCGGTGAGCTGCCGGGGTGGGCTGAGGCAAGGTTTGGGCACATGTGTGTTGCCAAGGATGTGGATTTGTATGGCAAGAGGAGTGATTTCCTTAGGGTGCCCAAGCCAGGGAATGCAGCTGAAGACTTTATTTGCGTGTTCTCAAAAGATGATGCTTAAAAGTATATGATGTATTCGTTGCACAAATAAATAGGTTAACCTTGGTGTTTGTTGAGATTGCTAGGTTGTGCACAAGGGGAGACATGATACAATGGGAACTAGTACAATAATAGAGGATAGGTTAACTCAAGTGCAGATATGCAGTCTATCCCTGCTCTTCGTGAGTCTGCCCGTAACGATCGTTTTGCATTCCACTAGTTCTTGCGCTCAGCTTTTCACGGCTGTCAGCATGGGAGGGATTTCTCTGCTCGTCTGTCACTCTGCATTCCTCTCTGCCTGTTGCCTACGTTCTTTGCGTGTCGCCGTCTTGCAAGCGACTCCTTCGCTGATTATTTCGGCTTCGCTCAGGCTCTTTCGCCGCCCTCTTCGCCATCTCGTCGTTCCTTCGCGAATTCAATTATTAGCTCTGAAATAGTTCCAATATCGGATCGTCAGGCGTCCGCCATGTCTCACTCCGGCTCGTGCTCCCACGATCACGACTGCAGCGACCATGATTGCGGGGCTGGATTCTCGCTCTACAAGAGCGTCGACCTCCCAAAGGTGCTTATTCCTCCCCCCTTTCTCTGGCCTGATTCGCCACGTTCCTTCCTCCCTTCGTTTTCTGGTCTTCCGTTCGCCCAATCATGACTGTAGCGACCATGACTTTAGCGAGCATGACTGTAGTGACCATGACTTTAGCGAGCATGACTGTAACGACCTCGATTGCGGGGCTGATTTCTCACTTTACAAGAGCGTCGACCTCCCGAAGATGCCTTATTCGCCATAACTGTAGCGAGCACGACTGTAACGAGGATGACTTTCAGCGAGCATGACTGTAGCGATTATGACTGTAACGATTTTGACGGTAGCAATCATAATTGCGCGGCCGGATTCTCGCTTTTCAAGAGCGTCGACCTCCCGAAGGTGGCTATCCCTCCCCCCTCCCCTGGCCGGGTTCGCCGAAGGTTCGCTGAAGGCTCGCCGCCTCCTTCCTCCCAAACCAAGGTTTTGAATTTTCTTCTTTTCTATATCGTCCCCCTTCCCATCCTTCCCTCCTTTCCCTCCCTCCCTCCCTCCCTTCCTCCCTCCCTCGCTCCCTCCCGCCCTCCCTCCCTCCATTTCCCCCTGCCTCACCTCCCCTCCCCTCTCGCGTCACGTCTTCCCTACCTCTCTCTTCCTTTCCTGAATGCACTCCCTTTTATGCAGTGCAGGGTAGTCGAAATAACCCCTTTTATGGCTTGAAAATTTTGCACTACATCTCCCTCGCGTCTCCTCTTTCCCACAACAATCTCTAGGTGTGTGCGCGGAAGGAGTTAGTGAGGGACGCAATATCTCCTCACATCTTCACTCACTCTCCTGCTGCTCGCTCTCCCCATCCCTCAGTGCGCTCTGCACCTGCGTGCTTTGAGCGAGGCAGTGAAGGGAAGAGCCAACCAAGGGCGTGTTTAGAAGCCAGACAAAATGACACTTTCATTCTCTCCCTTCATCCGTCACTGCACTCCCCAGGTGCGAGCATTGAACGAGGCAGTGGAGGGAAGTGCCAAGGGCGTGTTCAGAAGCTGGGAAGAGCGGATGACGTTTCCAAGTGTAAGCTCTCTTTGTAAGTCCTCAGAACAAATCTCTACGTGTTGCATACTGAAGGAAACTAAAGGGTTTCAACATATTTCATATGAAGCTGGGAGGAAAGGATGACGTTTCCAAGTATGAGATGCCTTTGTAAGTCCTCACAGCGAAATCTTTATTATTGCAAAGCAAAGCTTACATAAGCCTGCTTTTAGAGCAGTTACCTGATCTCTTCCCTTACGCTTGCTCATCTCCCTGCCATCTCTTTTTTTCCCTGTATCGCTGTTTCTCGAACCCTGGTATCTCTCTCACAAACAGCCTTTCTGTGGAATCATCTTTCCTCACTGCCCAAAGAGTTGGGATAAAAAAAAAAAACAAATCAAGGCAACCTTGCTGAGTGCTGCTGAGTGCTCTGAATTCGCATTGACAGTTGGGGCATCCTCCGCTTTGAGTTGGGTTGGCATTGGCAGCCTGGGTCGCATACCTGCAACCGGCAAGCACGACACTTGAGCCTTGAGTTCCGCCTGAGCTGTTTTGCACCCCCCAATCAGCCCGTTCGAGCCTACAGCATTGAGTTTGATCCTTACACCACAACCTGACTGTTGTGGAGTCAAAATGATAAGGTTTTCCATTCTCTTGCCCCTTTAACTTCCCTCTCTTACTTTCCCTCGCTTCTCCTCTTCCCTCTTACCAGCAACCATTGGGTTGGACAGCAACGAGGATGATCCAGAATCTCTTAAGTCACTTATCGTGACTGGTCTTGTCCTCTCTTTCCGTCCTCTCCCCAATGCCCAGCAACCACTGGACAGCAACGAGGATGATCCAGAATTTATCCAAGCTATCTCGTGACTCACTTATCGTGAATGGACTGGACTTGTCCCCTATGTCCCCTCTCTCCGTCCTCTCCCCACTACCCAGCAACCACTGGACAGCAATGAGGATGATCCAGAGCTCATCCTCTTCATCCCGTGAGTCCACAATCTTGTCCCACGTGCCAGTCTTTTCTGCCATTGTTCGTGTTTCCAGTTGCAGTGCAAAAAGGCTATCACTTGTGTTTTCTTATTTGACTAAAAAGGGCATAACTTGCGAGTGAGTCACCATCATTCATGTTGATTTACAACTGATGAGGTAAAGAGCATCACCATCTTCGCAGGAGACCTTGATTCTAATCACTTGTGAAGGAACCTCTTGTTCCACATTTCTTGCTGCTCGCGACCACGTGGCAGGTTTACGACAAACCACATGGCAGGTTTATGCGAGATGTGAAAATCAAGAGCATCGCTTTCATAGAGGGAGCAGATGGATGGAAGATCATAGCATGTGCCTTAAGATTCCAAATCAGAGATGTTAGTAACCGCTGTACTGTGTTGATGCAGGTTCACAACGGATGTAAAGATCAAGAGCATCGCCATCATTGGTGGAGCAGACGGGTCAAGCCCTTCCAAGATGCGAGCGTAAGGCTTTTCCATGCCCTCAGTGTATATATGCTGGTACTGTGTCCATCATTTCGTGTGAAAACAGATGCAGCATGTTTTTGGTGGCGAAAAGCAATCCCCTTTTTAGCCACTTACTTCCTCCACCCTTCCTCCTCCCCTCCTCCTCCTCCCAAGCAGCTTTATCAATCGTGAGGACGTTGATTTCTCTGTGGTTAATGATCTTACTCCAGTGCAGGTAACGTTTTGGCGGCTACACGGGTAATATCCGAAGGCCACACAAATTTCACAACCCCACGTACCGGGTAGAATTCTAAAACACGAAACACTTACATGCACTGGCCATGCACACACGTTTTGGTGGAAGTTGAAGGGCTTTTTGTCAAACAGCTAATGCTTGTGCTCAATGTGCAGTGTGCAGGATATGTGTTTCACACTGTCTTAAACTTCTTTTAAAGAACGAGGGCATATATGCATGTGTCTGTCCTATTGTTTGTGCACGTGTGACTGTATCAGGAATGGAATTTAGCAGAGAATCTCCGCGGGGAGCTTGAGTATACCACCAAGTAAGGTCTCAAAGAGTATTTTTTATATTCTTATTCTTGCACATCGGGCATTAACAAGATCATCAGTGCAGTCCTTGTATCTGTAATATAATGACCATTATTTGGTCTGACCATTTATCAGAGCTAATCAGTATGAACATGCACCCACTTGTTATTGATGTAACGATACTGGAGATCAAAGCCGCCATTTCTCATCGGCTCAAAATTTCCTCTCAACTTCTCTCTCCCTCTCTCCCTCATTCCCTCTCTCCAGGTACTCCAAATTCCAGGGCGTGTCGTCCCTCACCCTCCACTTCCCTTCCAATTTCGGGGGTGATTTCTCGCGGATCTACTTCATTGGACTCAAGGGGGAGGCCACTCAGGTATGGAAGGAGAGTAGAAAAGAAGAGCACACGTCGTTTGCAGCCCCGGAGGCATGTGCCAGGGTCATCCTACTTCCCGCTCATCATTCTTAAATGTTCTTAGCTTGGATGTGTAAGCTCTCCTCCCTTTTCATACCCCCTGTGTGTGGCCAGAACAATCGGCGGGCAGTGGCAGCAGTGGTGTATGAGGCACAAGCCAACCCCAGCGACCATGAGTAAAAGCAAACGCCTTACTCCTACACTCACCTTTCGCAAATCCTTTCTCTGCTCTCTGAATATGCTCACAATACTGTGTGATTGCTTTCAGCCGCATGACACCCATTAGCTCAGTCGCTTGCTGCATGGTTACCACGCTCACTGGTGAATCATGGTTATCACCACTCACATCCTGGGGCTGCTCTTGCGTAACTTGTGACACCAACCAACTGTGCTGTTGTGTTCTGGTTGCATGCTTCAGCACTGTTGCCATTGAGTTAGACGCTTACGAGATCGTGCTTGTTCTCCTTCCCACGTGGGTTTTGCAGGGTTCCTGCGGACATGGGAGTTCCCAAGGTGCTCCATCACTAGGTGTACAGTGTACACATGTTAGTGTTTTGTACAGCGGCGTCTCTTCTGTCGGCGCAACAGGCAGCAGCCGCCTGTGTGCAGCTGTACCATGTGGGCATATGTAGGTATCCTCGGTTGTCATGTCACAATGTAAGCTGTAAGCTGGTTCATTTCAACACCTTCACGGCTCAGGGTGTGGAGTACATGTGTATACTACTGATGGTGCGATGTGCTGTATAAATGCATCCAAATCGCCAGATCACAAAGTTGGAACTCGATATAGGATGAAGCAAGTGTACATAACGATTTCAATAGTTATGTACTTGGTTTGTCAATTTAATCAATCCTAGCCTCATCATCCTTCTGTCGTGTATAATTCAACACATCCAGGGTAGTTGAATTGAATTCCTAAAAGAGGATGAGCCATGTAAGTGTTTTGTTATAGATAAAGATGGTAATTGTAGGATTCATTACCTTCTCCATAACAGGAGCGTAATGTAAAATCTTTCTATTTTTGTGAAGCACTTGTCAACCAACGCGGATGGCCATCCATCCTCGGTTGATTTCTCCAACCATCCGTCGTTTCCAATGTGCCAGCGAAACGTCAGGAATTTGCCAGTCAGCTAAAAGGTTCGTACAACGGACGCCATGACATGAAGGCTCTTAGCTTCAGGCAGACGCGAACACTATTTCTGACCAGGGTAGATGAAGTCGTAAACTGCGAGGGTCTTTGAGACTACTTGATTTTGCCTCGGATCTGACGCACGACACCGTGTCAAAATGATGTACTGCTCTTCGAAACACCTTGTGGGACTTGGATGCTTAGCGCCGTTCCTGTTCCAGTCATTTCTCCTGGTTCTCGTCTCCGCCGAGTCCTTCGATGCATCATCCATTGGAGTCTGCTGGGGACGAGTAGCATGGCAGCCACTTGCACCGCGTATCGTTGTGAAGCTCCTTCAGGTATAGACAGTGTTCCGATGCCCTACTAATCACATATAGAATGTGCGTCTGATTCTTAAGGCCTTACACGCAGGACAACAAGATAAACAAAGTGAAACTTTTTAATGCTGACCCGCATGTAATGAAGGCTCTCGTTGGGTCCAAGTTGGAGGTAAGTCCCTTTCATCACACATTGCTCGTAATCATTTCTGGTAGCTGGTGTCCTGAATCATCCTGTCCGTTACTAGGTGACGGTAATGGTAGCCAACGAGCTGCTGAACGACATGGCCATGAACCCCAAGAAAGCTCAGGACTGGGTTGACTATAACGTCAAGAGATACGCGTTTCCAGGAGGTGTTGACATAAGGTAATATCACCAACAAGAGTTTTGTTGAACTTTGGATCTGGGTTTGAGCTTGAACCTCGTCTTGTTTCAGATATGTCTCTGTTGGAAATGAGCCGTTTCTGAGATGGGACAATGGAGAATACAACCTCGTTTTGGCGCCAGCCGTTCAGAACATCTATGACGCTTTAAAGGCCGACGGATTGGACCATAAAGTGAAGGTTACTGTGGCGTTCAATGCTGACGTCATGGGAACGTCCTATCCACCGTCTAAAGCATCTTTCCGTCAAGACATCGCCAATCAGATGCGACGAATCGTCTCACTATTCAGTGAAACCGGAGCTCCTTTCTCAGTCAACATTTACCCGTTTCTTAACTTATACCAGCAGCCAGGAGTTTTCACAATGGGTGACATTTTCCTGGATAGGCCAAATGAGCGGAATTTCACAGACCCAGGGACTGGTTTGGTCTACACGAATGTGTTCGACAGTACACATGATGCCATCCTGACAGCTCTGTCAAGACTCGGCTTTCCAGATGTAAGCCATCGAGCTTTTTGTGTTGGACACATCTTGCTGCCCGCTGACCTGTATACGTTTTTCTCCACAGCTGCAAGTAATCATTGGTGAAATCGGTTGGCCCTCTGACGGACAAGGTTCACTCAACCCATATGCTAACAATGCATACGCACAAGAGTTCAACAATGCCATCATCCAGCACATGCTGAGCGGATCAGGCACGCCGTTGCGCCCTGGCAAGCAAATTGGAGGGTTTATATTCGGCCTCCTGGATGAAGACATGAAAAGCACACTACCTGGAACGTTTGAGCGACACTGGGGCATCTTCCGAGCTGATGGAACAGTCAAATACAACCTTGACCTTACAGGGAAAGGCGACGCTAATGCACAGCTTGTTCCTGCAAGAGATGTGGCATTCTTTTCAAAGCAGTGGTGCGTTGTGAAGCAAGGGGCCAACCCTACAAACGTAGCTGCTGCTTTGACATACGTCTGTGGGGGCGATAAGAGTGTTGACTGCACGCCAATCCTGCCAGGAAGTTCATGCTACTTCAACAACAAACTGGAAGACGTGGCTTCATATGCCTTCAATTCCTACTACCAGCTTCAGAATCAAAGTCAGGCATCTTGTGATTTTGGGGGATCTGCTCGGATCGTTGGCACTGATCCGTCGAAGGATGGGTGCATCTTCTTTATTGGCATGGATCAGGCCAGCATGCTGAAAGCCTCTAGGAGACTTTGGAACACTCTGACACATACTGCCTTGGGCTGTGCTATGGCTATGCTGCTGATATGGTTCCTGTAAATTATGGAAGGGTGATCACTTGGGCATTAAGGCGTCTAAGTCACATTGTGATGGTCACCGGTCATGTTAGAGAATCAGTGGTTGCTTGCAAGCCTAGAGTTCAATGCGAACTGATCAAACAGGTGTGACGTGAAGGCAAACGAGAATCCGAAATCCATATCGCCCATGTGAATGTCACTTGTACAGAAGATGTTCAATCACCATTGATGTGGCGGCAGATGATAATGTGGAGGAGCCACAGCCTCTCCCGCAAGGGGGACCACGGATGCAGGCGAGGGAGGAGGGGGATAAGCAGGAGGGGGAGGGGTGAAAGGTGGTGGTGCTGCTGGGAGAGGTGGAGGAGAAGTTGCAGGATAGGGGTACAACGGAGGGGGAGGTCCGGGAGGTAGTGGGGGATATGAGGGGTTTGAGGGCAGTGGAGGGGGAGGGCCAGGAGGAAGAGGAGGAAGAGGAGGCTGGTGGGTTATCCCAGGAGGGAAAAGAGTTTGGGATGGTGGAAGGTAAGGGAGAGGAGGGGAGACCGCGGCCGGCTGCATGGGAGGTGATGGATCAGGAGGAGACAGTAGCGACTGGCTATGGCCATATACAAACTCAGTCGCCGCTTGTGAGAGTGGAGCTCCGGAGGTCTGCATATAATAACCTGCTGTTGCTCCGAAAGCGCTGGTGGTTGGCGGCGCTGGTGCTTCAGTGGCGGCTCCTCCTGCTGCTGACCCTCTTGCTGCTGGCCCTCTCGCTGCTGACCCTTGAACGTAGCCTTGGTAGGTGTCCAGCTGCACAGCAGTATCACCATCAGCGCCACACTCACTCTCAATCCCAGCCGCCCACGACAGCACAGACGAACTAGCACCTACAATTCCTCTTCCACCATCACCCGCTAACCCTATCACACCCCCTCCCACACCCCCTCCCGCAATCCCTCCCCTTGGAGCAGCAGCCTCAAAAGCAGAGAGCAAAGCGGAAGCGGAATTGGCAGCAGCACCACACGCACCTCCTGATCGCCCAGCGGCAGAATCATCACGTCGCCGTGATGACGTGCTGTAGCGTGATTGGTCCAGATAAGCCCCGTGGGAGCTGCTGCCCACATGCCACCTGTCAGGTTCCAACGGCCACCTGTCAGAATCAGCGTCGCCAGCTCTGCTACTCACTCTTCCCTCATAAGCACCTCCCACATCCCCATGCTTAATTGGGCTCCATTCCTCCCTCCTCTTGTCGTCACTGCCCCTGTTCCTCTCCCTGCTCCTATCTCGGTTCCTCTCCCTGCTTCTGTCTCTGCCCCTCTCCCTGCTGCTGTCTCTGCCCCTCTCCCTGCTCCTGTCCCTATACCTCTCCCTGCTCCTGTCTCTGATCCTGTCCCTACTCTCTCTTCCCCTCTCTTTACTTCTGTCCCTCCCCTTCTCCCTACTCCTGTCTCTGCCCCTCTCCCTACTCCTGTCTCTGCCCCTCTCCCTGCTCCTGTCCCTTCCCCTTTCCCTGCTCCTGTCTCTTCCTCTGTCCCTGTCCCTTTCCCTGTCCTTATCCCCCCTACTATCCCTCGCCTCCCTTCCCTCCTCCTTACCTCCCTCCCTCTTCTCATCTGGAGAATCATCTCTACCCCTCCTCCTCCGCTTCCTCTCCCTCTCATCCTCATCTCCTCCTCCCTCCTTACTCCTCTCCCTCTCCTCCCTCTCCCTCCTCCTCCTCCTCCTCCACTCCTCTTCCTTCCTCTCATCCTCATACCGCCACCTCCTCCTTTTCTCACTATCCTCCCAATCAGCCTTCCACCCCCTCCCACCCCACGCGTAGTCATCACTCCCATCGGGAGGAGGGGCATTGAGTCCCGGAAAATCCACTGTAGGAACAAGAAAGGGTTCAGGCGAAGGGGACTTCTCACGCTCCCCCTTCCCATCCCCATCCCCATCACCATCAGCATCGCCATCAGCAGAACCTTCCTCGGAAGCATCCTCCAGTACGAGTGCCAGGGACTTGAACTCATTAGGATCTTTAGCATCGTTAGAACCATCAGCATCTGCAGCTGATTTCCCCTTGGGTGGAATAGTCTCTGCTGGAATCTCTCCTGCCTCACTGTCACTGTCCTCTCCTTCCTCCTTCTCCTTCTCGCTCTTCTCCTCCGCTGCTTTCTCGACTTGCTCCTCTGCCGTGTCCTCTTCGTCTGCACCCAGCCGGGGAAAGGAGCAGGAGGGTAGATTGAGAACACCACAAGAAATCAAGCAAATCGGAAAAAGGAAAAGCTTAAGGGCGAGGTGATAGCCAGGAGAGGTGGTAGCCAGGAGAGGGGCTTGCTAAAAAATGTGGGAGAAGCGCAGCGAATACATACAGCCGAGGTAGCCAGGAGGATAGCCAAGGTCTCGCATTCTCCTGAGCCACGGCGGAGGGTCGAGGTCCTGCAAGGGAGGTGGAGACAAAGGGGGAGATATGCGGATTGCAAGTCAGGAAAGGAGCCATCTGAAGGGCCTCAAGCACAGCCGAGGTAGCCAGGAGGATAGCCAAGGTCTCGCATTCTCCTGAGCCACGGCGGAGGGTCAAGATCCTGTGAGAAACGGCGAGTAGAACGAGGCGAGAACGGAAGGGAGGATCAAGCTAGGCGTGAAAAGGAGGGAGGGTCAAGCTAGGATATCTAAACTATTGTATTTTCAAAGGTCTTGCACGAGCAGAAGCGAGAAACTCACCCCTATGCCCATTGCAGCACGGAGCTCCGCACTCAACACCCCAGGCACCAGCCCCTCAAACCTCTCCTCCATCCCTCCTCCTCCTCTCCCCTTCCCCCCTCCCGCCCCTCCAAACCCGTAATACCTCGTCTTCCCCACGCCCCCTCCCGCTCCCCCCCGAGCATCACTCCCGTCCTTCCCACTCTGTCCCTTCTCCTCAGCATGCACAGCCCGTGCTGCTGCCACTGCAGCATGGTCTCTGGGGCGCTGGCAATCTCTTAGAGCGTGGGTGTAGGAGCCGCAGTTGAAGCAGCGGGCAGCGGATTTTAACCTGGCTGCTTCGTCAGTGAGAGAAGAGGAGTTGGAGTGGAAGAAGAGGGGAGTGAGGGTGGAGAGGTCCCCTCCTGCTGCTGCTGCTTCTGCTGCTGGTGCCGTGTTAGCGGGAGGGTCAGAGTCAATTGCTGGTTGAGTGGAATCGTGCGCGGATGGCCCATTGCTGAAGTTGAAGCCCAGGGCGAGCCCGGATTCCGATCTGTCATAGAGAGGAACGTCGTTAGCCGCGTTATAGTGCTTGTTGAACGTCACACCGCCAGTGCTGCTGCTGAGCCTTGCCTTTGCTACATCAGTGGCAAGGGCTTCACTTTGATCATCACCATTTGCAGCCGCAGCAGCTGCATCTGCAGCAGCGATACTTTCTGATACCGCTGCACTTGCAGAAGCAGCACCCACTGCTGCACTGTCCAAAGCAGCATCGCTGGTGGCATCTGCAGCAGGAGTGGAGACACCCGTGTGAACATCACCAGCAGCAACACCAACACCATCAGAAGAAGCAGCAGCAGCAGCAGAAGCAGCAGGCGCAGCAGCGGGTGGTGGCGGTGGTGGCTTTGACGAAAGAGAGGGGGAAACCACAGGCTTGGGCGGGGGCAAAGAGGCCCACACACGCTGGGATGGCAGGGGGGGAGCGGGAGGAGAAGAAAGTTCTAAGGCGCCTTGAAGTGGATGAGATGGCAAAGAGAGGTCGGGGCAGCTGTAATGCACTGACGCCCGCCAGACAGCGAATGGAGCAATCTAAGCAAACCAGCAGTAGAATTTGAAGCAGTGGTGCAGTGGTGCAGGTAAGACAAATCAGGCCCCAGGAGACACCCACCAGCGGTGCCACGCCCCCTGCTGCTGTGCGCGCAGCAGAGGCGCCAGGCGAGAGAAAGGAACCCGAAGGCCCAAGGCGAGTGAGCACGGAGGGGGTTGCAGAGGGAGGTGCAGCGGCTGGGAAGTAGACGTCTGTTCCGCTCAGCTTCCTGCTCTGCTGCTCCTGAGTCTCGCGTTCCTTGGAAAAAGCAAGAGGAGAGAAGAGATTCAACGGGATAAGGGTACTGCTCAAGCAGAATAAGGTAAGCATGATAGCTAGATTAGTATAGCGGGAGAAGGCCTTTATGGTTAGAGCGGATGGCTTGTCTGCTTACAGCAGAAGGGGTCTGTGCTTACAGCGAACGGGGTCTGAGCTTACAGCGGATGGGGTCTGTGCTTAGAGCGGACGGGGTATGTGCTTACAGCGGATGGGGCCTAAGCTTACAGCGGATGGGGACTGTGCGGACTCCCAGGAGGCCCAGGAGGAGAGAAGGTTCTGGAGATGTTCCAAGCTCGCTCTGCCAAAACATTGAGCATTCACAGCCGTGGTCATAAAGGGGAAATGTCAGATGTATCCTCTCAGCCTCGAGTTACCCAGAAACAGATCAAACACATGCCACAGGCCAAACACTTGGTGCAAAACCAGCAACAGACTTAGCGTTAGAGGCTTTTATAGTGCACACAAATGTCGCACGAATGTCACATGGATGTCACACAAATGTCACACAAAAAAAGTCACAGAAATGTCTCATCAATGTCACGCAAGTGCCACTGGCATGTCAGCGCTTACTTGGACATGTTCTCGTAGTGCACACGCACGTAAGGCCCTTTCTCCCACCCTCGCCGCCGCTTCCGGTGGTGGTGATGCAAATGGGGTGCTTGAGATGAATCCTCCATATTAGCCACACTGTTATTGGAATAGTCGCCGCCGCGTTTTAACTGATAGGAATGTGAGGGAGAGACAGAAGTTACTGTGGAATAAGGAATTTCACCCACTGGTGATGGCTTCAGCCGATATAAAAAAAAAATTGGAACATATGAAGGATATATGGAAACTATTGAGTAGCAATAAAATTCGGAAATATTGAATAGCAAAACTGACTACGTAACGAACAGAAACAGGGGCCCACACGAGCCGGGAGGCCAGAAATCGCGAAATTACACGGAGAGTAGATAAGGGAGAGCTGGATGATAAGATGACATGGAAAACAAGAAAAAGTGACGTGGAAAAAACAAAGGCCTAGCAGGGTGAAACATAGGTGGCTATCGTAAGAAGTGTCGTGCGAAATACTAGGCACGCCGAAAAAGGGAGGGTCGATGGATGTAGGATGGTACGAGGCACGCATGGAGTGGTAAACTGACAATGGAGGCTTGAAGGTTGTGCGGTGGTCCGGTTTGAAGGCTTGAAGGTCGTGTTGCGGGAGAGTAGAAGGCTTGAAGGTCGTGCGGCGGGAGAGTAGAAGGCGAGGTAACACCAAAAAAAAAAATCGATTCGAGCCTGGTAAGGAGCAGCCTGAAGAGCACGAGAGACCCGTTCGATGTACGACACGAGGCTATGAAGACCGGAGAGAGGCGGGAATGAGACTTCTCAAATGACCCGAACAGCAGTTGGAATCCTGATTAGACCGATCCGAACCGAACTCCTTGCGCGACACTCGGGTTGAGACGGGTTCTCCCATCAACGGGAGAAAACTGTCTACAAGGGCAGGGCAAGATGACCGACGAGAGGAGAGACATAGAGAGCGGACTCTCGATGTGATTCAAGCAACTGAGACAGGAGGTCAAGGTGGTTCAGGCAAAGCGGGAGAGCAATGTTTCAAAGCAGGAGCAGCATGAGATCGCGGTCAATCGCGAGCCTCGATATCCTCGTGGACCTAGTCTCGGGAAAATTTGACGGGTTCGAAGCTTTCTTTGTCAGATAAGGTGCTACAATAGGTACACCTTACGACTAACCCAATTTCTCTTATCTTTCATGAAACCATGGCTTTACACTCGGAGCATAGTATTTAGTCGGGTCCCCCAAACTCCACTCTCGCACCCAGCTCTTGCTCATTTGCTAGGTGGCATCACATTTGATAGTGTTGCTGCATAAGTGGCCTTGTTTCCAAGCTCTTCCTCAATCCGTAGAAGCTGCAATCATCACAGAAGAAAAGTTAACGTTACAAGGAAAATAAGTACACGGCACATGGACAATCAACACGGGGTGATTTGTGGATGGGATGGTGCAAAAAAAAGGCTCGAAAAGGGGAAAAGCCAAGTCAATTCGTTGAATGTCTGCAAGTGCTCCTTTCGAGAAATCACCTGGTTATACTTGGCGCATCGTTCGCCTCGACAAACTCCCCCTGCCTTGATTCGCTGAGCCCCCATGCCCACTGCCACGTCAGCAAGCAGACAATCCTCCGTGTCCCCCTGCTGACCCAATCCCCCTGCTGCCACTACTGTCCACCCTGCTGCTCTTGCTGCCTTGGCCACTTCTAGAGCCTCTGACAGAGTGCCAATCAGGGGGAGCTGGAGGGGAGAAGAGGAGAGGGAAACGTCTCACATTCCATTGGACTGATATCACCTTATGCAATCTTCACCCGCATAAATGTTACGCAAAATACTTCACCTCAATTACGCTGATGGCTACACTATTACTCACGGACCACAACCCACCTTGATGGCAATGCCATTGCAGGTGCGCCTCTCAATGGCTTGAGCTAGTCGCTTGGCGTTGGAGACCAAAAGGTCATTTCCCACCACCTGCTTTTGGTGCGGTGCAATGCAGTGCCATGGGGTGTAACACAAGGGAACACAATAACGCATTACTAGAGGTGAACAGAGTGAAGAATACGCACAGGTAAATTGAAAAAGAGGCAGTCGCTGCAAATTGGTAACCAAGAGGTGGTTCCCTACCACAAGCATGCTATGCAGTGCAGTGCGGTGCAATGTGGTGCAACCAGCCTCGCGGAGGGCTTGAGTGGCGGAATGTGGTCAAGAGGCAGTGCGGTAACAGACCGGACCTGGGTGAAACCAGCCTCGCAGAGGGCTTGAGTGGCGTCAAAGTCTTCCTGGTCAAAGGGGTCCTCTATGCTCACAATGGGGAACTCTGTAACGAGGATGGGGAAGGTAGAACCAAGGGGAAGGGAACAGAAACGAGTCAAGGAACGGGGGAGGCGGGAAGCCAGCCTCTGAGAGGGCCTGAGCGGCTCTATAGTCTTCCTGATCAAAGGGGTCCTCTGTGCTGGCAAAGGGGCCCTCTGTGATAGAAATGAGGACCCCTGTAACGAGATCAAGGCAAGACGGAGGCAGAGGCAGAGGCGGAAATGGATAGGCTGGAGATGGGACGCTGCGGAAGATAGATATCACCACCTTTGGGCGCTGGCCTGAGCAGGGCGAGTAAACGAAGAGCGGCATTACAAGAACCTGCCTGGCATCACCTGAGCACGGGTCCTGGTACCCGCCTATGAGCTGCTGGACTGTCTTAAGACAAGCTTGACAAGAAGCATGCAGCAGAACAGACCATTCACCGGAGCACTCACCTGAGCACAGCTTCTGGTACACGCTGAGAATTCACCTGAGCATTCACCTGAGCACCATCTGAGATTCACCTGAGCATTCACCTGAGCACCATCTGAGATTCACCTGAGCATTCACCTGAGCACCATCTGAGAATTCACCTGAGCACTCACCTGAGCACAGCTGCTGGTACACGTCTATGAGCTGCTGGACTGTTAGCTGCTCCAAACTGCTCCCAGTGCTGGCTGATGTCATGCTGATGTCAGCACTGCCATCCAGCTGACGCTGCTGCTGCATGCCCAAGTCATAGTGGCCCTCGTCTGTGGGGGGTGGTGTGCGGTGCAGTGGAAGGAATAGAGAATGCATGACTTACACATGCAGGCAAGACATGATGCATGCTCCACTCATAGTGATCCTCGTCTGTGGGGGGTGGTGTGCGGTGCGGTGCGGTGCGGTGGAGGGAATGGGGAATGCATGACTTAAGCAGGGGATGCTGCATGCAAGTCATAATGTCCCTCGTCTATGAGGTGGTGTGCGGTGCGGTGCGGTGGGGGGATTGGGCAGGCATGGATGGGGCATGTCTGACCCATGCGTGATGGACGGAAGGGATGATGCAGCAAGGCAGTACTAATTCTCACTTTATCCACATGCTTATACACACACCCTCCACCCTCCTCCCCTTCACCTTTCCTTCTCCTATAATCACCTGTCCGCCCATTTTAAATACCTCTCACACATCCCCCTCCTTTGTTCACCTGCCACACACACATCCCCCCTTATAATCACCTGTGAACATCCCCCCCTTACAATCACCTGTCACACTTCCCCGCCTTTATAAACACCAGTCACACATTCACCAGTCACCCCCCCTAATAATCACCTGTCACACATCCCCCCCTATAATCACCTGTCACACATCCGCCCCTTACAACCACCAGTCTGTCACCCCCCCCCCCCCCCTTTATAATCACCTGTCACACACATCCCCCCTTATAATCACCTCCTCCCCCCCAATAATCACCTGTCACACATCCCCCCAGGGCAGCATGAATGCTGATCTTCACTTTGTCCGCATGCCCTGCCTTTGCTACTGCTGACGTCAGCAGCTGCAGACCCTCCCTTATGCTGGCAGGAAGGGTGGGGTTGGGGGGGAGGGAGGAGGCGGAAGGAGGCAGGAATGGGGGAATCTGACGGGGAGGATGGGAGGGGGGGAGAGGAGGAAGCGGGGGGAGAGGAGGAAGCGGGGGGAGAGGAGGAAGCGGGGGGAGAGGAGGAAGCGGGGGGAGAGGAGGAAGCGGGGGGAGAGGAGGAAGCGGGGGGATAGGAGGAAGCGGGAAGGGAGGAAAGATGGGGTGGGTGGGGAGGAATGAGGAAGGGGGAACCTTGTCAAGGCACACACACACACATCACTCGTGGCAAGCTGCTACCACAGACCACAATGTCAACGCGTGCTCCGCTCATATCGAACCATTGGAATTCACTTATTCAAACCTTCGCTTCGCTCGCTCATTCTTACCTGCCAAGCGGAAGCCCCAGGCTGCCATCATCGGTCGTGAGCGCTGCTGCTGCCCCAAACCGCTCCGCTGCTATTGCCTGGTGGGAGTGGTCGGATGCGGTGGGATGTGGTGGGATGGGTTGCATGGGCATGGGATGAAGCGCAGCAGCTTCTCTAGCCCCTTGTTCCTTGAAGGGCGAAGGTGCACCCACTGCAGACAGTGACGGCCCTCTGCTACACCCAACCCAACCACTCCTCAGCCGCAGCAGCAGCAGCAGCAGCAGCAGCAGCAGCGGCGGCGGCGGCAGCAGCAGCAGCAGCAGCAGCGGCGGCGGCGGCGGCGGCGGCGGCGGCGGCAGCAGCAGCAGCAGCAGCGGCAGCGGCGGCAGCAGCAGCAAGCACTGCCGTACCTCTGCCCACCCCAAACCCCTCTTCGTCATCTTACTTCCATCCCCACCCGCAGTCACTGCTACACCCATGCCCCCACCCCTTGCCCCCACCCCTTGCCCCCACCCCTTGCCCCCACCCCTTGCCCCCACCCCTTGCCCCCACCCCATGCCCCCACCCCTTGCCCCCACCCCATGCCCCCACCCCTTGCCCCCACCCCTTGCCCCCACCCCATGCCCCCACCCCTTGCCCCCACCCCATGCCCCCACCCCTTGCCCCCACCCCATGCCCCCACCCCTTGCCCCCACCCCTTGCCCCCACCCCTTGCCCCCACCCCTTGCCCCCACCCCTTGCCCCCACCCCTTGCCCCCACCCCTTGCCCCCACCCCTTGCCCCCACCCCTTGCCCCCACCCCTTGCCTTGCCAGACATCAAACCCCTACTCTGCTCTGCCCCCTTGAACAAGGCACGCAAGGTGCCTCCAAGCCCTGAACACACCCACCTGCTGGCATTGCTGCACCTCTGCTCCCACCCACGATACCTCAATTATTGAGGCGCCTCAAAAATAGACTCCTCATGAATGGGTTTTATGTAGAGAGATTGTTTGTTGCTTGGAAAATTGGGTGTTGCTTATTGAAGAGATTGGTGTGCGCGCGGCTTCCGACGCTGCCTACTGGGGAGGGTTCGAGCTCAACTACTTTTCAAGACAACCTCGAGGTTTGGAGACCTGGCGTCTTGGCTTTTGTCAGGATGGCCTGGATTGGTCTCCAAAATTTTTGGTCGACCAGGGTGAAGATAACCTAGAGTTTTGTTTAACGGATGCGTAGCTTCTGCTTAGGGGCTTTGCTTTGCTCGAATTTTCTCATTGGCACCGATGAAGGCTTGCTAGGGATTTCCCTAAACAGCCGAAACATGTTTGTCCCCTTGTTTCAATCGTTGTTACGAGAAGAGCTCCTGTTTTTTCCGAACTCTTGGCTACTTAAGCTCTAAGCATTTTACTGTTTTTCCTAACTTGTCAAAATTGACCTCTACGACTGCGCTCACTGGAAGAATGTCCGAAGGTCTGCTAACACCTGCTGGCATTGCTGCACCTCTGCCCCCACCCACGATAGCTCAATTCTCTTCTCCACCCTTCCTTCCCCTCCTAGCACCCACCTGCAGGCAGTGCTGCACCTCTGCTCCAATCCGCACTGCCTCAGAGAAGGTGGTTGCTCCCACTGGCAGGACGGAGAGGGACTGTGGTGGAGGTTAGTGGGCGGGGATGTGGGGGAGGAAGTGGGGTTGGATAAGAATGAGGAAGAGGGACGACAGCAGTGCTGTACCTCTGCCCCCACCCGCACTGCCTCAGAGAAGGTGGTCGCTCCCACTGGCAGGATGGAAAGGGACTGCAGGTGGTGTGGGTGAATAAGGATGTGTGGGAGGAAGAGGATAGGGGGAAGAATGAGGAAGGGGGGCGACAGCACTGCTGCACCTCTGCTCCAATCAGCGCTGCTTCAGGGAAGGTGGTTGCTCCCACTGGCAGGATGGAGAGGGACTGGGGGAAGGAGTAGGGATGGGGGGGGGAGAGGAGGAGGAGGGATGAGGGTGGGAGAGGAGGAGGGACGAGGATGGGAGAAGAGGAGGGATGGGGGGGGGAGAGGAGGAGGGATGGGGCCGGGGGGTGGGGGAGGGAGGAGGGAGGCGAAAGAGGCGGCAGAGCAGGGCGTGAGAAGGACACCGGAAAGGAGGGCAGACTGGGACCTTTGACCCTCACTACTATCCAACAAGGCTGCTGCGACGAGGGCAATCCAAGGAGGCTGCTGCCACATGCACTCACATGGAAGGGAGGTGACGCGGCGGAGGGGACTTTTGAGTCGACTCAAAAGGTGACTTTTGACTTTTGAGTCGACTCAAAAGGTGACTTTTGAATTTTGACTTTTGAGTCGACTCAAAAGGTGACTTTTGACTTTTGACTTTTGAGTCGGCTCAAAAGTCACCTCGTTGGCAATCCAAGGAGGCTGCTGCCTCGTGCACTCACATGGAAGGGAGGTGACGCGGCGGAGGGGGGCGTGAGGACACCGGAGAGGAGGGCAAACTCTGGCACGGGGAGAGAGGGGTGGGGGACGGCTGCCAGGGATGCGATGTACTCGTGCACTGGCACCTGCGGTTATGTCAGAGGAGACAGAGGAAGGGCAGCAGAGGAGAGTGGAGTGGGGGACAGTTGCCAGCGAGGCGATGCACTCGAGCACTGGCACCCAACGTTCAGTTCAGAGCAGGGGAGGAAAGCAACGTTCAGTTCAGAGCAGGGGAGGAAAGCAGAGGAGCGGCAGCAGAGGGATCTATTTTTGAGGCGCCTCAAAAATAGACTCCTCACGCAGAGGGAGGAGAGGAGTGGAAAGAGGGCGGCAGAGAGGTGACCAAACTCCGGCACATGGAGAGAGAAAGTGGGGAGGAAGGAGATACGCATTGGTGCGCTGGCGATAGAGAGATACAAGAAGGGGGGAGGATTGGATGCTGTTAAGGGATAGTAGGGCGAGGTGGAGGGGGGGGAGGGGGATGAGGGGAGAAAGAGGAGGTGAGAGAAGCGGGAGAGAGGGTGAGGGACGTCATTAAGGGATGCGAAGTACTCGTGCACCGGCAAAGGAAGACACACGAATTCAAAGAGAAGAAGAGGATAGGCGAAGGGTGGTTTGTTGTGGGGGGAGGTAGAGAATATGGGAAGAGAAGAAAGAGGGGGAAGAGGAAATAAGGACTCATGACATTACAAACATAAGGACTCGTGACTCGTTACAAACATGCTGCCATGGGAGTGGGGCCCTCATCAAGTTCCCAACTCCCTCCTTCACTCCTCCTGCCCGGCACACTGTCGGAACACCTTCTCTTTGCCCTTCTCTCTCTCCCGCCCCTCAACTTTTCTCTCTCCCTCCTCTCACCTCTCCCTCTGCCGCCCCTGCCCGGCACACTGCCAGAGACACGGCGAGAATGGCATTGGCTCCCAGCTCCCCCTGCAGAAAAGGGGGGGGAGGCACACGGGACGGGGGGTGGGGGGTGGGAGGGGAGAATGGAGAGGGCGAGACGCGTGTGAGAATGGCACTCCCAGCTTGCCCTGCAGGAGAGGGAGGGAAAGAAGGGGGACGTTTGAGTCGACTCAAAAGTCACCTCGTGAGACCGGGAGAGGGAAGAAGGGGGTGCGACCGGGAGGATGGGGACACCGGGAAAGATGGGAGTGCGAGAAAGAGGCACGGACAACATTGGAGTCCTGCTCCCCCTGACATCTAGGGCGACAATGAAAGAACCCTCACCATCTGCTCACCTCACCCTCACCCCCCTCTTGGAGCATGAAGGAAGGTACGGGGGGGGGCCTGACATCTAGTGACCCTCTTTTACTCATGTCCTGAAGAGGGACCGTAGATGCCAGGACCCTAGATGGCATTATCGCCCTGAATCTCCATCACCCCCCCTCCCCCTTCCCTCCCCGTTCCCTTCCCCCCCTCTCCCCCATCCCCCCTGCAGCAATACATTTCTGCTCCCCTCCAGAAACCCTCCCCATCCTCCCCCCCCTCTCCCCCCCCCAATCCCCCCCCTCTCCACCCACCTTGTCGTCCGTCTGATCCAGCTCAGAAGACAAGAGCGCCCTGTTGCTCAGAAGACAAGAGCGCCCTGTTGCTCAGAAGACAAGAGCGCCCTGTTGCTCAGAAGACAAGAGCGCCCTGTTGCTCAGAAGACAAGAGCGCCCTGTTGCTCAGAAGACAAGAGCGCCCTGTTGCTCAGAAGACAAGAGCGCCCTGTTGCTCAGAAGACAAGAGCGCCCTGTTGCTCAGAAGACAAGAGCGCCCTGTTGCTCAGAAGACAAGAGCGCCCTGTTGCTCAGAAGACAAGAGCGCCCTGTTGCTCAGAAGACAAGAGCGCCCTGTTGCTCAGAAGACAAGAGCGCCCTGTTGCTCAGAAGACAAGAGCGCCCTGTTGCTCAGAAGACAAGAGCGCCCTGTTGCTCAGAAGACAAGAGCGCCCTGTTGCTCAGAAGACAAGAGCGCCCTGTTGCTCAGAAGACAAGAGCGCCCTGTTGCTCAGAAGACAAGAGCGCCCTGTTGCTCAGAAGACAAGAGCGCCCTGTTGCTCAGAAGACAAGAGCGCCCTGTTGCTCAGAAGACAAGAGCGCCCTGTTGCTCAGAAGACAAGAGCGCCCTGTTGCTCAGAAGACAAGAGCGCCCTGTTGCTCAGAAGACAAGAGCGCCCTGTTGCTCAGAAGACAAGAGCGCCCTGTTGCTCAGAAGACAAGAGCGCCCTGTTGCTCAGAAGACAAGAGCGCCCTGTTGCTCAGAAGACAAGAGCGCCCTGTTGCTCAGAAGACAAGAGCGCCCTGTTGCTCAGAAGACAAGAGCGCCCTGTTGCTCAGAAGACAAGAGCGCCCTGTTGCTCAGAAGACAAGAGCGCCCTGTTGCTCAGAAGACAAGAGCGCCCTGTTGCTCAGAAGACAAGAGCGCCCTGTTGCTCAGAAGACAAGAGCGCCCTGTTGCTCAGAAGACAAGAGCGCCCTGTTGCTCAGAAGACAAGAGCGCCCTGTTGCTCAGAAGACAAGAGCGCCCTGTTGCTCAGAAGACAAGAGCGCCCTGTTGCTCAGAAGACAAGAGCGCCCTGTTGCTCAGAAGACAAGAGCGCCCTGTTGCTCAGAAGACAAGAGCGCCTGGCCAGAAGACAAGAGCGCCCTGTTGCTCAGAAGACAAGAGCGCCCTGTTGCTCAGAAGACAAGAGCGCCCTGTTGCTCAGAAGACAAGAGCGCCCTGTTGCTCAGAAGACAAGAGCGCCCTGTTGCTCAGAAGACAAGAGCGCCCTGTTGCTCAGAAGACAAGAGCGCCCTGTTGCTCAGAAGACAAGAGCGCCCTGTTGCTCAGAAGACAAGAGCGCCCTGTTGCTCAGAAGACAAGAGCGCCCTGTTGCTCAGAAGACAAGAGCGCCCTGTTGCTCAGAAGACAAGAGCGCCCTGTTGCTCAGAAGACAAGAGCGCCCTGTTGCTCAGAAGACAAGAGCGCCCTGTTGCTCAGAAGACAAGAGCGCCCTGTTGCTCAGAAGACAAGAGCGCCCTGTTGCTCAGAAGACAAGAGCGCCCTGTTGCTCAGAAGACAAGAGCGCCCTGTTGCTCAGAAGACAAGAGCGCCCTGTTGCTCAGAAGACAAGAGCGCCCTGTTGCTCAGAAGACAAGAGCGCCCTGTTGCTCAGAAGACAAGAGCGCCCTGTTGCTCAGAAGACAAGAGCGCCCTGTTGCTCAGAAGACAAGAGCGCCCTGTTGCTCAGAAGACAAGAGCGCCCTGTTGCTCAGAAGACAAGAGCGCCCTGTTGCTCAGAAGACAAGAGCGCCCTGTTGCTCAGAAGACAAGAGCGCCCTGTTGCTCAGAAGACAAGAGCGCCCTGTTGCTCAGAAGACAAGAGCGCCCTGTTGCTCAGAAGACAAGAGCGCCCTGTTGCTCAGAAGACAAGAGCGCCCTGTTGCTCAGAAGACAAGAGCGCCCTGTTGCTCAGAAGACAAGAGCGCCCTGTTGCTCAGAAGACAAGAGCGCCCTGTTGCTCAGAAGACAAGAGCGCCCTGTTGCTCAGAAGACAAGAGCGCCCTGTTGCTCAGAAGACAAGAGCGCCCTGTTGCTCAGAAGACAGACAAGAGCGCCCTGTTGCTCAGAAGACAAGAGCGCCCTGTTGCTCAGAAGACAAGAGCGCCCTGTTGCTCAGAAGACAAGAGCGCCCTGTTGCTCAGAAGACAAGAGCGCCCTGTTGCTCAGAAGACAAGAGCGCCCTGTTGCTCAGAAGACAAGAGCGCCCTGTTGCTCAGAAGACAAGAGCGCCCTGTTGCTCAGAAGACAAGAGCGCCCTGTTGCTCAGAAGACAAGAGCGCCCTGTTGCTCAGAAGACAAGAGCGCCCTGTTGCTCAGAAGACAAGAGCGCCCTGTTGCTCAGAAGACAAGAGCGCCCTGTTGCTCAGAAGACAAGAGCGCCCTGTTGCTCAGAAGACAAGAGCGCCCTGTTGCTCAGAAGACAAGAGCGCCCTGTTGCTCAGAAGACAAGAGCGCCCTGTTGCTCAGAAGACAAGAGCGCCCTGTTGCTCAGAAGACAAGAGCGCCCTGTTGCTCAGAAGACAAGAGCGCCCTGTTGCTCAGAAGACAAGAGCGCCCTGTTGCTCAGAAGACAAGAGCGCCCTGTTGCTCAGAAGACAAGAGCGCCCTGTTGCTCAGAAGACAAGAGCGCCCTGTTGCTCAGAAGACAAGAGCGCCCTGTTGCTCAGAAGACAAGAGCGCCCTGTTGCTCAGAAGACAAGAGCGCCCTGTTGCTCAGAAGACAAGAGCGCCCTGTTGCTCAGAAGACAAGAGCGCCCTGTTGCTCAGAAGACAAGAGCGCCCTGTTGCTCAGAAGACAAGAGCGCCCTGTTGCTCAGAAGACAAGAGCGCCCTGTTGCTCAGAAGACAAGAGCGCCCTGTTGCTCAGAAGACAAGAGCGCCCTGTTGCTCAGAAGACAAGAGCGCCCTGTTGCTCAGAAGACAAGAGCGCCCTGTTGCTCAGAAGACAAGAGCGCCCTGTTGCTCAGAAGACAAGAGCGCCCTGTTGCTCAGAAGACAAGAGCGCCCTGTTGCTCAGAAGACAAGAGCGCCCTGTTGCTCAGAAGACAAGAGCGCCCTGTTGCTCAGAAGACAAGAGCGCCCTGTTGCTCAGAAGACAAGAGCGCCCTGTTGCTCAGAAGACAAGAGCGCCCTGTTGCTCAGAAGACAAGAGCGCCCTGTTGCTCAGAAGACAAGAGCGCCCTGTTGCTCAGAAGACAAGAGCGCCCTGTTGCTCAGAAGACAAGAGCGCCCTGTTGCTCAGAAGACAAGAGCGCCCTGTTGCTCAGAAGACAAGAGCGCCCTGTTGCTCAGAAGACAAGAGCGCCCTGTTGCTCAGAAGACAAGAGCGCCCTGTTGCTCAGAAGACAAGAGCGCCCTGTTGCTCAGAAGACAAGAGCGCCCTGTTGCTCAGAAGACAAGAGCGCCCTGTTGCTCAGAAGACAAGAGCGCCCTGTTGCTCAGAAGACAAGAGCGCCCTGTTGCTCAGAAGACAAGAGCGCCCTGTTGCTCAGAAGACAAGAGCGCCCTGTTGCTCAGAAGACAAGAGCGCCCTGTTGCTCAGAAGACAAGAGCGCCCTGTTGCTCAGAAGACAAGAGCGCCCTGTTGCTCAGAAGACAAGAGCGCCCTGTTGCTCAGAAGACAAGAGCGCCCTGTTGCTCAGAAGACAAGAGCGCCCTGTTGCTCAGAAGACAAGAGCGCCCTGTTGCTCAGAAGACAAGAGCGCCCTGTTGCTCAGAAGACAAGAGCGCCCTGTTGCTCAGAAGACAAGAGCGCCCTGTTGCTCAGAAGACAAGAGCGCCCTGTTGCTCAGAAGACAAGAGCGCCCTGTTGCTCAGAAGACAAGAGCGCCCTGTTGCTCAGAAGACAAGAGCGCCCTGTTGCTCAGAAGACAAGAGCGCCCTGTTGCTCAGAAGACAAGAGCGCCCTGTTGCTCAGAAGACAAGAGCGCCCTGTTGCTCAGAAGACAAGAGCGCCCTGTTGCTCAGAAGACAAGAGCGCCCTGTTGCTCAGAAGACAAGAGCGCCCTGTTGCTCAGAAGACAAGAGCGCCCTGTTGCTCAGAGCGCCCTGTTGCTCAGAAGACAAGAGCGCCCTGTTGCTCAGAAGACAAGAGCGCCCTGTTGCTCAGAAGACAAGAGCGCCCTGTTGCTCAGAAGACAAGAGCGCCCTGTTGCTCAGAAGACAAGAGCGCCCTGTTGCTCAGAAGACAAGAGCGCCCTGTTGCTCAGAAGACAAGAGCGCCCTGTTGCTCAGAAGACAAGAGCGCCCTGTTGCTCAGAAGACAAGAGCGCCCTGTTGCTCAGAAGACAAGAGCGCCCTGTTGCTCAGAAGACAAGAGCGCCCTGTTGCTCAGAAGACAAGAGCGCCCTGTTGCTCAGAAGACAAGAGCGCCCTGTTGCTCAGAAGACAAGAGCGCCCTGTTGCTCAGAAGACAAGAGCGCCCTGTTGCTCAGAAGACAAGAGCGCCCTGTTGCTCAGAAGACAAGAGCGCCCTGTTGCTCAGAAGACAAGAGCGCCCTGTTGCTCAGAAGACAAGAGCGCCCTGTTGCTCAGAAGACAAGAGCGCCCTGTTGCTCAGAAGACAAGAGCGCCCTGTTGCTCAGAAGACAAGAGCGCCCTGTTGCTCAGAAGACAAGAGCGCCCTGTTGCTCAGAAGACAAGAGCGCCCTGTTGCTCAGAAGACAAGAGCGCCCTGTTGCTCAGAAGACAAGAGCGCCCTGTTGCTCAGAAGACAAGAGCGCCCTGTTGCTCAGAAGACAAGAGCGCCCTGTTGCTCAGAAGACAAGAGCGCCCTGTTGCTCAGAAGACAAGAGCGCCCTGTTGCTCAGAAGACAAGAGCGCCCTGTTGCTCAGAAGACAAGAGCGCCCTGTTGCTCAGAAGACAAGAGCGCCCTGTTGCTCAGAAGACTGACAGAAGACATGAGCCTGTCAATCTTCCCCTGCTGCGAGGGTCCCTACCCCCCTTGAAGGTCCTTACTACCCCCCTGGAAGGTCCCTACCCCCCCGGAAGGTCCCTACCCCCCCGGAAGGTCCCTACCCCCACGCTCACCTTGTTGTCCGTCTGATCCAGCTCAGCTGCCATGAGCCTATCCATCTCCCCTTGCTCCCGCGGGTCCCTCCCCACCACGGCTGCTGCAATCGCCTGATTCACGTTGGCCACCGCCCTCTGCAGCCCCTTGCCAAAATACACTCCCTCCTCCCCATCCCGCACCTCCACTGCCTCGTAGCTGGGAGAAAAGAGTGGTGGGAAGAGAGAGAGAGTGGAGACGACAGTCCGAGGTGCTGCAATCGCCTCCTTCACACGTTAACCACCGCCCTCTGCAGCCGCCTGCCAAAGAAGGTAGTCTCCATTCCAAAGCAGGTAGCTCCACAGGTGGAATACCTACCATTCCATTTCCCACCACTGCTGCTCCACAGCTGAATGAGCTTTGGGGGGGATACGGGTGGCGTTTGAGTCGACTCAAAAGTTTTGCGGGGGATACGGGTGGCGTGCTCTGCCCGGAGGCCAGAGGCATCACACGTCTTCCCGCTGATGCGATAAGGGGAGGAAGGCATTGTGGAAATGGCACGGCACGGCAGGGGGTGATGATGCGAGGAAGGGCGATCGCTCGATTGTGGCGCACCGTAACACTGCCACGGCTCCGACAGGCGCATCACAACATGGGGGCTTTTCCCGCATGTCGTGTCACGCCAGAGGCAACAAGTGCTGTACCATGAAACGCCCTCACATGCCAGATGTAACGCCCTCACATGCCAGATGTAACGCCGGTGGGAACGGAGGCGCGGAACTTCCCTCTGTGCGAGCACACCTCCGCCTCCAGTGTGGGCTCGCCCCGCGCATCCAGCACCATGCGCCCCTTCACGCTCAGAATGGTTGACGGGGCTAGGCGTTGTAAATGGCGTGCCTGGGAGAGATGGGGGAGAGGACAGGACAGTTGGGATTCTTGAGTCGTGATGGGGAAGAGGTCGTGACTCGTGAGTCGCCTCCAGCACGGATTCTTTCCCCCCGCGCGTCCAGCGCTATGCGCCCCTTCACGCTCAGTACCACAGCTGGGGAGAGTCGGTGCAAGTGACGTGCCTGGGAGTGGAGGAGAGGCAGGAGGGGAGAGGTCTTGTCGGCTCATGCCGCGCGTCCAGAGCTGGTTTCCGGTGTCGGCTCCCCCTGCGCGTCCAGCACCATCCGCCCCTTCGCGCTCAGAATGGTCCAAGGCGCCAACCGTTGCACCGTGCATTGACGGCCTCCGACAGCGACAGATTGCAATGGACAATCAGCGGGACGGCTTACGACGAGTATAAGCGGATTAGCTTACAATGAATGCGATGGGTTGATCTGTTTTGGCGCGCGCTGCTGCATTGACCGCCTCCTCTATCCGCAGCGACAGCTTGCAGTGAGCGTTAACGGACGAGCTTACAACGAGCATCAAGTGAGCTTATGACGAGTATAAGCAAATGAGCTTACAATGAATGCGACGGGTTCATCTGTCTTGGCCCGCACGGCCGCGTTGACCGCCTCCTCTATCCGCAGCGACAGCTTGTGGCGATCCAAGTACTCCTGCACCGTCATCGACATGCTTACGTCACTCGCACTCGCCCTCGCTCACTCGCACTCGCCCTCACTCACTCTTACTCGCTCCTTCACGCACTCTCACGCGCTGTCCCTCACCTCACTCTCTCACTCACTTTACTTCGAAATCCGTTCGCGCGCTCTCTCTCGCGCCGCTCTCGGGAACTATGCACAGCCTCCTTCACGCGGGATGTTGGAAAACGAAACGCGTGCTTTAACCGCGTCTCCCTAACCCCGACTGCAGCCTCGGTCCTTTGTCTCGCCCGTTCGTTCCCGCAACTGTGAACGCCGATTCGCCACTTTTTACCCTCTCTTCTCTCTCAAACTACTATTTTCATTCGACAAGTGTCTCTTCTAGACGGCTCGTGCAAATAGAATTCGGAAGTATTCTGTCCGCAAAATCCGCTTGGCTGCTGTGACTTGCGCTGAATGTGGAGAGGGAAGGGAGAAATAATGCTGACAGTGCCTACATTCATCCCCGTCTCAGCCCCTCCGTTTCCCGCTGTAAGCTCCTCAAAATCAGATTCTATAATGCATATGGAAGGAAGTTTTGGGATCAATATCAATCCGCCACCGTACTGCGCCCAAGCTAAACTACTCTGCACCTTATAATGCCGCGTCCAATCCCGTTGGAAGAAAGATCCTGGGGGCGATCGATCCTGATTCTCAATTCAGAGTGTTCTGCCAGAGCCAGGTTCGCTCCACGCCGTTCCTCAGCCGAACTTCGCCCTTCTGCGAACAAGCGATGCTAGCTGCGATCTCGCAACTCTGCTTCCATTTTCGAGGCCGACTAAAAACGTCGCTAAATGTAACAGTTAACGAATCAGGCGATGTGGAAGGTATTCGTGCAAAGTGCGAGGAGCGCTTGGTTGGTTGGGAGTGAGCTGGCGACGTATGCGAACCTGGGTGCAAATAACGTTCGAACACTAGTTTGTAGTGCCCTCTACTAGGACGGGCTTAAATAGTTCAAACCTTATTCATTTCGTGAGTAGTAACCTGATTGTAATTTGTAACACCTTAATTAAGGTTTCGCCAGGACACGAAAGAAACTCACGCGCACCGCGGCTTCACATGCTTCGGGCCATGTACCAGACTTCGGATTGGTAACGTAAGAAAGCCATGAGGTACAAGATTTGGGGATGGGGTTCCAAGTGTGTCGCACCTGGATTTCGCCCCACTGGCTGTGGCGAAACCAGGCGACGTCGCGAATGCATCTGCGCGCGCGACGCCAGACCACATCCGCGACCGAACCTGCCGCAAGTTGAGTGTCTCTCTCACATGTGGATATGGTGATTTCCCCGCCTTTTGTATTTTATGCGCTGCGAAACAGATGTTTCGCGCAGGTATACATTTGGTAACTGCGTTTTGGGCCGTTGCGCACCGTTCGGTTTTGCGCGCCGTACACATCTCGACAATCGGCGTCCCGCTTGTGTGCTACGTGCGAACGGGGACACAATTTCTGGTGTTTACGAATTCAGAATCGTTTCATGGATCTGTACCCGGATTGGTAAATCGTGTCCCAAACCCCGAAATGAACTATTTGGAGCCGCCCTTACGGTACGAAACTGACACCGTATTGACGACGAGCCAAGTTCAGCCGAATGCGCCCCTCTGATACCATGGTCGAACAGGAGGAACGTGCCAGCATTGTAACACGAGCCATAGTGCTCACTGGTGAGGTGAGGCATTCGAGCCAGCAACAGCAATCCATTGCTCGGTAGACGTCGGGCCAAATTTGCGCACTCGACGCAGCAAGTACAGTATGCTTGAGACGTGACAGAACCGAACGGGACGTGCTTTTTGGAGTGGAAGGGATCACTGTAGCGATGGCTGATAGTGGACGGGAGGATGGCGAAATGGTCGCTCGAGAGGTTTCTAAGGGACAGAATGACACGGACGAGTCTAATGGGACTAAGGACGAAGGCGACTTAGTGGAGATTAAGATCGTCGATGATAAAGCGGCACGGGGGTTAGTAAGCGATGAGAAGCGGAAAGCGGCGGGGGGGAAGAAGCGGAAGAAGAAGCGGCCGGCGGGGCGGAAGTGGGCGGTGTTGGTTGTCGGGATGCGGGGGGAGGCGGAGCTGTTACAGTGCACGAAGCAGGCCATCATGCGCCGCGTGTCCGTCCCCGCGCGCGATCTGCGCCTGCACGGCCCGCTACTATCCCCCGCCGCTGCCATTCTAGGTGCGCTTTGAACTACTCTAAGCAAAGTCGGTCCGCGCGCGCGACGTGCGCTTGCATTGCCCTTGCTCTCCCCAGGCCGCTGCTATTCTCGGTGCGCGTTGAGTCAGAGGCGAAGCGAAATGTGCGCCGCGTGTCCGTTCTCGCGCGCGACCTGCTGCCGCGATTCTCGGCGAGTCTTAATAAACACAGTATTCGAGAATGTCAGGGACGCGGCGACACGCAAAATGCACGCCCAGTGCCCTAATTAACCACCCGACCCCATACCCTGTGGTGAGTGAATCTGAAACACATCAGATTGTCACATCTGCTCTTCTACCCTCTCCTTCCTTCCCCAGCTCTGCTACCCTCCTCGTGGTTACCGTGTTACAGGCAGGGAGGGGTGCATGATGGTGATTTTCTAGTCGACTCAAAAATCACCTTCCCCTGCTCCCTCCATGTGGTTACCGTGTTACAGGCCGGGAGGGGTGCATGATGGTGAACCTGGAGCACATCAAGGCCATCATCTCCGCTCACGAGCTGCTCCTCTTCCACCCCTCCTCGCCGCCCGTCGCCGCCTTCGCCGCCCACCTGGAGCGCGTGCTGGCCATGGCTCCCGGAGACGTGCTGGCACAGGGAAAAAATCAGGCTCCAACTCAGGCCGGGGCGCATGCCGGGGCGCAGGCAGGGGCACAGGGGAAGGAAAAGACACAGGCACAGGAGCAGGCACGGACACATGCTCATGCCCATGCTGCTGAGGAGACAGATATGCAGAAGAGAGGGGAGGAAGCAGAACGGAAGGAGGAAATCAGATGGGGGAGAGGAGGTGAGGGGAGAGGGGGGGAAGCAGGTTCGGCAGGAGAGCGAGGCAGAAGTGTAGGTGGAGAGCAATGCGGGGAGGGAGAGATTGAGGTCGTTGGAATCGCCACGGGAAGAAACGAGGGTGAAACACGAGGTGTGGGGGATGGAGGAGACAGAGGAGGGGAGATAGAAGGAGGGAGGGAGGGGGAGAGGAGAGCAGAACGAGGGGCAGTAGAAGCTGTGAGGGAACGAGAAAAGGGGGAGGAGGAGGAGGAGGAGGAGGAGGAGGAGGAGGAGGATGAGCTACTCCCATTCGAGTTCCGCGTGCTGGAGCTGATTCTAGAGGCCGTGGTGAGCGGCAAGCTGGAGCCGGAGTGCCGCGAGCTGGAGAGGGACGCGTACTCGGCTCTCGACTCTCTTGCGAAGGCGGTCAGCACTGCGAGTTTGGAGACTGTCAGAGGGGTGAAGAACCGACTCACCGTGCTGACCTCCCGGGTTCAAAAGGTGAGGTGAGGAGGGAGAGGGGTTGTTTCAGCTGATTTAGAGAGACATTGTAGGTCAAAATCTGTAAGCATGCTGGCCTTGGTGGGTGCTGGAGCTGATTCTAGAGGCTGTGGTGAGCGGCAAGCTGGAGCAGGAGTGCAGAGCACTGGAGAGAGACGCGTATGCGGCGCTTGAATCGCTGGCAAAGGCTGTCAGCGCTGCCAGCTTGGAGGCAGTGAGAGGGGTGCAGAACCGGCTGACCATGCTCTCTCTTGCCCTCCCCGCTGCCGTCTCTCTCCCTGGTGCCTTCCCTCCCCCTCCGATCAGGTCCGAGGCGAGTTGGAGCATGTATGGCAGGGAGACGCCAGCGGCACGGCAGGGGCACGGCAGGGGCAAGTTGGAGCACCTCACCCACTGCTGCTGCTCCCTCTTCTCTCCTCTCCCTTGCGCTCTCTGTCATCAGGTGCGGGACGAGTTGGAGCACCTGCTAGATGACGACCAGGACATGGCAGACCTCTACCTCACTCGCCGCCTGCAGTGGCTCAGACTGCCCGACTCCCCCTCACACTCCTCCTCACGCTCTCCTTCGCACTCTCCCTCACACTCTCGCACACACTCTCCTTTGCACCCTACCTCACACTCTCCCTCACACTCTCCCTCACACTCTCCTTTACATCCTACCTCACACTCTCCCTCACCCTCACCCTCACCATCCCCTACTCCTGGCTCCCCTCCTCCCCATCTCCCACCCGCCATTTCTTCTTATCCTCCCTCTGCTGCCACTCCTGCTTCCACAGCTGCTCTCTCTCCTGCTGCACCTCCCCTTCTCATACCTTCCGTCTCTGCTGTTGGTGCTTCTTCCCCCACTCCCCCTCTCACCATCGCACAAGTTACCTCCCCCGCACCCTCCGCCTCTGTATCTGTCTCTAGTCACGGGGACTCCCTCACTCACTCCCTCTCTCATTCCCTCACGCACTCCCTCCCCCCCTCGCTCTCTCACACACTCGCCTTCCTTCCTGTGACTGGAAGGAGCGTCCGCGGCTCAGGGAGAGGCGCATGGGGGGGCATGGGGGGAGCGATAAGGGGAGGGATGGGGGAAATGGGGGGATTGGGGGTGGGGGTGGGGACGGAGAGTACTGTGAGCTCGAGTGTGGTGAGTGTGGGAGGTGAGGATGTGGAGGAGCTGGAGATGCTGCTGGAGGCGTACTTCACGCAACTTGACCGTCTGTTGAACGACTTAACAGCGGTGAGTGATGTTGGGTGATGTGTGCTCTGCCATGCCATTCTATTGGCAAGTGTTCCGTTTACTTCATGGGAGGTGAGCATGTGGAGGAGCTGGAGATGCTGATTGGTGGCGTACTTCACTCACGTTGACCGCCTCGCTGCCAGAACGGCTGTTGAGCGATCTCACGGCGGTGAGTGAATGGTGTTCAGTGCTTGCCTCACCATCGTCTAGGCAAGTGTTTCGTTTGCTTCACACAAGGGGTAGGTGGGGAGGAGCTTGAGATTAGACACGGGCATGAGCCGAGCCTGGCTCGGCTCGCCTCGAGCCGGGCCGTCAGGATCCGTGGCTTGGCTCATCAGGGGGGCTTGTGTGGGCTCTCAATTGGGGCCACAGGGTTGGGGGTCTCTAGTCCGGGGCGTGGTCCAGATTGTTTAGCTGATCGTCTGCTTCTACATCTTACAAAACTCTCAGGACGTGCTGCAGGTTAAATAGGGCTGGTTGAGGGCGACAGGGTGAGGTTAGGGTTGGCAGGCGAAATGGGCGCGGGGGGGTTGGTCGATCTGAAGTTTGACAGTCGCAAAACCCCCCTTTCTTGAGCCGCGAGCCGGTTGGCTCGAGATTGAGCCAGCTCGAGTCGGCTCGACTCTGGCTCGCCTGATTTTGAGTGCGCGAGCCGAGCCGAGCCGCCGGCTCGAGTCGAGCCGAGCCGAGCCGAGCCAGGTGTGGCTCGGCTTGTGCCCATGTCTACTTGAGATGCTGCGAACCCGCCTCATCTCGCTCGCCCAAATCATGTCCCGCGGTTGGCATCCGGAGATCTGCTCCATGGTCGAGAGGAGCAGAGATGGGGTTAGGCGGCCCTGCATTATCAACCGACTTCCCCCCCCACACCCCTTCCCCCCTGTGCCCTTGAGCATGGGTTGCAACAACCATCTCGTTTTCCCAAGTATGAGCGATTGTCTCGGAGAAGGAAGGCGGAGCCCTCCCAGCCCGAGCACCCAATGTCTGCCTCGCATTGCTTTCTCGAGTTCCACCTGGATATGTGTGGCATTCAAGCAGGCTTGCCTTTTAGCGCAACGGGTGTTCAAAGTTTCGATAATTCACGGAGTTCGGCAATTCGCATTATGTGTTGCATTTTGATTCATTCTTCAACAAGCCAAGTTCGTAGAAATCCATCGTCAGGAGTGGGGTCCTGGTTCTTGTTTTTGAGAAATTTCGAAAACAAAACACGTCAGGAGTGGGGTCCTGGTTCTTATTAGGTGCCGGGGCTCGTGGGCGCCCAGCTCAAGAAGAGGGCTTTTGCGACCTGACGACCAGTCTCGGTTTGCAGAGAGATTTTCGTGTTTCGTGTTTTGTGGTCCGTGCTTCGTGCCCACCTGCAACTTGGTTTGACGCACTGCGAGCGGGATGGTTGGGGGGGTATCATAATGGGTCCCTTGCCATCAGCGCTCCGTCCCAGGCCTTCCTAGAGGAACTCATAAGGCTGGGCAAAGATCCCGATGCCACGAGAGATTGAGTACCAATGCCGGGGGATGTTAGGATGGGAAGAGAAGTGTTGGAAGGATACTTGAGGTCCGTCTTCCCTCGTTTATGCTTGGTGGGCCCAAGCCTCGTCCATCAGGGCTGGGGATTCGGTTTGGTTGAGCATGGACGCCCGGTGCCGGTGCCACCGGGTCATCTCAATTCCTGATGCCGAGGTCCGTCACGATCCAAACGGAATGAGCTTCGGTTGCCTTTGCACCACCCAAGCCGAGCGTATTCGCATCTAGCCTCGCTCCCGATCGCGGCTAGCCTTTCAGATGAGGGGCTCAATAAGCTCATTGCGTGGGAGGGGCCAGCAACCTGACCTTCTGCCAGAAAAGGTTCGCTTGGTCCCCCTGTGTTGCGAGCAGAGCAACCTGGAGGAGTTGAAGGCGGTCGTTTCGTCACTCGTTATTAGGGGCGTTTGCTGAGTTCTGGAATCAACCCAAGGTGGTGCCCCATGCCCGGCGGGGTGAGCTTTCCATTCGGCACCACAACCAATCCATTGATGCTCTCGCTATTTCGAGCCACCGCACCCCGCTTGCTCGCCAATTTCTCGCGAAAACGACGGAGACGCTTGCAGGGCATAGCCTGAGGTTGGGCTTCGTGCATTGCTCCGACGGATCCTCCGACGAGGCCACGGCCTCAAAGTTCCGGCAGCCGGCTGAACGCCGGCTGGCATCCTTCCGTGCCCTCGAGCATGCCCTGAGAGCTCGCTTCTTCCTTGGAGGACGTGAGAGCCCGCCATCTTTTTGCCAAGTGTGTTCCGCCAGGTCGCCTGGTTTGTTCTGCCTGGTTTGTTCTGCCTGGTTTGTCCTGCCTGGTTTGTCCTGCCAGGTTTGTCTTGCAAGGTTTGTCCTGCCTGGTTTGTTCTGCCAGGTTTGTCCTGAAAGGTTTGTTCAGCCAGGTTTGTTGTTTCGTGCCAAGGGATGCGGGGATGTGGTGGTGCTGCGGGTGCTGCTGGAGGCATACCATATTCCTTCACTCCTGCACTCACCTCATTTACTAGCGTAAATTGGCTGTTGATTGGTTTCACTGCAGCGAGTGCCACTACATGATTTTGAGTGCACTGCTGTGGGCGAATGGGATATGTGATAGGTTGAGATGATGTATGTATGAGTATGCGGGTGACACAGAGGATCATTTCAACACAGGCTGGACTGGACGACCATCACTCTCTCCCCGTACTCTCTCTCTCATATACCCCCCCCCCCCCCCACCCCCCTCCCCCGCCCCTTTTTCCTGTCCCCACTTCGCATGGGTATACACGGAGGGCCATGTGGAAGCACACACAACTTGATGCGTTTGATAGAAGTTCACTGTCGTTCCCCTTATGTTCCTTCCCCTTTCCCCCCCTCCCCATAGCTCCATGATTATGTGGGCTTGCATTTGAGTTGACTCAAAGGCCTTCTCTTACCAGACCTCTCCGGTTGTCCCCTTACACAGCTCCATGAGTAAGTGGGCGGCACAGAGGACCATGTCAACACACAGCTGGACTGCCATCTCTCCCCCTCATTCTGTCTCCATTTCGCCCTTTCCCTTCCACTCAGCTGCATGAGTATGTGGACGACACGGAGGACTATGTCAACACACAGCTGAACTATCGGCGGAACCAGCTGCAGGGAATGCAGGTGGGTGTTGATGACGTGGCATGGTGGTTAAAATAGATCCTCGGCAAACAGCGAACAGAAACGGGAGATTTCCACCATGGAGTTGGCAATATATTATGTCGTGGTTACAAGTTACAACATTAGCCTGGTTTTGCTGTCACGGTTTTTTTGTCACGGCTTTGCTGTCATGGTCCTGCTGTCATTAGCTGCATATGGTGACTTCCCTCCGCCCCCGTCCTGTTCCGTTCCAATCCACCGACGCCACCCTGCTTCAAGCCCCTCCTGTCCACCCCTCCTGTCCAACCCTCCTCTGCACACCCTTATTTTTCTTCAGGTCCTATTAACAGCTCCAAGAAGAGTGTGATCATATTGATAGTCAGCGCTACTAGGACCTAATTAGCACTTCCATTTCGAAGAACCTACCCAACGCTTTTTGGAAATAGGCAGCCGTTTCCTCCCCTCCCCTTTTGTGGCCCCATGCTCTCTTCTTCCCTTCAGGTTCTAATATCAGCCATGTGCTGTCGATTCACGCTCTTGCCGCCCCTTTTTATTCTGATTAACTTTCCAATTATCTTTTTCTCTAGGTCTTAATAACAGTGACAAGAACAGTGCAGTCACTTGCCATTGTGCTCATTGCCTTTTTCCCATCAACTCCTTGAACATTGTGCTTCCCTTCAGGTCTTAGTTACAGCAACGGGAATAGTGCTCTCAATCATTCTTGTGCTGCTTATCTTCACTTGGTCCTCACAAGTCTTGTCCTGATCCAAGTGTGCTGGCATGCGCCCTTACACATACTCCACCCCCTCTCCTCCCTCCCCACAGGTTCTAATCTCGACAACTGGAACAGTGCTGTCGGTTGTCATTGTGCTCATTGCAGCCTTTTCACAACGTAATTTTTTTTTACAACTGGATGGTCCTCCCCCCCTTTTTTTATCATCCGCCCTACACTCCCTCTCACCCACCCCCCAGGTTCTAATCACGGCAACGGGAACAGTGCTCGCGGTTGTCATTGTGATCATTGCAGCCTTTTCAGAGAACCTCCCCAACGCCCTCTATGAAACAGAGGGGAAATTTATCCCCTTCCTCCTCCCTCTGCTCGGCACTGCTGCGGCTATTCTGGGTGGTTTCTTCTACTACACTTGGTATTTCCAGATAATTACTTGATAGCGCAATGTGCTACACAAACTTGTCTGCTTTACACTATTCCTGCAATTTTGGCATGGCTCTGGGGGGCCACATGCTTGATTTCCTCATACCGTAGGTACTGAAAAAACATGGCAATGACATGGTGTTGGACCGGCTTGGTGATTGGGTGCTCCTGGAACTTGGGAGACTAGCAGCTAGAAATTGTTAGAAGGCTAGCTTAGCTAGAAAGCTAGGAAAGGCATGAGGTTTAGCTAGGAGGAGCCATGGAGTGGCGTGAGGTTTAGGAAGGAGAAAAGTTGAGAGAAAAGGGGGTTGGAATAGAAAGGGAGGCATACAAGGAGGGGATTGTACCCTCTACAGTAAAGTTCGGTCACCTACCAAGCCTAACAATTATATAACTAAATATAAAATTTTAATAGAAATACCTTTTGGATTTGGTTCGTGTAGCGCATTGGTTTCACGTAATGAAACCTTATGGATTTGGTTTCGTGTTTCTTGAGATCCTCGCTTCACCTGTTGCAGCAGTTAGTGCCAACAAATATATTTATATAGATTAGCTAGGTCACATTTAATTACAGCCTAGCTGGTTTAGTTCTTCGAGAGTACAGCCTCTTAACATAGGATTGAATGTCGAGAGAAAAGAGTACAAGGGTATAAGCCTAAGTGTTATACCCTCTAAGATACAAACTTATACAGTCTATACAAACATAAACTATATATATGTTTGACACACCCCCTAGACTGCATAGGTGCAGTTCCTGATGAGAGAAACGGCAACTCAGGGCGGCACTACTAGTCCAACCTCTGAGTCAAGGGTCTAAAGACCAGTCAAACAAGTACAGACCAGTGCAAGGGCAAGACCAGAGCGGCACTACTAGTCCAGCTACTGGGAGAGGCCACAAGGTCAATCGAGAATTAAAAAAATATATAAAGGTCAGTACATAGTCAAGGCCCTAGCAGGTGAGAGGTAACAGGAACAAGGCCTAGCTGTACATAGTGCCGCTGATGATCTTTAGGCGCAAGGGCCTTCGTAAAGATATCAGCTGTGTTGGCACCGGAAACCAAGTGTACTACGCGAGCCTGGCGACGCTACTGCAGCTCGCGCAGGAGGAAGTACCGCAGCTGGATGTGCTTTGCTCTGCCCTCAAGTCGAGGCTCCTAACACAGGAGGATCATGGCCCTGTTGTCAGCGTACAGGACTGGTGCAGAGCTAGGCCGCTCACCTAAGTCAGTGAGCAAGAAGGTCAGCCAGCGGAGCTCCTGTGCCGCCATGACACCGGCGTAGATCTCGGCCTCACAGCTGGACTGCGCAACAGACGAGGAGCGATTAGCTCTCCACGAGACAACACCTGAACCAAGGCTGAAACAGTAGCCCTGCGAGGACCTAAGGGTCTCAGCGTCGTCTGCCCAAGAAGTGTCTGTGTGCCCAGTAAGGACCACCGGCTTGCGTCCTCCCAGCACTAACCCCATGCCTGATGTACTCGCGAGATAACGCAAAACTCTTTTAGCTCCAGACCAGTGCTGAGGTCGGTGTCTGCCTGTGGCCACAAAGTGAGCCAGGATGCTGAGAGGGTATGCGAGATCTGAACGAGTGCAGGTCATCAGGTACATGAGGCAACCCACCAGCTCTCCGTAAGGACCACTGGGCTCTACTGACTTCTCAGGAACTGGAGCAGAGAGCCTGTGATCTACTGGAAGACGTGTGGGCTGTGCGGAGGAGAACTGAAGACCGAACCTCCGAAGGACCTGGTGCACCAAATGTGACCGGGTAAGAGTGATGGTGTGCGCTGCTCTGTCTCTGGAGATCTGCAGGCCCAGGTAGTGGCGCAATTCTCCTAGGTTAGTGCAGGTGTGTCTCCTCAGCAGCTCAGTCTTCACAAAGGCCAGCGCAGTGGTGTCTGCACCGGCAAAGACCAGGTCGTCTACGTAAACAAGGATGTAGAACGGAGTCTGGCCAGAACGAACAAAGAGCGAGGGGTCTGCGGAAGACGGAAAGAACTTCAGGTCTGCAGTGCCCGAAGAGTAGTCATCATCGGCGTCGGGGCGAAAGTCTGAAAGAAGTCCACCCCCTCACGCTGACTAAAGCCTCTAGCCACGTGGCGCGCCTTGAACACAGGCGGCTCTCCAGGAGGGCGCTTCATCTTGAAGAGCCAGCGGCCATCGACTACGTTCACCCCAGGTGGCGGAACAGCGTCGACGTAGGTGTCGGTGGATCTCCAAGATGCCATCTCCTGCTCCATGGCAGCTATCCACTGAGAGGCCCAAGGTCTCGAGGGTACTGGCGGTACTGGCGGTCCTCCAAGACGTCACTGCCGAGGGCAGGAGCACCCCCGACAGACGGAGGACAGGCAGGGTCAGAGACCAGAGTGGTGGCGTAGTCAAGGCGGCGGGTAGAGGCGAAGTCAGCGACCGCAGCGACAAGAGCGGCGAGACACGAGACCGGAACAGACGGGTCGGTAACGAGAGAGGTAAGGACCCGAGGATCAAGGGGACGAGCGGCTCGAAGGTAGTCAGACAAGGGGGGAGGCGCAACAACAAGAGAGGACGGAGGCGGCGACGGTAGGAGTGGAGAACGAGACGCGTGAGAACGAAGCAACATAGGATGAGAGCGCTGGACAGGGGAGACAGGGCGAGCACGGGAGGGACGACGAGACCAGACGTGAGACGGAGGCGTCGAGTCAGGAGATAGAGGAGGGGACACAGGAGGGGAACGAGGAGGAAGAAGAGCCGAAGACCAGTCCGGGGAAGGGAACACAGGGCCGTAGACAGGAAGGGGAGGAGATGGCAGGGGAGGCACAGACAGGTGGTCAGGGGAGGGGAGGTCGAGCAGGCGAAGGGCTGATACCGGCGGTGACTGCTGCTGCGGTGGCACGACACCGTCACCGGGACAGCAAGCTGCCTCACGGCTACCTCCAGATCACTCCACTCCAGCACCCCTAGAAGGAACACTCCTAGAGCCTGAAACCCCGCGAACACCGGTACCACCCCCAGGCCCGCCGGGACAAGCCACAACAGGAACCCCAGGACTAGTACCCACCCCAGCGCCAACACCCCCAGAGTCAACGAATTGCTGCTGCGACGCTTGCGGCGACGGCGGTAGCGGCGGCGGCGGCGGTGACGGCGGCTGCGACAGCGGCGGTGGCGGCGGCGACGGCGGCTGCGACAGCGGCGGCGACGGCAGCTGCGAAGGCGGTGGAGGAGGAGACGCCTGGGAAGGGGCAGGCGGCAAGGAGTGCACTGCAGGGCCACCAGAGTCAGCAGAATCCTCGACCGGGACAACCGACGCGAGGGGAGTGACGTGAGACACACCAGACGGTGCAAGACGGGGAGGGGGAGGGGGGTGGACAGGGGCGACTGGGGAAGGGGTGACCAAGAACAAGGGGGGAGTAATCGAGGGACCTCTGTGGGGGAAGCGGCGGTAGAAGGAGACGGACTTGTCAAAGGTGACGTCACGGGAGTGAAAGAACCAGTGAGATGACGGGTGGTAGAAGTGCCAGTCAGACGCGTCAAGGGGGAAACCGAGGAAGACACAAGGGAGGGTGTGAGCAGTGAGCTTGTCCATGCCAGAGGCACGAACGTGAGCAAGGCAGCCCCAGTCGTGAAACGCAGAGGCGTCACCGAGAGACCCGGACCAAAGAAGGGTCGGCGAAACCTGCGGCTGCTGGGGGTGCGGCCACAGGTTAAGCTGGTGAGCGGCGTAGCGAACAGCGAATGGCCACAGAAAATGGGGTGCACTTGCGTGGATCATGGAGGTACGAGCCACTTCCATGACCAAACCAATGCGTCGCTCAGCGACCCCATTCTGCTGCAGGGGAGTCCGGCAAGGTGAACGTCTGGGTGATGCCCTCCGCACGACAGAAACGACCAAGGACACCAGAGGCAAACTCGCCACCACGGTCGGAGTGGACACGCGCAGAGACAAGCCACGAGATGAGAACGTCAGGCACGTCGGCCTTCCGCTCCAGGGGGAACACGGTGGTGTTGTGCGTGTAGTCGTCGACAAACACTAGGAAGTAGCGCTCTCGACGCGGCCCATGGACGGGGGCGGGGCCCCAAACGTCCATGTGCAGAGTCTGTAGCGGTGCAACGGTAGGGGGGAACGAGGAGGAGTGAGGGGCACGGCGGAGCCGGCCCTCAACACAGGGCGTGCACGGTGGTGCTGGGGAGGAGGGCAACTTGGGGAATGACCCTAGGATACCTAGGACAAGACCGTGCTGTGACATGTGACGCAGACGCTGGAGGGCGGGGTGACCTAGACAGTGGTGCCACAGGAGTTTCGGGTGAGTGAGCGACCGACAGGAGCAGGCCGCAGCAACCTGGGTAGACGCAGCCACCTGAGGAGACGTCCCAATCGGGGGGGTCGCGGTGTCCAGTGTGAACAGGCCGGACACCGGATCCTAGGGGAACGTGGTGAGGGGGGAACAAGTGGCGGCCTCGGTACAGACAGCGTACTGCTCGTGACCAGGGAACGTAGTGGTGACGCCAAGGTCCTGGAGGCAGCCGACACCAACTAGGTTCCTGGAGAACGAGGGGATGTGCAGGCCTGTAAGTGAGCTTGAAGGAACCGCCGTACAGGGAAGGGTGGTGGAACTGCGAGCGACAACCGGGCCGAAGGAGGGGTCAGCAAGGGAAACTGCAGCAGGAGTAGCAAGCAGCGTCAGCGTAGTGGAGTCATGGAAGAAATACCGAGAAGCGCCAGAGTCGAGGGTGAAGGAGAGCGCAGCGGTGGCATCTGAAGACAGAGCAGCGACAGTAGAACCTAGGCTAAACATAGCACGGGATCCTACGCTTGACGCAGCAGGGGAGGCAAGACTAGTCATGCCGACACTAGGCAACAAGGGGTAGTAAGAAGCAGTCACACTAGAGTCATCGGCATAAATCACATGCAGGGCAGCAACAATCTCATCCATGTCCATATCAAAGATCTTAACGCTACGGCGAAACAAGCTATGCCAGTCGGGGAGGTCGGGCGACAGGCCAAAGCACTGACAAAACAGGTCATCCAGGCGACGGAAACAGCGGACGGAGGTGTGACCGATCTTACCGCAAATAGAACCACGGCGAGGACCGGTCTGGAGGTGGTACCGACAGCGCGCATCACCTGACCCGCCACCCGGCAGCCCACCACGCGCACGACCACCACGTCCACCGCCACCACCAGCGCCAGGCCACCCGGGCGGGAGGCCACTCGCCCGCCTCTGCTGCTGCGGCTGCTGAGGCTGGTGCGAGGGCTGCTGCTGCGGCTGGTGCGTGTCCGGCTGCGACACCTGCAGCTGCTGAGGCGGCTGCTCGGCTGCACCTGTCAGGGTCCCCTCGTCAGTGCTACCACTAGGCGACCCGACTCCACCACCACCTCCACCTGCACCTCCTCCCCCACT